AGAGAGAGAGAGAAAGAGAGAGGGAGAGAAAGCGAGAGAGAGGGAGAGAAAGCGAGAGGGAGAGAAAGCGAGAGAGAGAGAGAGAGAGAGAGAGAGAGAGAGAGAGACCTGCATGATTTGTATCATTTATCACTGCTACGTGGTGGCACAGAAGTTTTACAGTACATGATTGTACTGTTCAAAGATGTACAGTATTATACACGCATGCGTGATATACATAGCATCGTCAACGGAAAGTATACTGTGACCAGTGTCCGTGAACACAGGACAGGTCTCTTGAAGGTCATTGTGTGCTTACCAAGAATTTCTAACGCAACGGGAGAGTGTGATCGCAAGCAATCCAGCTGTCGACTCGCCAGAACAGGTAGTAGTGAAATGCGCTGCAGCACGGCCAACACACATGCAGGCAAGACGCTACTGGATTAGGACCATGCAGAATGAAACTACAGAGCAAAGAGCAGAGCTCCTTGAATGGAACATGGCACTGAATACAGTCTACTTGCAGTAAGCGGAGCACTTTGCAATCAGGACGGCATGTACATGTATGTACGCGTGAAGTATTTCTTTGTGCCCAGGATGAAGTGTGTGACTTATCGATAGTCAACTGCACCGCAAAGCGTCCTATGAACGCAAGTGTTAATAACCACACAAGCAGATATTCAGACCGGGGTTCTACTCAATCTGTGATTGTATGCATAGCAGATGCACAGCGATACGTGTATGCAATGCACTCTTTAAACCTTCATATTTCTATTCAAACTATCCTTCTTTTAGGAGTCATCCTTTAAAGGGGAAGTTAAGGCAAAAATCAAAATTTCATCAGTTGTAGTCTTTGAGGTGCTGAGTCGAATGGTCTTGGTCCGAGAAAGCTGAGACGCTCCCTTCCTACTTGAATCACAATCGAACTCGCGCACTTCCACCGAAACTGGGTGACTGCGCCCTACTAGATGGGGATTTGTATGCAAAATGTCACTAAAAGCGCCATTTTGTTCTTATAAAGGCACGGATGACCGCGATTGGCCCATATGTTGTAGTCTTTTGCACGCTGAGTCGACTGGTTTTGGTCCGAAAAAGCAGCGACGCAGCGTTCATCCTTTATTCCCAATCAAACATGGTTGGAGAAGCGGTCACGTGCTCCTGGGTGCCCAAATCACCTGGTCACCACGCCAGCAGGCGACAACTTTCACACCAAGGTTCAACTCGAGTGACAGGAGTGCACCCAAAAAAGGTCAAACAGGCTAGTAAGTTGTACCCTGCAGGCACGGTGACCAGGTGACTTGTGTACGCAGGAGCACGTGACCGCTTGTTCAACCATGCTCGATTGGGAATAAAGGAGGAACGCTGCATCGCAGCCTTTTCGGACCAAAACCAGTCGACTCAGCGTCCAAAAGACTACAATATATGGGCCAATCGCGGTCATCCATGCTTTTATAAGAACGAAATGGCGCCTTTAGTGACATTTTGCATGCAAAACCCATCTCGTAGGGCACGACTAGTCACCCAGTTTCGGTGGAAGTGCGCGAGTTCGATTGTGATTAAAGTAGGAAGGGAGCGTCTAAGCTTCCTCGGACCACGACCATTCGACTCAGCACCCCAAAGACCACAACTGGTGAAATTTTGATTTTTGCCTTAACTTCCCCTTTAAAGTAATTTTATTAGTTAGCGATGCCATTTTTTAAATGTCATACCTCCGGTCGATGCACTGTCACCGAAGTGCGTATGAGTTGCAGCAGTGACGTCAGTGTGAAGAGCCAGCGCTGCTTCAGCTTGTCGTTGTCGAAGCACATCAGCATGTGTGTGGAGATCGGCTCGCAAGACTCGTCGCCCTCGCCACCACGGCTAGGCGACTCTTCGGGGTGTTCAGATTCATGCACGCTCATCGTTATCTGCATCAGCCACAACACATACAGCAATGACAAAGGGAATAGCAGAAACAACTGGTCAGTAAATACATGGAGCACACATGGGACTACATACACTGCAACGGCGGTGGCAAGGAAAGGCTCACTTTAGTTGGCAAAAGCTTTCAAAATATTATTCAAAAGCATACAACTCATCAGCTCACCCTCAGAATGGAGGCAAGAATTCTGGACGGTGCATGGATAACATCGGCCTGTGTGACGCAGGAAACTGTGGTGGACGTATCTCTGTAGGGAAACAAGACCATGAACGGGGTATCGTGATGAGAACTACATGTACATGTACCAGCAGAACCGGCATACAAAAGTGAATTGAGAAGATTCATCATCGCAACGCTGCAAACCCACTTTGTTGCAACGTTTACAAGAGCAGTGACACTACTTGCAAGTATTCGGCCAAGCAAGCACATACGAGTAGATGTGTCCCCTTCAACCACCCTTCAAATGCAGCACACATCAGAGGCAGGATCTCATAAACAAACATTATTTACAGGAAAAGACTCACCTCAAATCAATGACGTTGGTTACGTTGTTGGTGGGTATATGCTCCGATGCTAGTGAGTAGAAGATCACCTTGAACTCACTCACTGTCACGAAATGCCTCGTCCAGCCTCGCTTCACACCACCAGGTTTCGGGATCTTCACGAAGCCTTCAATGACAGCCGCTGTGTAAGGGGCAGTCTTCGCTCCCACCTTGGATGCTATAGGAAATAGGAGGAAAAAGTACAAGTACCAGTATTAGGGTTAGGGACGTTTAGCAAAGCGAAAATTCCAAAGAAAAATCGAGTCTGGGAATGAGTACAAACACAAAGTTCGAAAGGAACGGCAGGGAGTTGTATATTTACAGCCTCTGCTTGAGACTGAGCTGCATATACGGTACGGTACAAAAAACTTCAAGAAAAGTCCTTTCGCGTTGCTAAGGGCATGTTCGATTGTATGAATCCATCAGCCCCGGACCCGGATTCGCCAAATTTGTGCATGTGCGATTGTACGAACCCGGATCCCGAGAGCACGGATTCGGATCCAGTCAACCCACCTCCCAGAGACGGATTCGACGGATTCATTTCGATAGTACGACTCGTATCTACTCAAAACTCGCAATATGCGTACACTAGATCAAGAGTTTACCACAACGCGTACAGATACTACGGGATGAGCTGTAGCAACGCGGTTGCTAAGGCCTTGAAACGGATTATCGGTTGTGCACATTCGATTGTATCCGTCCGATCGAAGTGATCTGGTCGGCGGGGATCGGGATCCAGTTTCTACAATCGAATGCAGCCTAAACCTCACAAGGTTTCCTTTTCGGAATAATTTTTGCAAAATATGACCGCCACCAAAAGTTCGAACTTTCGTGTTGCTAAACGTCCCTAGTGACAAACCAAAATCCTGAATCGGAATTACCCCCTCCCCCCCCCCCCCCACACACAAAACAGCTAAGTTTTAACTCTCCCTTTTCCAGCACTCACCCAAAAGACAACAAAGGGTGAGGTTAGCTGAAAGAGAGAGAGAGAGAGAGAGAGAGAGAGAGAGAGAGAGAGAGAGAGAGAGAGAGAGAGAGAGAGAGAGAGAGAGAGAGAGAGAGAGAGAGAGAGAGAGAGAGAGAGAGAGAGAGAGAGAGAGAGAGAGAGCAAGCAAGCAAAGCACATGCATCCAGAAAGTATACACCTGAAGCTAACGATGCAAGGATTCACTCAACGGAGTGCTACATAAAAATAGTTACACAGCAAGTGGCTCATATTTCACTGCATGTACCATTACGCGTGTGCATTGATAGCTCTTACCATCCTGTTCCGGATTGTAAGGACATGTGACTTTCATGTCGCGTGTACAGCTTGTGTGTACCAAGTATGAACATTCTAAAGTAGCAAGAGTAAGCGTATCACACACAGCACACGACTAAGCATAAGAAGACATGTAACCGTGATTTTATCAGCACACAAAAACTTCAAGCAACTGCACATCTGACTTTTTAAGGTATTCACTGGCATTCCTTTGAAAGCTCACCCGGAAGCCAAAAAAAGAGGAGGAGAAGAACTAGAGCAAGCGAGCATTTCCCCTGGCTGTGATCGGACTTAAGGTCGAATCTTGTCTTGTTGAGAGCCCGGACAACAATGATACAAGTGTGAAGTGCCGCCGGAGTTGCACTATTGGTGGAAGTGAAGACGGTACACAATTCATAACTGAACACTTACCTTTGCATTCTACACATTGACGCATGAGACCAATAAGAATGCCCTTGCAGTAGTGACACTTCGTAGGACTGGGGACAGACTTGATGACGAATCGATGAGCCTACACAATATGGAAAGCAGAAACAAAGAAGTTGAGAATCACAGCTGGCCCAAAAGTATTTCTATTGCCATTAAGATACACGGGAATATGCTGCATCGAGAGTACATAATTTGAATTACTTCAATCATGGTGTACTCAACGTGCAAGAACATTCGCACATTCACCTACCCATACCCACATGTACATACACATACCTTGGCCTTCTTCTCGAGAGGGCTTGGTGACAGGCTTGTTTTGGGAATAACAGCAAGCGGTTTCTCCTCAAACAATTCCGCATCCTACAAAGAAGAATATGGCACAACCAAAACAATTTTAGAAGCCGTGGAGAGCAGTAACTACACAGCTACGGGCAGCCACGAGCAGCCCAACAAGCACAACGCATCATTTGGAAAACTGTTCTCTCATATCACAGTACATGAGACAGGCAGATTAGCAGCCCGAGCTGAATACAACATTGGAATACAGCCTCGGAAAGAATTTTCATGAAGACTGATTATGCTGCGCCGAAGCAGCCTACTTTGTGCTTTTATAGTATCGTGACTGGGAGTGGTGCGAGTTGTGACGCACAACACCTAATTTGGGTGTGAATATATCACAGTACAGGCACCAAGCCTAGCACATGCACACAGAGTAAGACGGACATGTGCACAGTGTATGCATGCTAACACAGACACGCACACTGGTGGAGATAAGTACAAAATTACGCGACTCGAACTGAGCCCATTCAAGATGAGTGGCTACAAGGTACCAAATCATTCGGTGCAAAGTGACAGCGTTCAAGTCATCACCGACTTTGCAGAAAACACAAACATGATACATGTACAAAAGCAATCAGCCAGGAATTGCGAGGCCCTGGGTTCGAGCGCCATCAAGTGCCATCTGACTTTTCGGCTCAATCCAGTCATAGCAGCATAGTGCATGTAGTACACACATCCGCGCGCACACGTACACATGAACACACACACACACACACACACACACAAGCTACATGTCGAGACAGGGATGATCTGCTCCCTGAACTCTCACACAGTCAAGTCAGATCGCTGAGCAAGACGATAAAGACAAACCTCCAAAGAGGAAAGTCATTGCCATCAATTGCCTTGCCAAATATTAAGCTGACCTTAGACGTTGCAGAGATACGGCTGCGACTGCTATCTGAGCGTTTCAGCATCAGAGACCCTTGAGTGCTGGGCGACTGCTCGTCGGGAAACACACCCACACACCCACATATGCACACGCATGCACACATACACACATACACCACGTAGATACACCCACAAGAAAACGATAGAAGTCACTTGAACAACTGCTAAAATGGGAGAAGACAACCATCCTTAAGATCAAGCTAGATAGGAAAAACAGTTTCCTTCAGCTAGACCTCTAGGATATTCCATTATAGCAGGATACACTGTGTAAAAGTATGCCTATAGTCTATAGGAAACCAGAGTGCACATGCCACCAGGGCTGCAGTAATGGTATCCACATCACACAGCAGCAGCAGCAGCTACCACAAGCCACATAGGCCCGAGTCCTCGAGTACTCGTCCGTGTATGGTAGGATGGTAAGTGTGGCGCGTGCGTGGGTACAAAGGGTGCATTCATGCGGCGTTCATACAGACGTGTGAAAGCAGCACTGCAGAGTTCATGCAGAGGTGTGAAAGCAGCTCTCACGCACAGTTATGAATACAAGAGAGAGACAGAGAGAAAGCTATGTACAGTTATGAGTATCATTACGCTACACGTAGTGCATGCAGACGAAGAACGACCTAGCAAGCGGTATGCAAGTGTCAAACTGGTACTGTTGCAACGAGGGAAATAGTTCAAAATATGCATACGGATGTGAAGGTTGTTGTCAGGAACCCACCCACTGCTTTGCAATACATGTATTGTGCCTGAAGCATACCCACACACACTCCAACAATAGTATTCATTCTTCTAAGACCGCACCTTTTGTATTGAGAAGGAAGAATCCGTCGGATTCATTGAGTCGTGTAGGAGAAGAGCTGTGTTGATGGACACTAGAGTGCAGATACAGAAGAATGGGACAGAGCATGCAAAAGAATGTCAGGCTTATTAAACTGGACCACTGGACTGACCAGTGACTTGTTAAAATGTAGCGGACGCCATGTAGAAATCTGCTCACAAAAAGCTGGGTTAGAGACTAAGAGTAAGAGTACAAGTCTAGCTGCAAGGAGCTCCACCAGCAGTCAAGTACACTGTGCAGTGTGCCACGCAAATGCAATACACAGGACTGAAAGCATCGGCAGCTGCACATACTACCCGTACTCTCGGAGGATGTTCGCCGTGACAGAGCTCCCGGTCTGTCGTCGCGCAATCGGGAAAGTTCGGCCTGGTGTGCGTCTCTTTCCTGCGACACAATGTCCACTTCATCCGCCATCTCCTTCAGTTGGCTGCCAAGACACACCAAACAACCATGTAAAGACAAAAGGAGCATTCATCAAGCGGCACAGCAGTCTGACACATTTCGCTTCCAGGTAAGCAAATGTTCAGAAGTGAGGGAAATATCCATCAATGCATGACAACAGAGAAAAATCAACCCTTGCAATCCTCAATTAGCAATCAAAAGTTTTAAAACTCTCAAACGAAAGCAGAGCATGCACAGTGGATCAGCAGTAGAGAAAACACTCACGTCTCCATAGCTTCCATCTGTGCTCGCATTGTGCTGAGTTCATTGGCCAGAGCATTCTTGGCCTACGCAGAGACGGCAAAGAAAGGATACCACTATTAGTGAAGATGCTGATGGGGACAACAAATAATAATACAGGTACAGAACAAAAAGGGCAGGCTTTCGTAGAGAGAAACAACATGAGAAGTAGAGAAGATCCAACAGCAACATTCCAGCACACGTGAAGGCTGTTGTTTGCCGTACCTCAATTTCATTCTTCAGACTATTCTGAAGGACGAGATACTCTTGCTTGCCGTGACGAATGCTGCGACGCGCTTGCCAGTCACGCTGTGGAATCATAACAACAACAACAACAACAAGAAGAAGACCAGTTTACACAGATCACTACCAAGTACAGGCCAGGTAATAGTTCAGTATAAACATGTACATGCAACCAATTGAGCACAGGAAAAGGGCGTATTGAATTACAAGTCCGTGCACTGCATAGGCTAAAGTATAAAACGAGGCAGGCAGTGTTGAGACTCAGTACACATGTATACCTTGACACTCTTGGCTGGATTTTTGAGAATACTGGCAGAAACGCTGGGAGCACCGGTGGTCACCTCCGGCTCTTCAGCCACAGTTTGACTATCCAAGAGGTGTGACACAGGCAACGAAAGTAGCCCGCTTTCCATCTCTTTGCTGGCCGCCATATGCTCTTGCTGTACGCAAGCAGAACAAACACGGAAAGTCAGTTAATTGTCAATATAGCCAAATGCATTGGGCAGCCACACTACTAGCTCTTGAAGCTGGTACCATCGGCAACGAGAACGAATGCTGATAACTGGACGCGGTACATATTGTATAGAGGGTAAGAATCGGCCGGAATTCCCTAGCTTGTACTATCTCGTATAGCACACTCAGAGACCTAAATATTATATCCATACTAAATTTTCCTACCAGTAGGGGAATATCTTTGGTACCGGCACATGTAATTCCCAAACCAGACGATTGTACAATGATATTTTTAGCATCCAATGTAAAAAAGATAGCACAGTGAACGCTGATCCAAGTAATTCAAGTTCTCATGTACATGCAGGGATGAATTTATCCTGTATCGCATCGCAGTTTGCTACGCAAAATCGGTCTACTGCTACTCAAAAATCACAGTGACACGCAGAAAACTGCCATACATACATGTACAGGCGATCCATGCTTTTTGTAGCTTACGCCGCAATTGAGATTTTGCATAGCAAAAACTGCTATGCAAAAACGTGACAGTAAATTCATCCCTGACATGTACTAGCAAGAACACTTTCTAAAATGGCTGAAATGGACCATTACATAGATAAAATACAGTACACCGTACAGATATATGTACATGCATATGCACGAAATAGAATGGTTTCACATCATCGTCACATGACGATGGATTTGTGTAAAAAGGGCACATTGCATATGGAGTCCAATGGAATTAATTAACATGGCTGACATCGTGTGACCTATTGATGCAAGGAGTCACTGGTGTTGGAACCAAGATGATTGTCATGTGACAGATGTGCAACAGCTCTATACAAAACTACAAACAAATTCCGCGTGAAAGTTCACGTTTTCCCAGCACAGGATAGGACATATTCGCCATGTAAACATTACCTACACTACAGCAGTCAAGAGTAACACAATACATGTGATACTACTACCCCCCCCCCCCCCCCCCCCCCCAGTACACACAATCAAAAGTACAGAAAGACAAACAAACTGGATTACTTACACACACTCGCTTTAGGCTTTCCACTTGTTCGGTGATGCTGCCTGCAACCGTCCGCAGGTACGTGCGTGCATCACTTTCCTCCGACATCCTGAACAACCGCACAGCAACCGCAGTGTCATCAAAACCAAATTAGACAAGAACAGGCTCTGTATTGAAATAAAGATCATGCCCATGACGCTCAGGGAAGGCTCAATAGTACTGCTAGTGTTGTGGACTTATATATATGGTGCAAGGTTTGGTCTCACACTACACAACATGGTGCTTCACAACACAATGCAGCATCTTTGAAACTTGGATGATCATTGATCACACAGATCTCTATAGTATTGAAGCGAAGTGCATGTTAACCCACATGTGAATGTGGATGAGTGCAAGCACACATGATCGGCAGCGTGGTGCCATGAGCCACACACACTGACACACGGCGCACAGTATGCAGTGCAGTGCAGTGTGACATAGGATGCGCAATACTTCACGAGTATGTGTATATGTTCGTATCATGCTGTACAAACAACAAGCAATTACAGTACTGCCGGGCGCCGAAGAACGGGGGTCACGGTTCTAGCCTAGCCCATGCTTATTCTTAGCGAACACAGCGGTTTCGTTCTTATTCGATGGTACAGTCTTACATGTACACGTATGCAGAGTTATACGTTGGCGCCCGGCAGTACTGTATTGGTTTCGTCACAGCATACGACTTACGATTTATGAATACCGTCGACCTGTCCTTCAAACCATGTGCGAAGGTCACTGTTTTCGTCATTGTCCCCTCTATTGCACCGCTGACGTTCCACCACTGAAGTCAGCTTTTCCACTTGTGACTGCAAGTTGGTGTTTTCCATGGCCGTCTGTGCCAGTTCTCCCTCGAGCTTGCAACGCAGAGAGCTAAGCTTCTCTTCCCACTCGACACTGCACGCCTCCTGTGTGCTTGCCACTTGATTGGCAAGCTGTGCAGAGCAAATACAAACAAGGCAGGGTCAGTACAGTAGTATTAAGTGACGAGTTTGTACATGTAGTTCACATGCGAGCAGAAAAAAAACGCTTACACTGCAGCTCGACTGCAGCATTGCCTGTTGGAAGTGTTTAGCGGTTGTTGTCCTTGAGTTTGAATATTATTTGGTGGCCAAAATGTTTGACTTGTCAAGTGCATAATGATCCAACCTAACAAGTGTATCCAAAGTGTACTGCATTATACTTTGGTGGCAAACACTGTACCCTGCAAAAGACAAGGATTAGGCAATGAACAACGAACCTAGCAATGAGCTTTGACAGCTGGGAAGGGGCAAACCAAGTTCCTGATAAATTTCCAGAAGAGTAATTTACTTTCTCCGGCACTGACCTTTTTCTTCAGTTCTTCCACTTCGCTGTTGTAGTCTCGCATCGTGGACTCAAACTTGGCTTCCTTCTCGGCATGATCCTGCGCTAGTGCTCTCCGCTCCTTCTCAACCCGTGCCAGTGCTTCGTCCAGCTCCCCGTGTGCGGATTCCAGCAAGCCTTTGAGCCTAAAGTGACCAAGCAAGCACACCAGGGGACAATCCTTGACGATTCACAATCCTAATAGCTGTACTTTTCACCTCAGACACAAGGAACACACCTAAGCCTAAGCACATGGCAGCAATGAGAAAAGCAAAGGGATGGGACATACTGAAGCAAACCTATCAAGCCTGGTGAACATTTTTTCTCACACGACCTAACAGCATCGCCCCATCCAGAGTTGGGAGGGCCTAGGGTAGGGATTTCAGGCGGTTTTTTATTATCAGCGTTGTGCTCCAGTTCATGCGTTTTTCTGAAGCATCTATGTCCACAGAATGTCCACAGAAAATTTGAACGGAATCGGAGCAGTATTTCCAAAGTTATGAGCATTCAAACATAGCGCACCAACCTTGATGAACATGTATACAAATTGGATCTGCAGGATGGCACAAAGTGGATTTCTGAAACTCCCTAGCAACATCATAGCAACCATAAACTTCATCCGATCGTGACCAAACTTGGCTCAAGGATGGCCCTGGCTATGATGGCACCAAAAAAAAACATTTTTTTTTCAAAATTCAAAAATACCGCCAAAAAAACAACAATGGCGTCCTTAGCAACGGCCCTAGCAACAGCATGTTTCACGCTTAATCCGACATGGTAATGGGTGGAATATGACTGAAATAGGGAAAACGCAACATGGAAGTTATACAGCATATATCTGGAGAATAAATCTAGTAGTTGACAACAAGCTGTGGTGTTAAACCGGATCCGTTTTCGGCTGCAATGAGTCAGAGACGCACGATAGCCGCAGCAAAGGACACACATGACATTGTACTAGAGACTACTAGTATTGTACACAGAAACCAGCCAGCTGTGAGTATTTGTCAGAGATACATTGAGTAAAGAGGCTACCTGGAACAAACATACATATACACCTGTACACACAACACATTGATAATTGAGTCTGGTCACTCTGTGGACACATAGGATGCAAGACCCGATTGGCCGTGCACACTGTCCAAACTCTCTGTTGCGGTAGCAAGAAAACAATCACCCGGATCAGTACACGGTACAAGGCTGTTGGTATGTGGGTATGTGCGTGCGTGTGTGTGTTCTACGGGATTTGATTAAACAAATCAATAAAGTTATCCGCATAACAATTCCCCAAAAAAGAAAATATCCAAGGAGTATGCAATAGTTTTGCACAGGATGCACCAATAATGAGCTACGAATGTGCTGACAGTTTGCCATACGTGCACCTGTAAGGGTGCTAGATGTCAGTGTGTGCGTGTGTTGGGGGGGGGGGGGGGGGACAGCCAAGACCGCTCTGCTTGGAGCCAGATTGCTCACTGTCGTCCTCCCTGGCGCCTGTGCTCCTCTTGATCCTGATTCAGAAACTGTTCAAGCCGGTCGGCGCTTGGGTGCTGGCTCCAAAGCGGCATCATCTGTTGTGCCAGCATCAACATCAGGAGTTGCTTCAGCATCAACATCAGCAGCTGTTTCAGCATAAACATCAGCAGCTGCTTCAGCATCAATATCAACAGTTGCTTCAGCATCAGCAGTTGCTTCACCAGCAGTTGCTTCAGCACTGGCAGCAGGTTCCCCACTCACAGAAGCAGTTAATGTTGGAGTGCCAGTGGCTGACAAAAGGTGAATGAGGTTCGCTGAAAGCTGGTCAACCGACAGGTCCTTCCGGTTTTTGCTAAGCTGGAAATATTCAACAGGAGCTGATTGCAGTAGCACATACCGACGAAAATGCAGTTGTGACTTCAAAGCAGACTTCTTGCGTGCAACCGTGGGTATCTCTGCCAACTTTGCCGTGACTTCAGAACTTGAGACCCAGAGCCCGTACTGTTCAATCTCCTTCGTTAGACGCTCCTTCCTCTTCAGCTGAGTATCTCTTTTTCTCGCAATGGTTTTTTCTTTCTCTTGCAGCACTTTGACTCTATAATCAGCGATTTCCTTCTGTCGTTCTTTGAATAACGCCCGCATTGCTGGTGCAGACCTCCGGGCATTTGCCAAAATCGATGCCTGCTCCTCCTCGTCCTTTGCATTCAGCCACTCGGCAGTACGGTTGTTTGCATACGCAATCATGCCATCTAATGCTAGGGTCGATGCAGCTGGCTTCTGGCGGAGAAGCCGATCTAGCTGAGCGAAATCTCGCTCTGATATTGCATTCGTGTTTGGTACTGACACGCACTCCTCCACTACTTCTGGCTCTGGCTTGTGGAAACGACCGACCGGCAAATGATCCGCCAAAAGCCTAGCAGTGAAAATAGCAAAGCTCGTACAGAGCACCTGCAGTATCTCTAGCGTACACTCGTCTGATGAATGCTTCTCGAGCAGGCGACTCAACACAGGGTCAGCCATGGCAACAACAGCAGTGGGGAAGGGCCGAGCTGTTCCATCGAGGATATCTGAGGAATCCGTTGACCACTCCACCAGCTTAGTATGCAGAAGTGTGTAGATGGTGGACATCTCAAAAATCGAAACAGCCCTGTCCTCCAAGACGCGCCAGAGTGGGGAAATCAGTAACTTGCTTACCAGACCACATGCTCTCGCACCTGCAACTAGTTCAGGAGCGGCTAGGTCAGCCTTAACTGCCCTCAGTAACAGGTTTGTCTCTCCATGAATGTCCTCGAGAAAATGGATCATGCATTCGTGCAGAAAGAAAATGCCAGCACCATTGTAAAACACTATATAATTTCGGTTTCCTCGGAACTCAGAGAGTGGGAGCTGCGTGTTAGATTGGGAAAGAAATGCATGGAAATCACCCACAACTCCAGCCTGCTCGTTTCCATGCTTCTCGAATGCACTGGTTGCGGTACGAATAAGCCGAACAACTCTGGACTCTTTCGTGTCATACACCCCATGGACTTCATTAGCACCAATCTTTTCTGATCCAAATCTTATATCTTCCCATTCCCGCAATGACTTTGATGCTTGATCCGCAAGGCCAACAATGTAGTGGAGGCCGCAGAAAAAATTATTCATCTTTATCATGGCACTGCGCTCATCATCCTGCAGTTGGGTCCAACCTTCAACTACCCTTGGCAATATTTCAGCCCTGTAATCTGTCAACAAGTCGTTAAAGCTTTTCTGCACACTACAGCGATCGCTCATTGTATTTTTGATTTTGGCAACTATCTGGTTGGCAACATTAGTATCTTCTGTCTTACAACAAGCTGACTCCACATCGTTCAAAACTTCTTTCAATTTCTCTAATCCATGAGCAGCAGTACCGCACTTCATATCACAGATACCCAGCGTGTATGACTGCTCAGGTGTGGAAATTTGATAAGACTGGTACAATTTCCAAACTTGGATGTGCCATCACTGTGCAGCGTAACATCTTTAGCTTCGAGGATTTTTTCGGCAACATGCCCGGCACTGACTTGCTTGAGTTCAACAAGCATCTGACTTAATAAGCCAACACTCGGAAGCCTATCAATGTTTTTGTTCACCATTGACAGTACAATGCGAATGACCGATGGTACATTCAACACACCTACATTCAGTGACAATAGTGCAAGGCAACACTTCCTAACTGCATCCTTGTACTGGCCATTCTCCATTGCACAGAACAGCGCACTTTCTTCAAGTTGCGCAAGAGTATCGTCCAATCTCTCGTGCAACTCTTTCTCACGATTATGGTACCCAGATAATTCAGCATGCAACTCATCAGTCACTTCAGCCAGACTCTCAATGCTACTTGTTGACGATTGGTGTTTTCTCTGATGGTAATACACGCGTTCATGTTCATTTAACAACTTTTTCTTTGCATCTTCCAAGTCATCCGTCACAGCTTCTAACGACAATAACAATTCTTCAATTTTTCCTTCTTGCTCCCTCTCACTGCTGGACAAATCATGCAATTTGCAATCCCTGCGGCCCACTATTTTCCTTGCATTTCTAATTTTTTTTTGATAAGATGCAATCTTTTCGTTCAGTGTTTTGTTATCTGCTTTACAAACAGATAGTTGCTCTTTCAATTCCACTACCTCTTTTGCAAGCACTGAAGCAGTGTCCTTTTCAAAGGTGCTGGCATGTTTCTCAAAGTGCACTGCGTGAGTTTTTTTCTACAGGAGAAGCGACTTCATCTACTGTCTTGTTGAGGGGCAGTTCAAAAGGCTTACTTAGCAATTCACTGAGGTTGTCGCTCGCCTTGTTCTTCAGCAACGTCTTTCTCCGATCTCTGAGGCGCTTGATCTTGATGCTGGCCAATTTCTCATTCACCGTCTCGAAATCCTTTCCATCCACCGCTGATACTATCAAAATCAAACTATGCAAACTATAATTTTCGCTTGTCGCCCACATCAAGAGTTCAACAACTAGGCCATTCGTCAACTGCCCAGGACGACGCAGAGAAAGCTGGTTCTCTTCAGAATAAGAGTCCAAAGCCGCCTGCAAACTTGAACGCCTTAACAACAATTCTTTGCACTCAGGCCCAAGCCAATCTTCTTTCTTCTCCACCTCCATACTGCGCGCAATGGCGTTCAACTACAAAACAATTTCCGCTACCGACCGCGACCCTTCATGCCGTCTGAAGGAACCTACCTAGACTAAATCGATGCCGTAGAATCTGATTCTGACTGTTACTAGAGTGTGGAACCAAGGCAAACACCTCAAAAGCGACTTTGAAATCTACAAGAATCTATCGAGATGCGTAATATCGGCACGAATTCGCCGTGTGAGGCACCAAACGAAAGCTAGAAACCTACTCTTCAACGGTGCGCCAATAAAAATGGCGATCAACTCACTCTCCCTACCTAAAATCGACGCCGAAGACCCCCCGCTGAGCTGTGCCATGCCTGGCATTCAAAAAGCATGCGTACCTGTCAAGGTACTTTTGCCCCCGCAGATCACGTGACTGAAATCCCTACCTAGGGGGAAGGGAGCTTACCGAATGACATCGTCTTTCAATGTCTTCACGCTATCAGCGCCGGATTCAGCATGCTCCTCCATTGCATCCTGTGCTTCTTTCAAGTCCTGCACAACACACGGCACACAAGAAATCGGACATAAAAAGTAAGTGTTTGAAACAATGTACCGTGCATTCTCTAATATAAGCGCTGTGGGTATATATTTCAACAGCGCTCTACACCAGCACCCTCTCATTCCTACACTGGAGACCTTGTTTAGATTTTCTCAATGCACCTCTACGTATATATATATACACCTCCACCCTCTCATTCTTACACTGGAGTTCTCGCTTAATTTTTTTCAACCAATGACTGCATACAGATTACAGAAGAAGAGCTTAGAAGAAACACGTGGTGGATGTCAACACCGAATTCCACTGAGACAGTGCTAATAATGAAGAATGTGTTGATAGTGTTTCAAAAGACGTCAACAATGCTCTACCACTAGCGACTGTGCTAGTAATGGAGACCTGCGCTTATAATAGAGAATATAGTCAATAGGCTGCAATAGGCTGCAAGTCGGCCAGGACACTGCACACTACATGTACATGGACGCCCAAAGAAGCTGTTTGCTATAACGGGGAGTCCGCTTACCGATTGCAACCGAGCCTTTGCTTTCTGCTCAAGCGCTAACGCTGCCTCCATGCTGTCGAGCTCCAGAACAATCTGCAGATAGGAAACAAAATAGTGAAAATCATGGGAGCACGCACAAAGGGCGTGATACTTCATTTGGTCCGGTGCTTGTGAGTGTAAACGAGTCGGGTTTCTGGCGAGCGAGCTAACAAGTAACCGGTGAGATCCTTCCAACACTACTTCATTAATTTTACTTATCGCCAGTTCTTCAAGCCAGGAGAGGATTTGTGTCACGGGGCTGCAATCCAGAGTAGATTGAAAACTCATGACCTGGCACGAGGGTAACTAGATTTCAGTCCTTCCCAATCGGTAATGAACCGGCAAACATAGCCATAATGGAACCCAGGCAACAACTCCAAACTGACTGAAAAGAGGTTATTCTCAACTTAGATGCGGTGGCATAACAGATAAGATAAAGATCAGCAGTCGGGTATACTGTGGCAGAAATTGCCTTCGAGTCCTAGCTATTATACTACATTGTACTGCAAGAAAAACAACAACAAAAGGAGACAAAGAAGTTCTAGTACTCAACAGCCTGAAGCAGCATACCTCTCGCTTGGCCTTTTCCAGCTTTGTGATATCCGTCTTCAGCGAGTCGACTTTGGATGTGGCTTTTTCTGCTCGACAGGCACAAAGCACCAGAGTAGAACCAGAGTAGGAGTTACGAGGTAGTCGACGAAACAAGCCATAGACCCATCACCAAAATCACAGTTGCGGCAAAATTGGCACTATGCTCGATTAACAGCACATACTGTCTATTTATCTTAGGTGAAGAGGCCTATCTTGTAACACAAAGCGATGATGGCTGGCATACTCTTAATAAATACACCAGAAACGACTTGCTATTCAGCCAGTTTTGCTTGGGCAAACTAACCTGCCTCCTCCTCCGCTTCTCGGAGACTCAGCTTCAGCTTGGCATTTGCAGCTTTCAAGGTGTTCAGCCTGCAGAGTGAAGGGACAAGCAAGCAGGGGACATGAAAAATGAAATTGAATCATTGAAACGCCCCACCTTTGAAACAAGGCAGCAATGCAAGCAGTTAGCAGACCAAACATGTAAATCTATTTCAAAGTTTTCAGCAATAATGTCATGCATTGTTACTCTGTGACCCACAGTCTTGAACACTATGTTTTCCGTGCAACAAAGTGGTGTGGACAGCACGGTTGATTATGATATCCAAGAATGTCAAGTTTACGCAGAAATGCTCGGAGAACATTGAACAGGACAACAGGAAGGGATGTGTCCTCACTCTTCATTTTTCTCGTTCGTTTCCGTTGTCACATTTCTGCGCAGTGTTTGCAGCTCTTGTTCCTGTGCTTGGGCCTCTTCTCGCGCTAGCTCCAAGTCGCTGCTCAGCAGCTCGTTGTCCTGAACCATGCGCGCCAGAGTCTGCTCCGTGCTCTGCAGGCGCTGCTCCAGGTCGCTGCAGGCCACGTATTGCGTCTGCAGCCGCTCCTCATACGAGCGCTGCCGGTCCTTGGCCTCCTGCAGGATCTTCTTCATCTCCTCCTGCAAGGCATTGCGCTCCTCTTCCATACTCTTGATCAGCGAGCTGCTTGGCGCTACGTTGCTGCTCGATACTTTGAGTGGCACACCTGAATCAAACAATCAGCAATCGTACAGAACACAGTCACTACTGCACACTTCATGCATCATCATGACCAGAACTAGAGAGCAGCATACATATATGTGGAATACTGCATACAGACATACATGCCCATTGATAGCGAACACTCAACAAGCCATGTTAGACAATAGAAACTTGTGCTGGGATTACACCATTCAGCAGATTGCAAGGCTGAGGAATTGACACATTTGTGTTCAAATCAGTGGATGAAAAGATTTAAAGGGAAATGCCAACCGTGGAGAAGTTCTTCATTTCAGATTCTACAAAGGTGTATCGAGATCGTATGGGTGCTTCAGCAGGAATACTAGGGAGGTTTAGTCCCACGTACAGGCGTTTTCTGATTCACGACATACCGTGTATGGAGGCTCACCCACGTTCCGCCAGAACGTGGGTGAAAATCAGAATGGAGCGCATTGTGCGAGCTGTGAGGGTGCTCAGCTGAAGAAGTTTCCGCAGCACGAAATCAAAATATTGGATGAGCTTCTTAGGCCCGGGTAGCTTCGTCCTTGACCAGGTTTGGGCCTTTCGCTTTATGCTTTTGTTTGTTCCGTGTGACTAAACACAACATTGCAACGTGGGTGCCCTTCATCCACTTTACGTGGATCACCCACGTACGCGTTTCCGTTACGTGGGAACTAAACCTCCCTAATATCGCAAACTGTAACTTGACTCGCTTACCATTCGGGACCTCACGTCGGCTACAGATATCATTGAACATCCTGTAGCACCCAACAGAGGACAGAACACACAACAGCAGGATACAGGAACGAAACGCACAATGCAGCTCAAGTCTGAAACATACTTCATTTTGCGTCATACGGGAAACACGGCGCATCGTGAAAAAGCCGACTAGAGCTCAACTTATTTGGCCCATCACGCGACTGCCGGGCGATGTGTTTCCCATGCACGAAAAGAAGTATGAACCAGGATTTATACTAAAAAGTCTACTGGCCTCATCCAAACAGCAATACTACGTATACACCATGCGGTAAGGAACAGGAATAAAGCATATTGGAAACCAACAACAATGGGCATCTTGAAGATTTGAAAACCGACATGAGAACAAATCTGCCCGTATAAGGGTGTTTGCCCCATCCCCCTCCCAATGGCCATGTGACAGTATGACATATTCACCCATATGGAAGAAATACCATCTAGACCATACATATTCGGCCGGATTTGGTAGTGGAAAGCTATGGCCAAAGTCCTTATACGGATGACATGGAAACTAGTTCGAGCACTCTCCGAATTTACCTTCCAGTTAAGAGACAAAATGGTTCAATCAAAATCCATGTATGTCGACATTTCTAGACCCAATAACATTCAATCCATGTATGTCGACATTTCTAGACCCAATAACATACAATCAAGCTTGCAACCCTCGATTGTACACGAGGAAAATTCCGTTATTCATGAGTTGTCTCTATTCAGGAGGTTGGAAGTACACAGTCAGATGGTCACCAGGTCTCAAGATTGTGTCGTTATTCGCAAGTTATTGTTATACCCCAAGGTCAGTACAGTATACACAAGGCTGACTGTACATACGGAGTAAACAACATGCTGAGAAGTATGGCTACTGATAGTAGAGTGCTGCTCAATGAAATCCGATCGACTGAGTAAAGTGCGCCATGCCGGGTGCTGTGCAGCCCTCCACCTGTGAACACTGCACTGTAAAATGGTGCAGGGCACAGTAGACTTGACTCATACGATCAGATTCCATTGAGCAGCACTGATAGATTTGTGATAACTGACAAATGGACTGCAGTGAATATTCTTACGTGTCACGTGTAAACGTGAAGCCAACAAAGGGAAGATGGATGCCGGCAAAATGACCAGACACCGGAGGTTGCGTGTGCTAAAGGCATCAACAGGACAGAAAAACAAACCGACTCCAGTTAAGGTTTTTCACAACAATGACAGAACAATGAAGTTGAAGACACCACTGCAGCTGTACAGGTGTGTCTTTACCACCATATTTATCAACCAATGACAGAACAAAACCATTAATAGATAGTATTAGATACCCACGCATATGGCCGATTGGTTTGCAGGCCTGCCTGCGAATCATGAGGTCCCGAGTTCAAGACCCGGGCTGGTAGCAGGGAGCGTGTAAAAAGACTTTTTACGCGTGTTGAACTGCGCCGACACCCACGGTCAACTGGGTACTCACAGCTCGGAGTGAGAATAACAAGGATGCAGTTTACAGGGTTATGGGCCGTTACACGCCCGATTGGTTGAGAGACTAACCTCCTCTCCCCTGACTCACTTGTGAGGTCTGCATTCGCCACTAAGGTTAACAGGCATAGTGGTGGCCTGCGGATGCGAAGGCTAGTTTGTGTGTTTCTGAACATTCAAGCGATGCCGACGCGGATCCCGCGAATATTATTATTTATTATTAGATACCCGCTGGACAGCAGATGCCAAGAGCAGCATGATATCACTGACCTCTGCAGGTGGCTCGTCGATTTCGTCGAAGTTAGAAGTGTCCGTTTCATGGCCTACTTCAGGTACATACGGTGGGGCAGCTGTGGAAGCCAACAGCACAACATAACACAATGCGGGTGAGAAAAGTGTAGCACAATGTCTACATCTAAAGCATACCCCAGACCACTATGAAACTATACACATGTTACACATTCAATGTACAGGACAGTTATTACTCTCTTTGCTCATGGATGTCACTGAACAGCACCCCCCCCCCCCCCCCCCCCCACCCACCTACACACACCAAACACACACCAAACACACACCAAACACAGACACAGTATACACCAGATAATGACGTCTCCTAAACGAGGAAATGCAAAAAGAGCTGCATTTGATCAGTTCTCTTACAGGTATGCAAGGTAGCCCAATCAATCTCAGCAAAGAACGGGTGGGTCTTGATATCATCAGCTCCGTGTGTACCTAGGCGTTCCTCGGGTTCACATATCAGCCTGGGGAAGTCAATACACACACCCACACAGACACAGACACACACGTGCACGCACAGCAGCATTCAAATATTCGTACCAACCAAAAGAGTGTCAGGGGCGTGGAAGTTGGGGGCACCAAATATGCACTCTGGGTCATCTAGCGCAACTGCCAGGGAATAATTTGCCTTCCTATTTTTGCATAGCAATTTTGCTACGCATAACCAAACTTGAATAGCAATTTTCTTCAACATTTGACAACATTGTCCTTCTGCAGAGCTAATCAGAGTGCAAGCTCAGACCACAAGTACACTGTAAGACCTTAGTTGCAAACCTAGCCTGGTGCCAGGATGCATAGCTCAACACTTTCGAAGCTTTGTGCATCTACTAGAGACACACCTGGCATGTGCACTGTGCATCATAGGGTACACTGGAAAATAAACATGCATCGCAGTTTTCTGCGCCACATGTCTGAAGTTGGTTCGCACCTCGATTAAATTATTCCCTGACTGTAGATGTTTGGCGGGGAACAATCATTGTTGTACGCATGTAGTACGTCATACACATGGCCAACAATTGCACCATGTCAGATGAGTAGGATGAGTACGAAGTCTGGAGTTGCTTTTCGGCCGTCATTTTCCTACGTCGCATCGCGGTCACGGTAGCGGTGTGAACAAACAATATTGATTCATTCTGACTTTTCTGAGAGACCCAGTGGATCTGGGATCTGCATGCTACCAAGCGATCAGAGCCTTAGTTGCAAAAGTGTACTTTCCGAGACAATAAAACCGTGTGTGAGCTTCCATGACGAAACGAGCGCATATACATTGAACGGCTTCATGACCTCTTTCAGCAGCTAGTCTCTTTCAATAGAATCACATTCATATGTAAAAGTTCTATCTTACTTTTGGATCAAGTCCCGAGCCTCTTCAGATACTTCGTCCGTCCCTACATCCTCTGGGAAGCTGAACCGCTCCTGCACATGAACATGAACAAAGCAGCAATAACTGGCTCAATGTTTGCTTGTACCAACACCAACGTACTCAAGTACTTCAAATCCAGTCGACCACGTATAACGAACTCGCATGTAATTCGCGAACCATTTTCCACGTCCACATTTGAACGAACCCATACAAATCGACCCTTTTGTAGCGAACTGTTATCGTTAAAAATCAACACCATCTTGAAGAAGAGCGTGTAAGCCAAGTGCAGTTTTGTATGCGATGAAAATACGAGGTCGCGAACTCGCTGCACGCATGCAATCAGTTAGCACAGCAGATCCAGCAGAGAGTCTACAGAAGTTACTGCTTCACTGCGATGCAAACCACAAGCACCAACAGAATTATCGAGCCATCCACTCATTGGTCAAGAGAGTTGCCACCACAGCACTGAGGCAGACTGTGATTTACAACTTTTTTCTAACTTGCCGGATAATTATAGTTATTTGGTCCAAGAAAAAAATGTATTAAAAAATAATGTGTTGCTTGTATGGTGTGAGTGCATTTCTGTTATAAAACAATTCAGGAGTCCACAGGCACTGTGTATACTGCATAGGCATTACGGTACCCTACACACCACAAACAATACCTGCAGACACATGACACATTCTCAGCTGACTTACTTTGTGATGCATAATCTGGCTGTAGGTATCCACAAGAGACTCGGCGTAGAAGGGAGTCTCGCCAAACAGAATCTCATAGACGACGATCCCGTATGACCACCAGTCGCACTCTACACCATAGGAGCCCTTTCCATCATCCATGGCCTGGAGAAAAATCACAGGCAGTGAGTTATATGAATGAGACGGAGAGCGTATTTTGTCACTATTAGCTGTAGTACATGTACAGTTCACCTGTTGTGTGTGTGCCCCGAGTCCCCCGACCACACTGTCTCACTCATGTCCATTACTGTGCACTTCCTACAGTATTCATTAGCACAGAACTGTCATCTGTTGTGTCTGCAATCTGGACGTTCCGCTGCACTGATTCCTTTGTCCGCAGTTACACCTACCACGTAACCTGTGATGTTCTGCAAGTGCCAATGGTCCATCCTAAAAGTGAGGCTTGTATTCAAAGCATGCTTCTATACGAGAGAGGCTCTTATACAAGGCAGCAAGGTATCTAATGCGGAGCCTAGGGTGACGGCCGCAGCAGGCCAGTGCATGACAACACAGTGTGTGACGAACACAACAGATGCTACTTACGCAAAGAATCTCAGGGGAGATGTAGTCAGGTGTTCCAACGGCTACAGTTGAGCTGACCTATACAAGTATAGAAACGGCGGAGAGCAAGAGCAGCCAGAGTGCGTAAGGCATGGCTCGCACAAGACAGGTACATGAACGGCTGCACCCTGCCTTTCAAGTCTCATTTGAAACCCGAACACACGGCTACTGTAGCTTACAACATGTTTGAGTGTACCCACATCAGAGCCAGTGAGGTAAATAGACAGTGCGCTCCACAACACGGGGAAATGGACAGTGCGCTCCACAACACGGGGAAAGGAACGAAACATCTACCTTTCCATGGGCGTCAAGCTTGAGGCAGGAGCCAAAATCAGCTAGATGGACATGGCCACACCGATCCAGCAGTATGTTGTCGGGCTTGATATCGCGGTGGAGATACCCAATCTTGTGCACACAGTCAATGGCCATCAGGATCTCAGCTAGGTAAAACCGTGCCATGCTCTCCTCGAGCCGATCCTCAAACCGCGCCATCAGGGTCAGCAAATCTCCTCCGATGTAGTACTCCATTACCAGGTACTGGGTTAGCAACAACACAAAGTCCAGAGCCACAGCATGAGAATGTGCAGAAATTATTCAAAATGCTTCACACATGCAGCTACTTTCTATGCCCAGCTACTCTGGTAATGGGCTTGCTGCTGGCACTGAGTTTACAGAACAGTTCGTACACAATGTTCTATGCAGAGAGATGTGCAGGAAACCTTCCACTACTACTAGGAAAGTCAGTGAACCAGTCATTGCGTTGCAAAATGTACATGTCAGTTGCGTGTGCGGCCTCAAAACCCTGCAGAACGTACCAAGAAGTCATGGTCTTGGAATGCGTAATGGAGTTCGGTAATCCATTTCTTGTCACCCTGCACCAGAACGTCACGCTCCTCCTTGAAACAGGCGGTCTGTGAGAAAGAAAGAAAGTCCATTTGTTAGCAAATGCAGGGTCGTACACGATACTGTTCCTGAACATAATAGCATACCCCACACCTTCCCCCCCCCCCCTCCCCCCCCCCCCCATGTCTACCCAAACGTATGACTACCGCTGCTTTCAGTGCTCCCAGAGGTAGCAGCCACGTGACAGAAACACCCCTACCCACACTCACCCATGCCTACACCAACACCCACCCACACACATCGCTGACTGCAGCAACAACAGTCAACAAGGACACTGCGGAACAAGCGGCCTCACCTCCTGTCTCTTGAGCATGTCCCACTTGTTCAGCTTCTTCATGGCGAATACCTGATTGCTGTCCTTCATTCGGACCAGTTGGACCTGTAGAGAGCAGAGACATGAGAGCAAACAGTATGCATTACACATCTGACTTGGTCTTTGCCTCGGGCATACGGATACCCGTGAGACCTGGATCAGACCCTTCTCTAGTGACACGGCCGATACGGTAAGTCTGCACAGGTGGAATTCTGATAACTTGAACTCCAAATTACTGAACGGTAATTGTGTGTGTGTGTGTGTGTGTGTGTGTGTGTGTGTGTGTGTGTGTGTTGACAAGCCCCCGAGCGGATTTCCACAACATCGCGCGATGAAATCTGTCAGAGAGAAGAGAGGGAGATGGAGACGTTGCCTGCTGTGTTTGGGCTCATGGAACGTGAGATCCTTGGTGGAGCGGGACGGCGACATCGACACTGCTTGTGTTTCTGGACGCGTCGTGGAAGACAAAAAAATTCACCGAGTTATTTCTGAACTGAAAAGGCTGAAAGTGGCGGCGGCAGGCCTGCAGGAAACCCACTGGTTTGGACAAAATATCTACGCTGTCAACGGATTTACTGTGATCTGTTCGGGCCGCCCCACTCCTGGCGAAGAGGATAATCGACGTCGAGGTGAGGGAGTTGCTCTTGTTTTGAATCGTGATACAACTTCGGCGTGGAGGGCTGGCGGCTGCGTATGGAACGCGGTGAGTTCTCGGATTGTGAGTGTACGTTTGAAGTACTGTGCAGCTGATGGACCGGATGTTTGGCTCACTCTGGTCAGCGTTTATGCTCCAACGTTTGCTGCGTCGCGGGCATGCAAGGAACTATTTTATGACGATCTACAACGCACTCTGTACGATGTACCCCAGACTGACCATTGTGTAGTGCTTGGCGATTTCAATGCTCGAGTTGGATCTAGTGAGCAGGGTGATGAGTGGTCCACTGTACGTGGTCCGCATGGATTTGGTGCACTGAACTCTTCAGGAGCTGACCTGCTATCATTTGCTGCATTCAATCAGTTGAGTATTTGTAACACCTGGTTCCCCAAGCGAGACCTCTTCAAGCGGACTTGGCAGCACCCAGGCACTTTGAACTGGCACTGTATCGACTACATTCTAGTGCGCCAGGAGGACCGCCGTTGGTGTATGGACACTGCGGTCGCGCGCAGTGCTGAGTGTGGAAGTGACCACCAACTCCTCTGTTTAACTTTTGCACTCCCGTGTGGACGATTAGTTCGGGAGCGCGACCGGGCAAATGTGCGGCGCCGCCGTTATGATGTTGCCCAGCTGCGGGTGCGCACCTCGAACTCGGACTCACCTTCGCCTGCAGAAAGGTACCAAGCTACCATTGCAACCGAGCTTGTAGATACATGGCAAGAACAGCACGACATAGATCAGAAATGGTCCAACGTCAAGGCGGCTATCGACAAGTCTGCTGCGTCTGTCTTGGGCTTCTCCCGGCGTCGCCAACCAGACTGGTTTCGGGAGGCAGAGTCAGCCATCCAGCCATTGCTAGATGAACGGAATCGGTGCTATACCGACTGGCTATGTAGTGGCCAGAGCCGCGACTGCTCGCACTACACAGCGTTTAAGGTGGCTAGATCCAGGGCGCGTGCTTCCATACCCTCGGCTAGGGTAGACTGGATAAAGGCAAAGGCACAGGCGGCCACAGAGTCGAGATTCAATGGAGCGGTCGTATGGAAGTGCATCCATGACCTCCAGTCTTGTACCCGGGGCCTCGCCCCTGTGCGCACTTCCGCCGTGCTGGATGAGAACGGTAACATCTGTAGTTCACCAGAGGAGCAGAGCCACCGGTGGGGAAGACACTTTGACGGTGTTCTCAACGTGGCAAGTGCATGGAATCGCAATGCCCTGGACGACATCCCACAGCGACAGGAGGCTGATCATCTTGCTGAGGCGCCGACTCTCCGTGAAGTCAGCCGCGCTATCTCCCGCCTACAGAACGGCAAGTCCGCTGGAGCCTCTGGCATCCTCCCTGAGATGCTGAAGAGGGGTGGCCCTGACCTCACCGCCAAGCTTGTGGAGCTGTTTGGCGATGTGTGGCGTGCTGGGGTGGTCCCGCAGGAGTGGGTGGACGCCACGTTGGTCCCCATCCCAAAGAAAGGGGATTTATCTCGCTGTGATAATTGGCGGGGTATCTCACTGCTGGATGTTGTGGGCAAGGTTCTGGCGAGCGTCATCCAGACTCGTCTCCAGTCCGTGGCTGCAGATTTTCTCCCAGAGTCTCAGTGTGGCTTCAGGCGTGGCCGATCTTGTACAGATATGGTTTTCAGTGTTCGGCAGTTCCTCGAGAAGACCATTGAGCACGACTGCAAAGGCTTCTTTGTATTTATAGACCTCAAGAAAGCCTATGATTCCGTGCCTCGGGATTGCCTGTGGGAAGTCTTATCCCGAGCGGGTATCCCTGCTCCTATGCTTGCCGTGATCCGTTCCTTTCACACTGACATGTCGGGGGTGGTTCGGGTAGAGAACACGACAACTGACCCTATCCGCGTCACGAATGGTCTCCGTCAGGGGTGCACCATGGCACCTGTGCTGTTTAACATCTTCATGTGGGCGGTGGTGACTGTGTGGCAGCGACGAGTCCGAGATGTACCCGGTGTTGGTTTTGAGTTCCGGCATTGTGATGGTGACAATAACCTTTACCGCAAGCCTACCAGGACGGATCCGGTTGCCATTGCCACTGAGTCACAGTTTGCAGACGACTCAGCACTTTTCGCGACGACTCGTGCAGGGGCGGAGACGGCACTTGCAGTGTTTGACACGACCGCAGCTGAGTTTGGGCTTAAAGTTAGCGCTACCAAGACACAGTTCTTGGTTGCAGGTAGGGATGTTTCGCCTGGGGACTGCGCTCCAATCGAGCTAGCTGGCACGGTCATCGAGTGTGTTTCGGAGTTCCGGTATCTGGGATCTCTCATTCATCGCGGTGGCCGGTCGACACAGGACATCACTGCTCGGATTGCGCATGCCTCTCGTGCTTGTGGCGCCTTGCAAGGAACCATCTTCAGCAATCCTGACCTTGATTTGCATATCAAGAGGTGTGTGTTTAATGCATGTGTGCTGTCGCTCCTCCTCTATGGGTCAGAGTGTTGGACACCATTGCAACACGATCTCAGACGTTTTTCAGTCTTTCATATGCGGTGCATCCGTTCCATCCTGGGTGTGTCCCGCAGAGATTGCTGGAATAATCACACGACCAACGCCCAACTGTTGGAGATGTGGGGTGACTCTGATACCATCTGCGTGAAGGTCGCACAGCGTCACCTAGAGTGGCTGGGCCATGTTGCTCGAATGGACAGTAGCCGGATGCCGAGACAGATCCTGTTTGGCTCACTTCTCACACGTCGCCCAGCACATGGCCCTCGCAAGCGCTGGAAGGATTGCGTTGTCTCCGACTTAAGAGTTCGTGGCCTCACCAAGGAATGGTACCCTATCGCCTGTGAGTCCCGTGCTGACTGGCGGACTATGTACGCCGAGCCTGTGGAGAATGTGCCTCAGCCTGACCCAGTGGTATGTGCGGATTGCAATCGGTCATTCTCGCGCCCTGGAGATCGTGCTCGCCACAAATGTGTGGTTGAGCGGGCAAAGCCGATTGCTGAGCAGCGAGGGGCTTGCCACTGTGGAGATTGTGGGCGTTGGTTTCGCAGCAAGGGTGGTCTAGCTGTTCACCGCTGTTCCGCACCTCAGCCTCAGCCTCCCGAGCCCCGGCAAGTCTATGTGCAGGATGCCTGCTGTGCTGCGCACTGTGCTGGGTGTGCCCGCTGCTTTCGGTCTGTGCAAGGCCGCGGTCGTCACCGGTGCTCGAGGACTGGCCCGCGCCCGACTGCCCAGCAGCGTAATTCGTTCAGCCATGTATGCGTGTGTTCTCGCCGGTTCCGTTTGCCCCACCATCTCCGGCGTCATCAGGCTGCGTGCTCCATCTTCCTCTCTGATGCCCCTCCGGGGCCCACGTGACCCCTGTGGCAGTGGCTCTACAGGACAGGACAGGACAGGTGTGTGTGTGTGTGTGTGTGTGTGTGCGCGTGTGCGTGTTTGTGTATGTACAACATTTTTTTGTACATGTAGCTCCGTTTTATCTGAGTTTTCAGTCGTTCCTCTTACTTAGGCCACGGGGTGGCTCTGGGTCCACCAGAGTCGCCCCTGGCGTGTTTCTGAATTTGCTGGGGCGAGGGTTCCGCGACGCGGTCGCCAGGGCAGTGTCTTTTCTGTCATGACCGTTGTCGTCCTCGTTTCTCCATTCGCGGTGGTGTAGCTGACCCCCGAATGGTTTCAAACTGCGAAGCTCGGAGTACAGTGGTGGCAGAGGCATGAGCTGTGAGTGGAGACGGTTGCTGGAGATGGATGGTGATGAAGGGAGAAGAGTTACGCTGCCTGACGACGCGTGGGAAATTGTTTGATCCTGCAATTTCAGTTCGAGCGCGGTGGACTTCTAGACGATGTGTCCTCATGGCTGTTTTTCAACGCTTGGCCTATCGCTGATATCCCTGCGTGGAATGTTCTTCCAGTGGAGTCCAGGTGGGACTTCGGGTGCCCACACTCCATCACCTGGTTGATTGTTTCGGAACTGCAATAATACAGGTTCAAATAATTATTGTTTCCTTTTTGTGCGTATCTCTTGTCATCTCTCTTTTCTATACGTCGCACACCAGATGTACTACTATCGCTGTCTTTCTCCTGCTATCTCTCTCTGCTTGCTGTTTTTGTTTTTGTTGCCACTGCCCCTCATCATACCCATGCCTGGGTGGAGGGCGGCGTGACCCGTTAGTGTAGCTGTCAATACAGTACAGTACAGTATGTATGTGTGTGTGTGTGTGTGTGTGTGTGTGTGTGTGTGTGTGTGTGTGTGTGTGTGTGTGTGTGTGTGTGTGTATCCTTACAGCTTGTACAATCATGTAGTGTAAAGGCAACAAGTTAGTTGGATTACGCATGGGTCTACGATTGACATAGTGACGTGTGGTAGAGCTGACACAAGAACTGCTATAGGCTCCCAGTTCACACAACATTCACGATCAAGAACTCTACAGTTTGATCTAGAGTACTGTTGACCTCTACGATCACAATGCTACATATAGACCCTCTGCATACGGACTGTCCGCGGAGTCGCCCTCGAGCGACCCACATTTGGTGGAGGACAGGCTGAGAACAATGTGTGCACGGCGTTCATGCAAAAACAGTGGATTGCCAGCACAACGGGACTTTGGAGCAGCACCAGTGCTTGTCTTCTAGGCTCTAGCTACAGAAGGACACCTAGGGAGCCCCTCGTACTCCACACGAGTACTGCATAGAAGTCCATGCCAATCTGGGTGTTCATTCTACCCTTCTGTATCCATTCCAGTGCGAAGCAAACCCAACATGTTCTCCGCTGATTCAAACTACGAGGCCAGCACCGCGGACCACCTCTAATTATGAGAGTGAGGGTCAACACTGCCACGCACATGTAACTGTAGCGCAATGATTTTTTCTTTACCGACGAGCTGTTGGAGAATCAATTGCCTCCACAGGTACATGTACTCGACAATGCTATCATGCATCTCTTCAAATCATGTGCATGTGTTACAGGACTGTGTCAGTACCTCTCCAAATGCTCCTCGACCTATCGTCCGCAGCACCTCGAAATCCTCGCACTTCAGGCGCAGGCTCTGCACTTGGTTCATGGCATCCTTGTCTGTGTACAAGGAGCACAAGGAGTACATACATGTAAAGAAGTTGGATGGTTTGCATAATTATACATGTACATCAACCTCTTTCTAAGAGCAGCCCTGCCAAACTCTGCGCTTGAACAACTCAGTATTTGAATTCAACAGCTCTAATTTGCTCATCAGGTTGACCAAGATTGTGAAAGTTGTCACCATACTAAACCACTGAGTGGGTGAGGATACCTCATTGTCCATCATACTGAACTACACAATGCAACTGTGCTTATCAACATAACAGATCAGCCACAGTGTCCTGGCCTTCTGCAACCTGCTGCTTACTTCGTTCCAGGAAAGTCGCGATGTTTCTTTCACGTTTCAAGCCGAATCCTTCGGTCCACAAAGCAGAAACTGTATCTAGCAATCCCTCAGTACTGAGAATATCAGATTCAACTGTCTGCCGCTCGTCCAAGTACAGGCTCTCCAGCCTCTCCGAGCGCTGTCTTATTATATCCATTGCTGATAGAGTTCACGAACTATACAAAGGTTCAAGCAAATGCTCAGAAAGCCACACTGGGCCAGAAACTTCACATCCGTGTCCAGGCACCACAGCGTTGAGATGCCCTGCTTGCCACCTCCAACCTCCACGGAGGATTGATTAGATGTTCGAACCAAAGCTATCCATTTTTCTGTTGAGTCCTGTCTTGCCTGAGCAATTAGCTGCAAAACAAAATTGTTCTCTTGAGACTAATACATCTTCGGTCATTCACGGTGCCATCCGGTTCACTGATACCGCTCCAAGGTGAGGTATAGACAGTATTATAACCACGTCAAGTGTGAACTATGAAGGATATAATGCATACCAAATTACAAAGGAGGAAAAGAACACTCTTTTGCTCAGTTTCTTTGTTACAATGATGTACCTGGTTACTGCTTGGCGGTGGTTTTTGTGTCATTTTGGGTTTTTCTTCTTCGAAGTCGCACAACAAGACTTTCGACGACGGCACGGCATGCAACGCGTGCTGCACAGGTACACCGGATGATCGCTCGGAACACTTCCGAAACTGGCGAAGCTCGAAGACTCGACTCGCTTGCGACTCCCTCGGGCCTCAGCGATCACCTGATCACCTACCAAGAGTACATGAAAACCCCCGGTTTTCATGTACTCTTGCTAGATCGTACGAAGTGACTGCTCTGATCTGATCTGATCTGGCAGTACGCGGTCGAGCTCAGCATCCGGTAGAGGGGACGGTTTCAAATAGGACATAGGTTGCAAACCGGAACGGACTCAATATTCACTTTCTCTCTAGGTATTTTGATTAGAAAACATATGTCACAGTGAGACTACGATGGATGTGTTATACTCCGAGCCAAAATTTCATGGCTCTGCGATGACCAGAAGCGCCATATCAAGCAGGTGAGTTTTTGACGTGTTGCTTCGCACTGCGACTTGAGTTTTACGACTTTCGAAAAATCAACTTCTTGTCGCAGGTAAACAGCGGCTCGCCTCTCGCCAATATCGCATACCAATCAAAACTAATGGAAGCACACACAAGGCTTATTGTTACTCTGTACTGGCCGTCGTGGAGCGATAGCAATTACCTAATTTCAGACCCAGAGTGAATTTGACGTGCACTCTAAAACGTGTCCGGTTTGGAGCCACCTCTGATTTGAACTTTTTTGAAGCGAAAAATTGGGCAACTTGGAGGCAATGGGTCAACACAAAGGAGTGGCTCAGTTCGATTGACTCTGGCCCCAGAGCAAACTTCAACATGCCAGTTTCCTTCCACAAACATATTTCGAGTGAAAAATCAACGTTGATGATCCGTTTGGGTCTATACAAATTTGGCTGTCAAAGCGTCCCAGTATCGAGCCGTCCCCTCTACACACTTACGACGTTACGTCGTGGTTCGACGTTACGGGCGCGACCGCGCGGGTACGAGGTAACCATGGCATCTGATCGCGTGATCAACCCATGCGGCCATCGGGATGTTACACTCCGAGGCAGAGGGTCAGTTTTGAATCTGGTCGATTCTGGTCTTTGTGTTTGTTTGCATGATCGACCATCGACCATCGACATGACATTACCGTGAATACAGAAGTCACTGAGATTGAGCCATTTTACTTCTGCAAAGTATCTCATGTAATGGCTAGAAACGGCCGCGTGGTAATTTTAGGTGGGGGGATATCTGGTCTAGCCTCGGCGTGGCGACTCAGTAATCGCATTCATCCGCGTAAAATTGTTCTAGTCGAGGGCCAGTCCTCCATTGGAGGCTGGATCAAGACAGCCAAATCTCCAACAGGAAGTTTGTTTGAGAATGGCCCCCGAAGTGTGCGACCTCAGGGAAAGGCAGGCATCGCTACGCTTCAGCTTGTAAGCCCAACAGTGCTTTGGATGTCTGTCACGTTTCATAGCAATGCTCTATGCAACAATTGTCAAATTTCTCTAATTGACATCTGACATCACATTGCTAAACACAAAATGGTGTAGCCGGTGGTACCGCGGATGTGCAAACTATTACTTTGCTTTACTCTGCATCACATTGCAAGCCATCACAATAACTTGTTTATGTGGGATTGTAGATATGAGCTCACACACTGCCTCCGCAAACCCTCCAACAAGTGTGTGTGTGTGTGTGTGTGTGCGTGCGTGCGTGCGTGCGTGTGTGTGCATGCATAACTAACTATAAGCGCCACTGATGTCGCATTCATACATGTGCACGTACTGGAACATATAAAGAAGGATTATCCCCAGGGTATGTTATGTTCTGTCCCGGCGGGAATTTGCGGAAAAATGTGTCGAAAACTTGCGCAAGAAATGGCGGCAGAAAACAACAAAAAATGCGGCAAAAAGTGCGGAACTTGCCAGGAATTCGCGGAATTATTTGCAGAAAATTGCGGATTTGGGCCAAATCACGAAACTTGTTGCATTCTTGGAATCGTTATTTGCGCAGTATATCTACTCGGGAGTAGTACGAGTCGTGCTGTGCAAATAACCTACAGGATCATGGAAAGCACTGTGTGAAAAGTGCATAATAATGTGAGATATAGTGCAGAAAACAACAAAAACACGGGAAATTGCAGATTTTGCTCAAAATCGCGGGTTTGGGCCAAAATCGCGAAATTTGTTGCATCCGTGGAATCGCGATTTCCTGGAGGGACAGTATGTTGATATGGGAACGCCCCCCCCCCCCCCCCGGCCTTTTTGAAGCAAGACGAAAAAAGCGACAAGCCATGAGCAACAATACGACGGTAAGTGATAGCAGCCTTGTGCAACATGTGCCCAATAATCGTATTGCAAAGACGTTTCTATCAGTTCGAATAACACACATTGACCAGATGACAACCTAGGTAAAAACAAAGCATAGCGAGGGCTCCTGGGCTTTCAATCCCTCTCGTTTTTAATACTCGCGTTTCTTTCTAGTGTGACTATCAGACCACCATATTATAACAATGGAGAGTTGCCTCTCTGTATACGATATACTCCGCTGCACTTACATGAAATCCCTCTCTGCTCTTGTGTTCCGTCTGTTGTCAAGGTATCTGACGTTGGGTTGGAGAACAGCGTCATCCCGGTGACGTCCGTACACTCGTATGCCAAGCGGCGCTATGTGTACGCGAAGAATCGCATGAACGCGTTGCCGACCGCTCCCAGCGTGTCTGTTCTTCTCAAGAGACAGGTTGGTAGTGGAGATCCAGCTAACAGTATTCTCTGGGTTTTTTTTTGCTATTCGAAGATCTTTTATTGAAAAATCCATGATTACATGATCCGGAAAAATGAATAGAAAAACCCAAAGTCAACGCATGCTCACATTCAATTATTACTGAGTCACAGTATTCTCTGATGGGTGCCTGTTGAGTGGTGACTAGACCACTATACCACATGTTATCATAAGCTTTACAAAGCTAGATATATGTATCACACTAAAGAACAGAACCAAGTGTCAGGCTCCTCGCGATCAACATTTTCAAAACTTGTCCACGAGTACTTGCATTGCCTTCTCATCATGTGGAATACAGGCAAAGAAAGAGAAAATGATCCAGCACAATGAATTTTATACGGCAGGGATGTGATAGAAACAGCGCAAGAGAAGAGTAGCTAGAAGCAACGCGGTAAAATACATAATAACCGTACACCAATAGAAGGAACTTGACAAAAGTGCATGTGTGAAGTGACTAAACCAGCAGTGCGATGTATGCGACAGCAATAGACAGCCGAGGGACAAAACTAACGAGTTGTTGACGACCTACCAAACAGCCTAAGTGTGAATTTGGTTTGTTTCTGTGAGCAGAGCAGAGGTTAGGCTTCCTAGTGTGAATACATGTATACTGCTCCTAAAATATTCAGTTATCAAGCACTATGTGCACGTGACTAAATTGAAAAACAATCATGTGAATACACCGTGTGACTTTCAGGATGCTCAGGGAAAGAATTAGCTATGGATGGCTCATTATTTATCAGAACTAACATCCAGAAAATCAGGAAGTGTGGTGGACGCTTCCGACACCATAATATTATTGCCAATAGCTGTGTTTTCAGATGATTGTTTTCAATTCTGTATCACGTATCGTAGTGCTAGATTTCATAGTGTTGTTGGAGACTATTGAAATTTTAGAAGCTGTTTATATCCACGTTAGGAAGCCTAACCTCTGCACACAGAAACAAATTAAATTCACAATTTTAAGCTGGCTGGTAAATCGTCAATAACTCGTTAGTTTTGTCCATTGGTTATCTATTTGTCGCATTCGCCGCACGCTGGTTTACAAGTCACTTCACACATGCACTTCTGTCAAGTTCCTTCTATAGGTATACGGTTATTAGGCATTTACCGTGTTGTTTCTGGCTACTATTCTTTTGCGCTGTTGCTATCACATCCCTGCTGTATAAATTTCATTGTGCTGGATCATTTTCTCTTTCTTTGCCTGTATTCCACGTGATGAGAAGGCAGTGCAAGTACTCGTGGATAAGTTTTGAAAATGTTGATCGTGAGGAGCCTGACACATGTTCTGTCTTGAATGTGATTGCTCTTTTGTCTCCAAGACAACTATTTGCTTGAAGCAAGATGTTTTGCCCCGTCTGAAAATGAAGAAAGTTGAGCTCTGTGCACGAGTCGCGCTCGTGAATCGGCATACTGCAGGGAAAGGGACATGTTACCAGCGGCATGTTTTCTGCAACAAAAACTCATCTGTCCTTTCTACGTAGTAATCAAGTTACAACGTTATCCTGTTCTCTAGGTTGTTGTTTTGTACTTGTAGGATGTTTTGCAAACCTACAGTCCATTCATAAAAAGATGGGTCCTGGCTCTGGCGAGCTCCCGTATTTGGCGATTTTTCGTGATTTCATCGTACACAGTGCAGTGCTCCGAACTTTGAAATTTGAAAAAGGGTCCAAAAAGGGTGCCTGAACTGGGGTTCGAACCGCAGAATGCACTGTTGCAGGCGGGGTCAAACGGCCTGGATTTTGATGGTCTTTCCCAATTCAGTGCTTTTGGGGCAAAACCTGGCCGAAATCCTATTCTTGCTATGGCTTGCTTTTTGGACAAAAAAACTTCATAAACATAATTGGAAGAGGATTCCATATGGGATTGCAGAAAAACATTCTAAAAAAACTCAACGTTTGACCCATTTATGGCCAAAAGCTAGAAGTTCATTTTTTTCTGAATGGACTGTAGCTGATGTATAGGCGGGCTGGAAATGTTACGGTTCATATAAGAAGTCACTTTGTCATGTTCTCGCTTTGTTGCTTCCAGGAACCATTCGAACGTTCCTTTGCGCGGGCAGGCGTCAAGGATTTGTTTAGTTTCCGTGGTACTGGTCTCAAGTACACTGACCCACCACCAGATGCGATTTACCATTTGTCACGAGGGGAAAGCATCAACAGCTTCTTTGAGCGACGCTTTGGAGAAGATGTGAGTCCAGAGTAAGATGTGAGTCCGTGACTTCATTTCCACGGCCTTGGAGCGGCGGGAATGGACATCGAGAGCTGTCGGTGTTCTTCGTGTTCACGCATGCGTGTGTGCTTGTGTGTGTGTGTGTGTGTGTGTGTGTGTGTGTGTGTGTGTGTGTGTGTGTGTGTGTGCGTGTGCATGCGTGCGTGTATGTGTGTGTGTTTGTCTATGCAGATGTGCATCTGTCTGTGTGTTGCGTGTTTGTGTCTGTATGTGTGTGCGCGCATGGGCGTGTGTGTCTGTGAGAGGGGTGTGTGTGTGTGTGTATGTAGATGTGCAGATGTGCAGTAGTGATTTTATGGATGCACGTGTGCTTTTAGGTCTGGTATACTTCTGATTTCCTTTCTTGCCATGTTTCTTCTTCTTTGTTCTCTTTCCGTGCATTGTTGACGTGCAGATAGCTCGCTATGGTGTGGCCGCCATGTGCCGGGGTGTGTACGCTGGTGACTCCAAACTGCTGTGCCTGCGTTCCTGCTTTCCCTTGTTGTACGACTTGGAGCAGAAGCATCGGTCTGTCGTCCTGGGCATGCTGCGACACAAGGCCGGTATGAAGTACTGTAATATGCATGGATATGTTTGAGGTGTCAGCGTAGGTGGAGACGCATATGTGTGTCGAACTCTGGTCATACCGAGATGTGTATGTGTGTGTGTATGCGTGCATGCGTGTGTGCGTATGTGTGTCGAACTCTGGTCATACCGATATGTGTATGTGTGTGTGTGTGTATGCGTGCATGCGTGTGTGTGTATGTGTGTGCATGTGTGTGTGCATGTGTGTGTGCATGTGTGTGCATGTCTGCATGTCTGCATGTGTATGTGACACTTGATTTCTTTCGCTCCATATTCGCGTTGTTTCTTTCCATAATGTACTTTGGCGTTGGATGCAGTTACATGTATGTGTGTTACGGTGTATGTTGAACATTGCTGCAATGTTGCGGTGAATGTATGTTGCTTTGTGTGTGCATGCGTGTACACGTGCTGAGAATGTCAATCCCGTGCATGCAATGGCAAGACGAGTACTAGTACTAATAGAAGTGTTGTTGTAAAATGATGTAGTGTTTTCCTGTGTGATGACATTCCCCGAACTGTCTTCGTCTAGTCGCGTGCATGTGTGATATGAGCGTGCGTGATGTTGTAGTTGAGAGTTCTCTTGTCAGTCTTCTTGTTCATCTCTTTGTGTGTGTAGTCTGTTTTTCCGTCATGTCGTAGTCCCTGGTTTTAGTGTCAAGAATATAGGAATGTAAACGAAAAAAAGACTTGTCCTTTGTGCCCTGCGTTCCGGGAAACGGAATGGCTGTGATTCCGTAATGTGTTGTACTGAATACAATGCTGTCTATCATTTCCCCGCTTGGACTTACTAGTATCTTGGTCTCAATACTTGTCCTTTGTGCCCTGCGTCCCGGGGAACGGAATGGCTGTGATTCCGTAATGTGTTGTACTAAATACAATGCTGTCTATCATTTCCCCGCTTGGACTTACTAGTATCTTGGTCTGTCTGTCCCCGCTTGGGCCCTCGTAGATCCTGTTCCTGCCGATGCTGCACAACTGGTGAAGAGGTCCCGTGAGGAGAAATGGCGTATGTGGACCCTGCAAGAGGGTATGGAGAGCCTACCGATCACCCTACATCAGAAGTTGTTGGAGCGTGGTGTGGATGTGCGGCTGGGCACTATGTGCAGTGGAGTGGAAATGACCGCAAAGGGTGTCCAGGTATCGTGTGCATTGAGACTTGTTCTGTACTGATTGTATGTCTGTCTATCCTCTCTTCTCACAGCCTCTATATGTATGCATCCATCTGCTGTCTGTCTATCTCTCCGTGTGCCTGTGTCTCTGCCTATCCGCAGGCTGGCTGTCCGTATGTTACTTGCAAATAATATAATTGTGTACATCGAAGTACCAGATGTATTGCACAAACTCCAGAAAGCATAATTCCTTCGATAACTTACTGGGAACCACTATTTCGAACTTACTGGGAGATGATAAATTGTACAAACATACGTGTATGCTGAATGAATATCGTTGACAGAGTTCATTGCTGCACCTAGCTGTCACAGTTTGAGAGTCTCTCATGGTCTTAACTTTTTATTTAGAGGCAGTATATTTCATTGCCGCAGCTGTAGTTGTATCACACACCGTGTACACAAACACACACACACACACACAAACACACGTTCTACCCTCTACTGTGTGTGTCGTGCAGGTCCACTGTGGCGAAGAGATCATCGAGGCCGATCATGTCATCTCGGCGTTGCCTGCTCAGCGTAGGTGTTTGTGATGTGTTTTGTCAGCATACTTGTTCACGTGCTTTCTGGCACTCCCCATACTGTCTGTCATTGTTAAATGTTTTTTTAACGAACCCTTTTTTCCTGAGCGACTGTTCTGGATTGCTTTTGTTCCCTATGCTGCATTGCACGAGTATGCACTATTATATTCTTGTGCCATCACAGATTCTGTTATTAATTTGCTGTGAGGAATTCCAACTGTGAACTTTCAATCTATTTTCCTGCCGTCAGATCTCTCGTCAGTTTTGTCTCCTCAGTTTTCGTTCCTCAAGGAACAGCTGGCAGACATTCTCAGTGTCACTGTGGCGATTGTTCAGATGGAATTTGATGGCGACATCATACCTGAGAAGTACAAGGTAATAGTGATACATGGTAGCTGTTCCTTTGCTGTAGCAGCCAGTGTCTTCATCATGCTCAACGTACATGCTTTACAACTGCTTGAAGTTTGTGAGTGAGAGAGGTGAAAAGGGTGCCTGGTCAAGTCGTAATTTCTTTTCTGGAAACCTGTATGTGGTGCATGCTTGCGTGTGTGTGTGTGTGTGTACGTATCTGTGCGTGCGTGTGTGACTATTTGTCTCGTGTGTCTGATTCAATCCGTCTTCAGGGGTTTGGCTACCTAGTGCCGCCGTGTGAAGGTGACTGGGTGCTCGGCGTAGTCCTGGATAGTTGTTGTTTTCCCGAGCACAACACACCGGGCAAGCCCAACTCAACACGACTCACGGTAAGTGACTACCATCTAGTATTCGCCTTCTACAGTCCACTCAGAAGATGATGATAGTCTTTCGCTACACCTGGTGTTCAAGCTGCACCCCCCCCCCCCCCCCCCTCTTGGAGCCAATCGTGGCATGCATGAAAATGAACGTGGTGGCACTAGCTTCAGGGGTGGTTTCAACTGACTTGGCCCGATTTCTTGTGTGGCTCGGACCCTGGAATATGTGGTCCGTGTACTTGTGCTCTAATGGATGTTCTCTTTGCTTTGTTGCCTGCAGGTCATGATGGGCGGTCAGTGGTACCATCAGCTCTTTGCCAATGAATCTAACACAGATGACCTGTTTGTTCACCACGCTACCAAAGCACTAAGAAATCACCTGGAGATTACCAATCCCCGTCCATCCTTCATCAACACTACCATACTCAAGGTACAGTGTAGCGTGGTAGACTGCAGTACATGCACAGTACTATCGGGTGGCGGAGAACTGGGGGATCAGCCTCGTAGCCTTGGCCGTTCTTATTTTCATGTACAGTTCTTCAATGCACAATTGAGTTACCGTGTATACATTGGTATGCTGTGCTTGGTGAAATTCTAGTCTGTTCGTTCTTCGACGCCTGACAGTACTGTATACATCCAGTACAGAAGGAAGTTTCCTTTCAATCTGTTCACAGTGATTGCAGTCTAGGCCTCTCTAGGGTGGAGGCCTCTCTAGGGTGGAGTGGACAGCTGCTGCCAACGGGGATCCAACCTGCCTACTGCTTCTCTGCAGTCCTGCTGTGCTTTCATACATTCATGTGTGTATGTGTGCGTGATGTTGTGTGCATGCGCGCGTGGGTGTGTGTGGGTATGGGTGTGTGTGTGTGTGTGTGCATGTGTGCGTTTGTGTGTATGTGTGTGTGTGTGTGTATGTGTGTGATGCAGGACTGCATACCACAGTACTACATGGGTCACTTCTCACGCATTGGTAAGTGCTAATCAAGTGGATGCTATAAAGGGCATACATGTCTCTATACACAAGAATAAGGAAAACACTGTACCGTATATATTCATTGCAATCGGTTCAGCTCCGCTGATGAGACCTAACAAGGTTGAAACAGCTAGCAGTCCGGAGATTGACGGCGTACCATATTATTTTATTCCCGTAGCTATGCAGAAGACGTTACTTCAGTAACGTCTGGCGCTAGCCAGGGTCCACACAGCTTTAATTCCCGTAGCTATGCAGAAGACGTTACTTCAGTAACGTCTCGCGCTAGCCAGGGTCCACACAGCTTTAATTTGGTGTTTGTTTGTTTGTTTGTTTGTTTGTGTCACGGCTGGAGCTATCCCGTATCTGTCCCGTATCTGTGACTACAAAGGCTCTACAGGATTGTACATTACAGCTGTCCACAATATTTGCGGGCTCCTGTATCTGTCCCGTACCGTACCAATATTCGTCGTATTATGTATACGACTCCCTGATGTAGAGGGAGATTTGGAAAGAAATAGGGAGACGAGGAGGAAATTAAATTAGAATAGACGCCGAATAGGTGATAGGATGCGTCAGCATAAACATACTTTGGAAGAGAGATCCCGTCGTCTCCAAAATAAGCGTGAACGAGCGATTCAGCGCCGGTCACAGGAAACGTCGGAAGAGAGATCCCGTCGACTCCAGAACGCCCGTGATCGGCAGAGTCCGCCGGTCCCAGGCAACATCAGGACAGACATCTCGTTGAGTCCAGAACGCCCGTGATCGGCAGAGTCTAAGCCGGTCTCAGGAAACGTCAGGACAGACATCCTGTCGAGTCCAGAACGCCCGTGATCGGCAGAGTCAGCGCCGGTCCCAGTAAACGTCAGGACAGACATCCCGTCGACGCGCAGAAAAACTAAATCTGCAGCCTCCTTTGGCGTCGGACAGGATACGTATTTAAGGAGACTGTAAAGTTATGTAATGTCCAACTTTCGACGTGAGCAGCAGGTCACTCGCGTTGATTTTTCGACGTGCGAGCCAAATAACGCGAGCTGAACTTTCGCGTCGCAATCATCCCGTCGACGCGCAGAAAAACTAAATCTGCAGCCTCTTTTGCCGTCGGACAGGATACGTATTTTAGGAGACTGTAAAGTTATGTAATGTGCTCCACAGGCAACCATGCATTCGGCGTCGTCATTGGCTCAACAGGTCAATGTACATGTGTTACTACAAAAAGGCCAGAAAATCCGATTACTGTATTAAAATCAACTCATTTTCGCTGGCGATTTAAATTCGCTGATTTCGCCGCTTGGTACCAACCGGCCAAAGTAAATCGCAGGCCAAAGTTTGTCATAATTATGGGCAAATGATGCATGATTGAGCAATGGATGCATGTGAGAGCAAAAATACCGATCGATTTCAAATTTGACGTGAAATGTGGAAACGTTTTTGCAATACAGTGATGTGGCCAATCAACGGAAAAAGACATTTCCATCAGTTCTTAAAACATGTACGATGAGCTAGGCAAAAAAGCATAAAAGCATAGCGTAGGGCCCTGAGCTTCCAAGCTCTCTCGTTTGGTATTTGTTTGTTTGTGTGTTTGTTTGTTTGTTTGTGTCACGCCTGGCGCTATCCCGTATCTGACGGCAAAAAAATCATAGGGATGTTATAAATTTTTCAATTCTCCTATTTTTTCAGGCATATCCTGGGATTCGAACCCGCACTATCGCCCTACATGCATTCCCCCATACACTTCGCATTCATACTCATTCTTCCAAGTTGCTTCACGTTATGATCTTGCGTTTGAAAGCCCTATTTGAATATTGCGGGCAGCTGTATGTGGCCAGCTGTGTTTGATGGTATGGTACGGGAGACGGTGTCGTATTACCCTCGATCGTACCTCTCCCGTACCTATCCCTTCCGTACCGTACCATCAAAGACGGCTGGCCACAATGCATATTCAAATAGGGCTTTCAAATGCAAGATCATAATGTGTAGCAACTTGGAAGAATTAGTATGTATGCGAAGTGTATCGGTGGATGCATGCAGGGCGCGATAGTGCAGGTTCGAATCCCAGGTTATGTCTTAAAAAAAGGAATTTTTTTAAGACCGGGGGATGCATGCAAGGCGCGATAGTGCGGGTTCGAATCCCAGGTTATGTCTTAAAAAAAGGAATTTTTTTAAGACCGGGGGATGCATGCAAGGCGCGATAGTGCGGGTTCGAATCCCAGGTTATGTCTTAAAAAAAGGAATTTTTAAAGAATGTATAACATCCCTATGCTTTTTTTGTCTAGGTCATCAAGGCAAAAAAGCATAGCGTAGGGCCCTGAGCTTCCAAGCTCTCTCGTTTTCAATCGCATGCATGTCATTATCATTCGTTCGATGATCGTTCAATCGTGAAACTCGCAGTTACGAATACAACTGCTCATCCTCTACTTTATGCCCATGCTCTGTTTGTTTTTCTGCACATTGAGTACTGTCAACTTGGTGGGCTGCATAGGCATGGCAGACATATCGTGCTCACCCGGTTTTAGCCTCATTAGTGTACATGTGCAAGTCGTCCAGTCCCCACTTTGAGGCAAAATGTCACATTCAAGTTTCCAATTGTTTGTAGTACTGCTGTGCATGCTCCAGGTTAAAGCAGGAGGTTGGATTTCGGACTAATTTTTCCCAAACCAAAGTGTGACCTACACCTCTATGATGTTAATGCTCTTGTTGCAATCTGTCTGTATCTCGTTGCTGCTGTTCTTCTGTATTGGTCTCGGAACAGAGGGTATTTCAGCGTACATAAAACAGCGGCAGCTCCCTATCTCACTGATCGGTTCGTCATACCGCGGAGTCAGCGTCAACGACTGTATCCTGGGTGCCAACACTGCGGTTGATGAGTGGTGCAAGACGCAAGTGTGATGCCTGTGCCACTACATCGATCACGCGTGCCTGCTGATGGTGACTGGTCGGCGCCTCTACGGCTGCACAAAATTATTGGGAGCTAAACCCACCATCAAAATTACTAAGGTTTAACAACAGCAGCACCTTCAAGTAAGTGGGCTTGTGGTCCTGTTCTGTCGGTGGTAACCACTTCTAATAGTGGAGATGTGTGAAGATGAAATGATCAACTTCTTGACGTCGCACCGCAGTGGCAGCTTGACTGGAGCTTGCTTTTCATGCAGCGGCTCTAACTAGTCTATCTCTATCTCGAGCAGAGCATGGGGTGGTCGTGGACAATGCTAGTCCACACAGTATGGCCACTAGGCTGGAGTAACGTTCACTGAACTGTAGGCGGCAATGGTTGGCCTATGGATCGCCCAATACCATTTCAATTCTATTCGAGTCCACTCATAAGAATTTGTTGGAATTTATTCAGCCATTCTTGCCATCCCTCTCCCTAATTTTGTCATACATGTACAATGACTGGCACTTTGGTATGTATGCGTGTGTGCGTGTGTGTGTGTGTGTGTGTGTATGTGTGAATATGTGTGTGTGTGTGTGTGTGTGTGTGTGTGTGTGTGTGTGTGTGTGTGTGTGTGTGTGTGTGTGTGTGTGTGTGTGTGTGTGTGTGTGTGTGTGTGAATGTGTGTGTGTGTGTGAATGTGTGTGTGTGAATATGTGTGCGTGTGTGGGTGTGGGTGTGGGTGTCAAGTCCCAGTGAGGCTGCCACACGGACATTTCTGGTCATGAGCATTGTGTAACTGTGCAGCAGCTGAGCTGCTCACTCCGGACTATTATAGGTTCAGTAATGGTATTGTACAGATTGCCAGCCCGCGATCATTCCATTGCCCTTTCAATGTTTTCAAACCAATGTACTCTCTGTATGTTGTATACTAGTGCTGTCCGGCTATTTTTTTTTACTGCAGTTCTTGTTAGTGTTACTGCATTCCATTGCGTTGCGTTGCTTTGGGTTGGATCATGATACTGGCAGCATGCAGGCATGCTGTCCTTGTGTCATCTGATTCTTTTCAAAGAGCAGTGAACAGTAATTGTTTCAAATGCTCCATCGGTTTTCAGTGGCTTCTACATGTATGTTAGGTATGCTGCCTTGTCTTTCCTCAAACAAACTCGCCACCCAATGCTTTTCGAAGCATATTATGGACGAATGGTTGTGCCCCCCCCCCCCCTTCCCCATGTTTCACTGATACAGTATGAGCCCATACACGTAGATCGTCTGTTGTCTGGCCTCCTGGAGCTTCAGCCTCAGGTGGTGCGGTGGTGTCTACGTTTGTCCCATGCTGGACTTTGACCTCTGTGAAGTGGTTGTGTCACGCTCATGGTGCCACTGTACTGCTGTACTGGCTGCATGCAGCCAGGTAAGTCTGTTCAAGTCTTCACATCACCCAGTGCCAAAGTGCATACAGTGGTGCACTTGTGTGATGATGATGATGATGATGATGATGATGATGATGATGATGATGATGATGATGATGATGATGACAGCATATCCAAGGCGGAGGACACGCTGCAAGTGCATTGAAAACAGTGTTCCTGACTGCAACCAGTTAACATGATGCAGTCAGGAACACTGTGTTCAACATACCGGCAGTGTGTCCTCCAGCGTGTGATATACTGTCATCATCATACGTGTTAAAAACTATCAAGCAAGGCGTACATAATTATTATACTAAAGTGCATGCTACAAAGCGCAATATACATGACATTCTGGTAACCGTGCAGGGAGTCATGAACACCCTTTTTCAGGACTTAGCGACTTTCAAGCTCTCCGAGCGATACTCGCCGAGAACCGGAGACGGTGGACTGAAGAAAGAACGGACCCATCTTTATCAATGAAATTACATACAGTGACCAAATTCTACTTTCGTAGCTGTTCATGTACAGATGATCAGATACAGTACTCATCAGACAAAGTATACAACAACAACAACGAAGACACAAAAACCCTTCACAATTCTACATCACGAGTCACAATATGACTACCATAATTATAGGCCCATTTTCTCACTCTCTCTCTCTCTTTCTTTCCTTTCTCTCTATCTCTTTCTGTCTGTCTCTGCTTCTCTCTGTCTCTGTCCCTTTCTCTCTCTCTCTGTCTCTCTCTCTCTCTCTCTCTCTCTCTCTCTCTCTCTCTCTCTCTCTCTCTCTCTGTCTCTCTCTCTGTCTCTCTCTCTGTCTGTCTCTCTCTCTCTCTCTCTCTCTCTCTCTCTCTCTCTCTCTCTCTCTCTCTCTCTCTCTCTCTCTCTCTCTCTCTGTCTCTCTCTCTCTGTCTCTCTCTCTTTCTTTCTTTTCCTGTCTGTCTCTTTCTCTCTATCTCTTTCTGTCTGTCTCTGCTTCTCTCTCTCTGTCTGCCTCTCTGTCTGTCTGTCTCTGTCTCTGTCTCTCTGTCTCTCTCTCTCTCTCTCTCTCTCTCTCTCTCTCTCTCTCTCTCTCTCTCTCTCTCTCTCTCTCTCTCTCTCTCTCTCTCTCTCTCTCTCTCTCTCTCTCTCTCTCTCTCTCTCTCTCTCGCTCTCTCTCGCTCTCTCTCGCGCTCTCTCTCTCTCTCTCTCTCTCTCTCCTCTCTCTCTCTCTCTCTCTCTCTCTCTCTCTCTCTCTCTCTCTCTCTCTCTCTCTCTCTCTCTCTCTCTCTCTCTCTCTCTCTCTGTGTGTGTCTCTGTGTGTCTCTGTGTGTCTGTGTGTCTGTGTGTGTGTGTGTGTGTGTGTCTCTCTCTCTCTCTCTCTCTCTCTCTCTCTCTCTCTCTCTCTCTCTCTCTCTCTCTCCTCTCTTCTAACTATCTCTTGGCTAGCCTTGCATCAAGTCTGCCACTGGTTAACCCATTGCTGCCAACCAACTGGGTCTGTTTACGGAAGGTTAGCAGCACTGTTAACCACTCCACATTTTAATGTACTGAACATTTACTACCATTTTCGGGTCATTTGCCTCGGCTACAAGACACTGCCCTCAAGGTAATCTTGAGTGGAAGCCTGATTGGATGGGGAATTCCACTCTTCCAAAGGTTGACTCGGCCGACGGTTGTCTGAGGTTCTGCGGTTCCGTTGATGGTTCGGGTGTTGAAAGCGGCATCTGAGCGGCCTTTAGACGGGAAGACTGTGTTTTCATCCTTGATCCATGATGTCGACAACGAGGAACCTTTCGCAGCAGACGAAGAGTTACTTCTAAGTTAACACGATCCCTCTCTCATTTGTTGTTGCGGCAGATAACTCTATGATTTAAGGTACACAACTGTGCTGCTTGTACATTCTCTACCCCAGTGTACCATGGGCATGGTGTACCGTCGCGCGGCGTATGATGGATTGGGCGCGACCGCAAACGAGTTGAAGACAAACATTATCGAACATGTTGGTGCTTTGCTGTAGTAATCTGCAGATGTTAGCGTCCTTTTCTCAATGGTCGAAAATGAAGGCTAATACGATTTGGTCTAGCTCTTGTAAGGCCGAACACGGACGTCGTGATAACTCGATCCAAACTCTGCGTGCTCCCGTTCAGCATGTGCCAGCACTTCAGCGTGACTTCCGCTACTGGCGCTAGCATAGCGAGGTACGCACGGCAGTGCTCGACACGTCGATGTCCTTCCGCTGTCTATTAGTATTGGACCACCGTCTTTTCTTTCTCTTTCCATGGACATACAAGGCCACGTACCTTTTCGTGTCTCTCTTTCTTCCGCTGCTAAGTAGTTAGCCCATGCTCGCCGGATGAGCTTCCTCGTCAAATTGGGAGAATATAAATTCATGTTTCTCGCGCTCATGATCGGCATGTCGCTGGAACTCGACCGCCGCATGTAAAACTTATCTAGACACTATAGTACAGGATACTTGGAGAGCATTATAAGGAGACATGTGACGTGTGATGTTGCAGGCACTACTGACGAGTACGCGTATACGGGTCGCGACTACTGACTACATGGCTGTGTACTCTCGCTCACTGGCTCTCGTCACTGATTATGTTAGTTGTTCAGTATCGTGATCGACAATTGTCTCTCAATGGCACTGAGCGGGAATAAGTGGTGAAGAAGTGGACACTGTACTTCGCAAGTACTAGTCTAAAGCGCGAACATTGCTCATTCTGGAAGTCCTGCTGAGAAGGCAAACGGCTAAGAATCTGAGCCCTTTGATATAGCGATTGGGCGTGAAGCATTGAGCATTTGGGTGTATTTCCTGAGTCCCCCGTGCAGTATGCATGCTTCCCGGGCCCCTCTGCTCTTCTACTGTTCTAGTTCTCGAAGTAATACGTAACTCGTTGTAGCCACACTCCCCGGGCTCTCGCCTTGGGCATCACGTGTAAGCCCTTCAGCTAGGTATCGATCAGTTTTGGTGTCGGCACGCCGCGCCGTCAGCACCTCGCATTCACACTCACTAGCTGCCATCTCCTGCCGTGAGCACACAACTCCGGGATCAGAGACACCGGGCGGCACTATGGCACGCACTCGCACGAGGTCATACGCCAGTGCAGCGAGGCGAAGAATCCACGCGACGTGCGAAACTCAGACCAGATCAGAGTCGGTCAGTGTGTACGCATGCATGTGTCCGCCGTGTGTGAATGTGTGAGTGTGTGACGACGGGTGGCTAGCGGTAGCCGAAAGAGTAAGTGCTACACAAATCCCAACATCGTTCACCGCTTTGTACGAATGTTATGATGGTTATGCTCACCACGCCACAGACAAACACACTGGAAAGAGCAGTATGAAGGTGGTCGGGATTGTCCTCAGAAAAGATAGTTGTTTCCGCGATCCTAGTCATTATTTCAGAAGTCACCTGAGCATGGAGTTTAGATCTTTTCTTTGATCATTTGTCCAGCACATAGTCATTCAGTATTTTGTAGATTCGGTTAGATCAGTGTGTGGTCGAATATTTGACGTCAAACATCTTTGAGCTGCTTGAAAACCTTCTCCATCACAGCGGGTAGCACGGAATCGCCGAGGTGTTTTCGAGTGAGGACTGCAGCATGCCAAGTGCTCCATACGATAAGACGGCCCTGCTGCTGCTGCTACTGCTTGTCCTAGCGACGTCCCAGGCAGCGAATGCACAGCCCGCCCCACTGAGCATATTCGACCTGATCAAACTGATAGGTAAGTTTTCTATGTGCCTTGCGATGCTCGAGTGAAGCTTGAAGGTTGTTTTGACACATGACAATCGTCCCGGCAATATCCGCTTTTCAATGCCACAATCTACAAGCTGGTAGTCAAGGGGAGATTCAATGTGGCAAGGCCAGGGTGCCACCGCTTCGAGCTTCGTACTGAAACCAATAGGAACTACGATAATGTGCGTAGCGCTGTGTGTATGTTCGTGACTTCGTGCTACGTACAATCATTGCGTAAAGATTATGTTGGCTTGCGCACCCGCTTTGAGGCAAAGCCACCTGTGCACGTTTCCATTGTTTTCGGCTGCCTAGCTGACGATTGGCGGTCAGACCTTGGGGGTCAAAGTGCCGGATTCTATAAGATAGAGACAACTGCGCGAAAGCTGAATAATGGGCTCTGCACTGCACTGAGTTTCTGATTCATGTAACATTCGACAGCAGGGAAAAGGCTATTGTAATAATTATTGCAAGAAGACAGAAGATTGGTTCATCAATGAATACTTGGCTCTGTACGTGCACTTGGCGTGCATTGTGCAGGCATGCCAGTATCTGGTGAACATGGGCAGAACAGGGCTCAGCAAAGCCTATAAGTACAGTCAACTTGGCTAATAACGACTGCGGATACAACGACAATTCGCGAATAACGACAGAATTTCCATGCCCAGAGCAAAGTCTCGCCAACCTGTACACATAATAATATAATAAGACGGGTATAACGACACTTCGGGAATAAGGACACTTTTCTGATGCCCCCTGGGAGTGTCGTTATTTGCAATGTTGACTGTACTGTGAAATACGACTTGTGAAAAAGCTTTCTAAAATTTAATATAATTATAGTGAATACTGATTGTTAGTAGTAGTAGGAAGTGGACAGAATGAAGACCAAGTGTACAGTGAATACTGGGAGTTAGTCTTCAGATAGCCTGCTGGAAGAAATAACAGTTACATGGTACTGCAATAGGGTTGTAACTGACACTGAGCTTGGACAATCACGTAGCTGTGCCGAGTTCAGTGCAAGGAAAGACTGGAAAAGGTGTTTGCCAAGCCCCCCTCCCAACCAACCAAGCACGGGCTTTCTGTGTTCCAGACCAAACTCCTTTACCCCAAGGATTACCTGGAAACTTGTGTGAAGTGTACAGAATCCATACATGATACAGTCGGCCCCTGAACCATAGCGCTCCCTCCACTGTCATGTTCTGGCCTGCAATCCAGACATGTACTAGTGCTTAAGAACTTCCTGTACTGAATGTATTGCCTATCTCTACTCAAGTAACTCCCCTCATGCTGCTGTATCACACAAGTGATAATACAACAGAGTTGTTCATCCCCTACATGTACACGTAGGATCCATCGTGTATGTCCCCGGGTCTTACACATGATCGTGTAGGATCCATCGTGTATGTCCCCGGGTCTTACACATGATCGTGTAGGATCGTAACACAAATCATGTAAATAGCGTGTACCTGTGAACTTGTGAAGTACTGCGGGCCGTTTTTTGTCTTTGGCTGTGGCAGACATACACGTGTTGCACCGTGTCGTGCCTTGGGTCGTATCCTGCTTGCTGACGTGATTACTCCAGTCTCTTGCCATAAAGAAACTACTGACATCACAAGGGAGTTTGCAACAAATTCATAGACAGACCCACAGGCAAAGACTCTTGTACAGCCAGGGGCAAGACCTGGGGATTGGCATATGTCAGTGTCACCTGGATGTGACAACGTGCAGGCAGCATGATAGGCATAAGGCCGATATGTACTCGTGGGGTCTGTTAGGACACACGTGTAACTACATGTAGCTTTGAAACCAGGCCAAGTTTACTGTAGGCGCTGTCTGGGATTAACGAATAGTTAGAGACCATCCAGATCTGTCACAAGTACCTAAATCACAAGTGAGAAAGAAGAGAAAGTGATCAGGAGAGAGAGAGAGAGAGAGAGAGAGAGAGAGAGAGAGAGAGAGAGAGAGAGAGAGAGAGAGAGAGAGAGAGAGAGAGAAAGAGAGAGAGAGAGAGAGAGAGAGAGAGAGAGAGAGAGAGAGAGAGAGAGAGAGAGAGAGAGAGAGAGAGAGAGAGAGAGAGAGGTCTGAGACCTTGGTCACTTGCTAGCAATTTGTGCTTACCTGAGTTAATTGCAATCATATCCGGTCTCAAATGCTGAAGAGACACCTAGCCCTGTGGCTGTGACCAGCTCCAGAAGAGTGCATGGAAGACACACTCACAGGGGTTCAACCAGTATCTGAACACAAATATGAAGTGGTACCATGGTGGCTTAGTACCTTGACAATTAAGTCATTACAAGCTGTGCATGAGCACATGGGATGGTGTGACTAGAGAATAGATTGTTCCCTCTGAAAATAGGCAGCACACACGCCCATGAAACCACCAACAAACATGACTGAGTAGCTTGTCGGTGAAAGCCCCACCATGCATGCCCAGTCGGAAATACATTTCTGAAATTGTTGATTTGACTGTCAGCGGTGCAAATTCGATTATGCGTGCCCTGTGCGCAGGCTGTAGAGGCACGGCACGGGAGGATAGCACTGGACGGTGGCGCAGTTGCTAGGCACCCAGCCTGGAGTGTATAGTTCATTGACCTTATTACAATGCATTGCAGCAGACAGTCTGATACCGTCTGGCACTGGGAACTGGTATTAGTATGACTGTACTAGATCTAATGCTTTTCTTTGGCAGTCAAGGGTTGCTCTGCATGCTGGTCAGCGCCAGCTGAAAGATGTCCAGAGACATACATGTACATTGTGTTCATCAGTGGCACTGCCAGGCATATGCATGGTACTTCTGAACAACTGCTGATATCATGATGCTTTCCCAAGCCAATCACCCTGTATTTGAATTGCATGGGCGCACATGCCGATCGGCCAAGGTGTAACGAGCTCACTCAGTGTGTAATGTACAGCCCTGATAATGGTCTGAGTCCTGCTCCCAAAGCCATGCTGAAAGAAGCTGCCACAGAGTGTGTACAAGCAGAATGGGCTGAGAACACGGCCTGAATGAAGCCGTTCTGTACAGGGCCATCCAATAGTGACTGTGAATGACTCCACCTGCTGACTAGATCCATCAAGCACTGCATCTGATGTGTTTACTACTTTGAAGTATAAAAGAGGCTTCAATTCTATTACTATCTGTACTGAACTAGGTCAAGGAGTTGCATGTTGCTGCTGGGCACATGTTATTGGCAGTTTGGTGTTTTGCATACAGCTGTTGTCAATGCACTATACTTAGCAGCTTTGTGAGCCTCTATTGCTCTTCTTAGTGGCCAAGTTTGGCTCTACTATACTCAGGAGTGATGGAAGAGTACGGGTAATTAATTACAGGAGTGTTACACTTGGCCAAGTGTGTCTTTAATTATTGATGGTTTTACAGCCTCAGTAGAATATCACCAATCATGGGCTCTTTAGTTGACAGGCTCTAAGCCTATGGAGTGACCTGGCCATTCTGAGTGTATGGAAAATCCTAGTAGGCCTTTCTCAGTGCTAAGCAACCTTTGCCCAGTCAGGTTCAGGTTGAGAAGCTTCCCTGCACTCTGCAGTGCTACTGCCTACACTATTGAGCATTGATATGGGCCATGGCTCGGAAAGTGGATGATACTAGTACATGTACTTGTGAAGGAATGCCATGGTGGCTGGTTGGGAACATGATCGGGGATGACGGCATGAGCTCTAGGACTCTTGTGGGCAGTGAAGTGCTTGCATAACCAGCCCAGCCTGGATAACCAGCCCAGCCTAGAGGGGCAGATGGCCGGAGAAATACTACACCAGGCACTGCAGATGCAGCTGGAGTCAGTAAGGCAGGAGTGTCCCTGCGCACCATGCATGAACAGTGGCAGCTCAGATTGCCCTATTGGTACTCTTTACACAAGTGCCTAGCTACAGTAGCAGCGGGGAGGGAAAGTAGGCATACTGACCAACCACCACAATCTCAATCCCTTGACAAGACATGCAGAATCCCTGGATTTCTCTCAAAATCCCTGGATGGCACAAAAACAAGTGAAAAAGAGCTTTTCCCGCCAAAAAAACGTTCGACTCTGCAGCTGTGCGTACAGCACAGATCGACCCTGTACTAGGCTGTAGTGCAGTTTGATCAGTCGGCGCCCGCCTGTCACTTTGTCAGTGCAGATCTTGCATGGTCAGGTCTTCAATGTGCTGTGCACAGTTCGAAGTGCGAATGAGCACCGTACATACCTTTGAAAAAAGTTCAAAAAACCGGGACATTCGGGGAGAAACCATGGAGTTTTCAGGAAAATCCTGTATCAGACAAAACTTTGGTTTTTCCGGGAGTTTGCTTGAAATCCCCGGGACCCCGGGAGGAGTGTTGATTTTCCGGGATTTTCCCGGGAAAAACGGGAGGGTTGGCCAGTATGAGTAGGGTATGTGCATGTGCAGTCAAAAACCTGTCACTCTGAGGCAAAGTGAACTTACAAATGTGGTCCCCGTTTCCGAGGTGGTCTTCTTATCCAGGGTCATTAAACTTTGACTGGAAATAACATCCCTTGGTCCTAGCTGAAGCGATCCTTTGAGGCAGATGGTCTTCTTGACAGGTTTTGCTGTGTGGTCTACCCAGGTGTCTCGTATGCTTGTTAGTACTCACTTGTACACAACTATATAATTATACTGGATGAATCTCAATGGGAAATTGGTCACATCATTGTAAAATGCTGAAGTCCCCACCCTCTTGACCTCCCCCAAGAAATATATTCCCATCAAAACAACATGGAATGTCCCTACTAATCTCACTGCTTGACGAGCCAGTCATCGAGTCGTCTATCGTAGTATCCTATTACAGCGAAATTGCCCTACTGCCAACACGTTATACCTTAAAGCAGGCCTTGACATGATCTTTGATTTGAGGCCGCATTGTGAGTGCCGGACTGCTCAGTCGGGGAATATGTGCACACTGGAGCCTACACCTTTGTGTTCCATGGTGCTACAGGCCGGCTGTGACATTGCCAATAAGCGTCTGTGTTGGTTTCTGCTAGCTGCATGTACCTTTTTCGGGACTTGGCCTTGCCTTTAGCAGTGGTAGTGAATGATGGAGTGTCATGGCGCTTGTATGGAATAGACTTTGAAATGCTAACCTTGACAATAGAATGACAAGACCTGATTGGGCTACGATCAAGCACATAGCAGAGAGAGAGAAAGAGAGAGAGAGAGAGAGAGAGAGAGAGAGAGAGAGAGAGAGAGAGAGAGAGAGAGAGAGAGAGAGAGAGAGAGAGAGAGAGAGAGAGAGAGAGAGAGAGAGAGAGAGAGAGAGAGAGAGAGAGAGAGAGAGAGAGAGAGAGAGGGAGAGAGAGAGTGCATATTCACGGTGGGTCAAGAAAGCCTGATGGGACCTGTTTGGGTGAGATGAGTAAAGCAGATGAAGTGGCAATCTCGACGTTAGCATATCTAATGAAGTACAAGCAGCTCTGTCAGCATCAGTGCCCAGCACGTTTTCCGGCCAGGGCCACTTTGGATGACGGTTGAATCAGGTGTCGTCTGTAAGAATGTTTAATGGGCCTCTCATGCGGTACATCTGCAGCAGGAGGCAGCAAAGAGGCTTGTTTGCTGAGGCACAAGTAACAGTTCATTGTAGTGGAGTTGTGACAATGTGACCGCAGCAAAGTCACCCAACATTACTGATGTTACTTGTTGTCAGGCAGCAACCGGCATCACCGTGATCACAGCATGAAAACACTATGATCCCTGTGGCACTTGAGTGTGTCCTCTAAATGGCCTTGCCAGAACCTTCGTACACAGTGTGAAACACATGCTCTGTGGCTTCCCTCACAACGGTGCAGCATGTTATTGTATGTTACTGTTTGCATAGCAACCTTGGCTGTGCTGTGGAGAAGCCAGTTAGGCTTGCAAGCATGAGTAGTCTAGTACTCATAGTAACTATCCTGTCAGTCAAGGTGACATGAGTGTCATGGTGGATTGTGTGTCCCGCCCCAAGCACATAAATTATAGTCAATCCTGTCTTCGGATATTGTGAGCTAGTAATAACAATGACGTGAAGCAAAATACAAGAATGGATTTATGACAAAGGAAGCCAACATAAAAAATACACTTCGAAGTCGGAAGAAAATGTTAATTTAACGGTCACTGCTTGGATGACGACTACACCATAGCTTAGTGGTGGAGCATCGCTGGCCATAAGCGGCGAGGGTCCCTGGTGGAGCATCGCTGGCCATAAGCGGCGAGGGTCCCTGGTGCAAGTCCTGGTGGTGACAGTCACTGTTTTTCTTCTTCTCACGTTTGCAAATTTCCCTCAAACTGATGAATATCTGGACTATACTTTTTTTTTATTCCCAAAAAAACCGGCAGTGCACGCGCCTTCTGTTGGGTCCGTATTGTGGGCGCTTGCTGATGGGAAAATGTTGGCATGTCTGCTATCAAAATGAAGTTTAAGGGCCGGTGTCTGGTGGTGAGATTGTGGTACACGGAGGAATTGCCTACTTAACTGAGACCAGAACATCATATGCAACACATTCTTGCACGTACTCCGTGCTAATGGTGACCAGGGGAGGCTCATTAGACACAGTTGTTGCGCCAAAACAACTTTGCTTTGTTCTGGCAAGCGACAAACAAGTGGCGGAAGTGAGTGCGTGTGACTGTCCAGTTGGAAATTATCATACACTTGTACACTGGATGGCCGGCCGTGACTGTGCTGCCAAGAACGTGTAGGTGTTATGTGCACTGTAGCTCAGTCCTGGTTAAGCTTGTGAGTGTCTCGCTGCACATCTCTACTCTCAAGTACTAAGCCTACATAATACAGGGTTATGCCATCTTGCAAATATTTCAAACTAGCATGAAGCCGTGAAAGCGTAGTTGGGCCCAGGTATTGCCTGGGTGTGAAAAGTAGCCATTCCTGGATGATAATTGTATTGTCTGCAGCGACAGGGTTGGGCTGTACAATGGCGAACACGAGTACCACTCTGCAGAAATGAAGAACAGAACTGTGCCTTTCTTGTTACTTCAAAGTGCTAGTACATAAAACAATCAGTTTAACCGGATGTCACCTCTATGGTATGCTGGATTCCGCTGAACAAAGGTCCCCCAGGGGGCACTATATCGTTCCAAATATAGCACGAATATTGTGACGGTTAGAGCTTTGGTGCACAGTGCACTGATTCATCGAATGAGTTGTATTTTATCACATTGATTAACAAAACAGCTTTTAGAGTAGCCAATGGTGGGTGCGTTCTTGTTTGAAACAAAGAAGAAGGGAGAAAGTGAAAATTGGCTGGGGAAGGAAGGAATAAACGGTTTGTGTGTATCAAAACTGTTGGGTAATCTTAGGCGATATTGTACCATGGTCAGGGCTCAGTCCTTGTGCAGAGTTCTGGATCCTCAAAGACACCATTACTGATATGAGTACACCCACAGGTACATGATAATTATTGTATATCCCGATATTATTGGCCATTACTAGTCGCATTGAGATGGGTAGCATGCCACACTGGAGAGTGGAGAGTGCATGTGGAAACGCTGGTAGCAGCATGCAGCACTCAATAGGACTCGATAGGCTTGAAAGAGGCCCACCAATGCCTAATTACTAAATTAGCAAGGAATTGTCTGTGCGTACTGGAGAAGCAGGTCATGGTGTGAGCTGTTGGGTGTGACGAGCACACACCGTCGTACCATGTGTATCTCTAAGTGCTTTCCACTTGAGTAGTGGTGTACAAAATTCCATTAGTGTGATCAGTGCCAGTACTTCTTGCCACATTCCAACAGCCCAGTCAGGGCGGAACGCCCAGTGTTCCCTCTGCTTTCTACATGTATGTTGGCAGCGAGTGCCGCTTTGTACTGGTGTCAGTCAGTAGTGTGTCTAGCAATCTGTGTACAAACCGCAGCCAGTTCTCTTGCGCCCTGCTAACGTCGTCAGCATAAGCCATACCCACAGTGGAGCTCTGTCACGGGCAAGTTACTTAGACTAATTGGGTATGGAGTCGGTGTACATGCAAAATTCCCTAGGCCCTCGAGTGCAATGTGACAAAAAAGCATATTAGGTTTCCCCCTCCGAGTCAATGATACCCCTTGTTTGTCCACATTTGCTTGAAAGGTTTCAGGAGAATCTGCCAGTTTGTCACTCACTGACCTCTAGTCACAATCATGATGATTAGTCACATGACTTCCAGTGCGGCAATGACATCTACCTCCCGGTAGAATGTCCGCATCTCTGAGATAACTTCGTGAGTCGAGTGTTATTGTCAAGAAGAATGCCAAGGAGATGGTGCTCTTCGCAAGTCTTCCTTGGCAACATGGGAGCACTCTTCCAGACTTCCTCCCACTTTGCAAGTTCGTACTCGAGTGGTTCAATGTCAAAAGCAGAAAGTAGTATGTATGAGCTGGGGACATCGCGAAATCAGTGCAGTCTGTCACTAGCATGCATGCATGCGACAATGTGCACCACACCAATGTGCCTGTGACCAGTAGAGGGTAACCATGGTAACTTGTTTTGCGTGACAGGCACACGTATCCCTGCTCTCCTGCATGACGTGTGCGCCACTGGGTACGGGTGTTGATTGGCAGAATAAGCGGCTTGCTGCATGCATGGTGGTTTCCATGGTGGTAGCATCAAGTATGATGGCTGAAGGCTGGTCATGGCCCATCCTAAGCGCTCGAGTACCACCAAGACTCAAGAGTACATAACCCCCTAGACTAGAGTGTCCAACTCCAGCTATGGGGTCTGCAACGGCAGAACTAACTTCACATCATGTCACGAAGCTGTACACATTATTTGCACCCTGTGCATGATAGATACAGGGTTGTACGCAACCCTGCTTTGGGTTCAAATCTCTTGTGGTCACCTTGCATTGTTTGCCAGCGTTAGGGCAGACCCGAATTTGCTAGCAATTCTTCTAGCAAAATATCGAAGAATTTTGAAAGGGAATTTGCTGGCAAAATGGAGCAAAATATCGGTGTGTTGGCTGGGAATTGGGAGATTTTACACATATACGGTGCACATGACTCATTTCGGCACAGTTTTACCAACACGTGACTCACTTTTTTCTCATTTTTGCCAACACGTAACCCACTTTCGGTCAGTTTTCTCACACGTGACACAAATTTTGGAGCAAAAAGGGAGCAAAATATCGAGTGGCCTAGCAAAATGAAAGCAAAATTTCGACGATGCACGAGCAAAATTATGCCGCAAAATATCGAGATTCAGCTGGCAAATTCGGGTCAGCCCTAGCCAGCGTAACCTTTTGAACCATGTCACGTGATGTGAAGTTCTACCGTCGTAGCACTGTATAGAGGTTGTGTAGGCAGTTGCACACTCTTGGGGGGGGGGGGGGGGGGGTACTAGTATGCACTCTTGGTACCCCTCATCAAGTAGCCATAAAACAGTCTTACTGGTACAGGGATATTAATAGGCTGAGGCGCATCAGTACAGTCAACTTTGCGTATAACGACACTCGGCGGGGCATCAGAAAAGTGTCCTTATTCCCCAAGTCTCATTGATATATGTATACAGGTTAGATGGGACCTTGCTCTTGGCATGGAAATTCTGTCGTTATTCGCGGATTGTCGTTATATCCGCAGTCGTTATTAGCGAAGTTGACTGTACCTCATCACCTGTTTACGTTCACCTGGAACTAGCGGATGACCATGTGCAGATTGCAATGCAGCAGAGCTAGTCTTCGTGGGTTAACCCCCCCCCCCCCCCCCCCCCACACCTGGGCCATCATCTAACCGTAACACTGTACGTGATCTTAGTTATCTAACTTGTCTACGTGAACCAGTTGCCGTGCGGGTCGTGTATGCACTACACAAAACAGACTGTGTTCTATCGACAGAGCACATTTGTATACATGTTTGTGCATATCTGTGCATGTGTTTGTGCGTATATGTGTGTATGTGTATGTGCACGTGCCATGCGAGCAGCTAGGCGCACAGATGATCCGTGCATGAAGGGCACGCACAACTGCACCGACAAGCAGTCGTGTCACTCGCGATTCCAGAACCCGCTGCAGCTGTGGAACGACACCCTGCCGGGGCGCTTCCTGTGCAACGATGACGTACTATGCAAAGAGGGATTTTCTAGCGCTCGCAACGACAACAACGACTTCTATTGCCAAGGTATAGTTCCAATATTTTTTATTCAAAATCAATTTTGCTATGGGCGAATATGACCGTGCGATGACTCTGCAGTACAAACCAAAACCATAAATTCGCGGCGACGTGTTGTGAACAATGCTGGCATGCTCAGTTCAAACTCTAGCTTGGTGACTGCCATATACTGTAAGACATGTTATTATAACGAGTCGCAAATTTAACGATTGTCCAAAATTCATAGGTTAACGAGAAGATATGTTAACGATCTTGCAGTATTCTGCCATATCCGCACACAGCATATATGAAGCAGTACGGCCTCAACGGATCTTATTATAACGAAGAAATATCATCCGTTAAAACGTTAGATTTGCTTCCTCGTTATATATACATGTCTTACAGTAGAGCTCATTGGCTTCAAACCGTTACATTCCCTCACGGAGACATGAATGTAGAGCGGTGTACATTTGATGTGCACATCAAGGGTCTGTAACTAGGACTGCAAGAACACCATGCAATGTTTCAAAGCCGGTGATGTTAGTGAGCGCAGTGCGTAATTCATGTAAGTGGGTATGGACACCCAGAAGTGTGCAATTCCCATTGATGCAACTTTGGACCGGCCCGGCTAGCTTCAGTTCAGTATATATCACAACGAGGAAGCAATTTCTTCTTTCTCGCGGTCACAAGAAGGAGTGGTATGAATTCGCACAGCTACTGTCTGCCTAATTTCTAAGTGGACCCCTCGGGCGAAACTCGCCTCTATTACTAGGGTAGGAGCTCCCAACCAGTTCAATTGGAGAACTGAAGAACTACATGTACCTATTCCTGATTATGAGTCAACCAGGTGTATTGGAGGCATAAGCCGGACCGCCGGAAGCAGTTTTTGATTGGTCCCCCCCCCCCCCCCCAGTAGTACAGTGGCTAAAACATGTGTTGGCGGGCAAAAAAAGTTTGTCCGGAGATAACCTGACCAACCGGACTTGTTCCGGCGGACCTGATAAGTACCAGCTCATGCTCAACTGGGTCAATCCTGTCGACCATGAATGTTCCAACACCAACCAAGATTTGAACGTATGTGCAGAAAAACATCAACGGATGGCTTACACTCATTCTATTCAGTGTCCTGAGACCTTGGACCATGCCCCTCCAATATATTCACTTACATTGAAAATTCTAAAAGCTCCTATTTCTCTTACCCCAGTCCAAACTTCTATGCAGTCTACGATTTAAAAAAAGGCCTGCAAGAACATGTCCGGTTGGTTAGACCAGGGCTGGATCGACTTTTTGGACACCACCTTGTGACAGTGTTTACTGCTGGTTAGGTTCTGTGCAGCCACCATAGGTATGGCTGGACCGATCACAAACTCATTCCGCGGGTCCTGATTTAAAAAAAAAAAGGTTCCTCTTTCCTGCCCGAGATGGTTGCTCCAAGCCCACTGTCCGCTCTGCATTGGCCTGCATTGGTCTTGTTCTACTATAGTACATCTCTATCGAATGAAACGTGCACTGTGTTAGCACGGACATTGTTCCAAGCACAGGTGCCAGTATCTTCCAAATTGAAGTATGTTTGGATGCATGAGAAGTCCCTCGGATACTAACTCGGCGCACTCATTCTTAATTCAAGTCGAGGGCTCACAAAGTAAAGGGAAAGTGGTGATACTTGGATGCAGATAAAACAGACTCGCAGAAAAATCAAACTGCTTGCGAGGTCTCATCTTGAAAGGCACTCCCGGGTCACAAAACATTTGAAGCCAGCCAAACCGTAATCAATACAAAGATACCCTAGGCTTACTTCGAAATACAAAATAGCGCTTTCATTGTTTCCTGTACCCAAACCTTCATCCGAGGCTTTGTTTGTGGCCGAAACAACATGGGCCGTACTCGTGCACATTTTGAATCCATGACGTATCATTCCTCCCCAAATCGCTGTGGAACAGAACGGTACTGTAAGAGTGGAATCTCTAACGGGGCACAAAGTCTAATGTTTTAACGAGAAGAAATCCATCGCAACCTTAAAAAAACGTTACACGTGTGTTATTCCTTTTCTCCTCTGTACTTGAGGAACAGAGGATAGGTGTGTACTGACAGGGTCGTTAAACTTTGTGCCCGCTAAGTGGGAAATTGTTGCAAATCGTTAAACTTTAGACTCGTCACACTTTGAACTCTTACAGTGCCATGGGGAGGAACACATCTGCTCTATCACTTAGTACACTACATTGCTGCAAGCAAGACTGAGCGGTAGAATTGCATGGCAGCTCGTATAGCGATCATCTCATGAGTGCAGTATACTGATACTGGGGAAATCAAGAAACAAGAAGACTGATACTAGTTCATGAGGATGACAGTAAGTCGGAGAAGCTGAGAACCCAGCACCGTATACTGTTTTTGATCAGCAGTTGTTCGTATGTGCCATTCGTGACACTGAATCCTGATGACAGGGTGTGTGTTATTCAGTGCATGCCATTCCTGGTATTCAGTGCATAATATTGAACGGAACACGGTAAACAATATGTCCACACTTGAGACCTGGCATGCATGTAAACTGTAAAGGCTCAGAGTCTATGACGCTCGGAGTACAATAATAAAAATTCCCCCAGGTCCATAATCATCCGATGCGGACGGCGAGTGTGGCTACAAACGGCATGTAGAGATGTTCAGACGAGCTGTTCCCAACCAACTTTTATCCACTCTCTGTCACATCATGAAATACAATCTTAGGCTGTGATCATTTGGTCGGATCCAGATCCAGGTCCGTCAGATCCACTGGATCTGCAGTGCTCGATTGGTCAAATCCGGATCCAGATCCTTCGGATTTGGAGCCGAGCAACCCTGCCCCAGGAGCGGGGTTGACTGATGGAAAAAGTGATCGGTTGATTCTGAAGGATCCGACGGATCTGAGATTTGGGGCATGTTCGATTGGTAGGATCTGGATCCCGATCCACCGGATCCACTGGATTCGCACCCTTTCGATTGGCCGAATCCGGATCCGGATCCTTCGGATTTGGATCCGGTCAACCCATCTCAGGGAGAAGGGTTGACCGGATCCAACGGATCCAAATGTGACCGATGTGCGTATATGGCGGGTAAAAATCATTTTTGTACACATTGTGGTACGCACATGTGGAGGTTGTTGACTTTTTGTACGACACGATGAGTACGACTTTCACCCTTTTGGGTGATTTGTGAGCGCCATTGTATTACTTCGTCAACATGGCAACAGTCAAGGTCCAAATAAAGTGTTCAGTTGACTCTGAAGGATCCAAGGGATCTGGGATCTGGATCCCGATCCTTACCAATCGAACATGCCCTTGGATCTGGATCTGGATCCGACCAAACGATCATAGCCTAAAGCAATCGACGTGCATGTACATAAATATTCCTACTCATATGCCCTGTTCGGTCATGCACTTCATTTCCCTTCAACAATGTATCTATACAAGTATGCAATTGTTTTCATATTTTTCAGGATTTACCGGGTGTTAGCGGCCGTCGTGAGTTCCCTTCGGGAACGGACACGATAATTTATTTTTTAATTTTTTAATCAAGTACCATACATGTGTACGAACTTTAATACAGCAGGGACTTTCTGATCCCAGGACTTCACACTTCATAATTATCATGGAAAATCACTTGGGCGTCAACTCCACCACAGCCGGCCGCACCGTAGAACGGGTTTATTCATAACGCGTCGCCAGTTGCATGAAGTAAGAACCAAAGGAAAACTGCGACGACCCAAATTGGGCAATATATAGAACACCCTATTGAAGTGTAAGATTGTCCGTTGTCCATGATATTTTTAGTTTAATTTTTTACTAGCACATTACAAGATAATAATACCATAGCAACTGGCACTGAGACTACCAGTACATGTACACCATTGAACTGCCGCTTGCGTGACTGAGGAACACTGCCTAATATTGCAACACACAGCTGTACTGGTCGAAGCGGCTTTTTCAGTTTTATGACCAGTAGGACCATATACATGTACAGTCGTCCCTCTCTAATCCGGCACCCTTCCAAGCCAGCACACTTTCTGGCAAAACGGATTTTTTCAGTACATTGTTTACGCTTTAATCCGGCACTTGAATTCCGCCTCCAGCAGCGATTTTCTGCAACAAATCACTCAAACTGTACATAATTCGATTTTCTAATCCAGCAGTTGTACATCGCATGCCGTCAGGGAGCATTGTAACATACACAACACATGTAACATATACTTGGAATATCCTATGCCCGTGCATAGGATACTCCCAAGTGTATGTTATAGACATGCGTTCCACAAAGTACTTGGATTGACACGGAAAATCCCTACGTTTTGACGTACGACACAAACATGTCTGTTAATAGGTGGGCCGGGTTGGAGGGCAGGATTTGATAATCCAGCACCCTTGTTTATCCAGCAGAAAATGACGTTGCAAAAGGTGCCGGATTAGAGAGGGACGACTGTACATGTCACGTAACGTCGTTGGTTCTCCTTTTCATTCTTCAGGCACCAATGGTATTGCCGTGTCATTTTCACCCATTCCAGCTACCATGGAATGTCCAGTGTATCATTTTAAAATCATGCTGTAGTGCTGAGAAGCTATCCTCGCTAGAGCCTCTCCGTCCTAAGATGTTTTCAAGTTGTCCTATGAAGACTGCTGTGCCTACTGTGGCACTGGAATTGGGCACAGGGAAAATGATCAGCCCTGTAGCTGACCAGGAATCGTACCCTGCTTCAGCGGCTGGCTCCGTGCCTATTCTTTTTCTTTCTTCTCGCAAGCACTCTCACCCCGGCACATGTCCTTGCATACTCTGGCATGCTTTGCCTGTTGTCTTCAACCAACCAGGATACTCAAATATAGGACTACCGAATGAGAAAGACATGCATGTGTGACCACTATCGTCGGGAATTGCACCCGCAATCGCTCAACTGGAAAATGCTACAGCGCAGCATCATGCTAATGCACCATATCGAACACACACACACATGCGCATACACACACACATGTGCATATACACACACACACACACACACACACACACACATGCCCATCACCGAGACGATGATGATGGTGCAGAACCTATAATTATAATATTATGCTAGACATCAGGGAATCGTATTTTCGACTCCCTGCTAGACATTGCAATTTGTTGTGCATGGGATTGCACCATTCGACAATTCGCCAGGCTGAGGCATTGACCACCACTATTAGCCTTGTGCACACACACTCGTACATACCCACACACATGCATTATAGTTACACACATATAGACACACATGTGCATACAAACTGGTACAGGCCAGGGAGTCGTAAAATATATTACCACCCCCTGGTACAGGCACTGTCGGGTAGGTTTACACTGTAAAAGTTTATTGTTCACATGATGTGATAAAAATCATAAAACTCTGCTGCCTGTGAAAGGACAGTAAGCAAGGTCCATGCACAAGCAGCTGTTGGCAAGCGAAGCACAGGATACAGGATGTGCAAGTTTGGAATCACCTGTCCCCATGAAACACCAGTAACAGCACGGCACAGACAGTGCTCCAGTGCTTCAAACAGCAGATGGTTTCAGCCAGTTCAAACAGCATGCGGTGCCAGCAGAACAGTGGCAAACGACAGCATGCACTTCAATACAAGACAGTACTGTCTCAGCTGCTACTGCGATCTATGTCGACCACTGCTTACAGATTATTTGCCACCCGCATGCATGGGGAAATGCAACCAAAGTCGGTGAAGACATGCGTAGACTGTACAGGCAAGCAAAAGCGAACACAACCATGTGGATTACTACTACGGCAAGCTTCTAGACAACGGCAACATCCATGGTGACATCCAACAAAACGGCACGCATACAGTTAACAATGCGTGCGCAGAAAATACCACACACACACATATTGCTGCCCAGACGTTCACACAATGGTGCCATGAGGTTGTGGGTAATCACTGTACCTGGAGAAAGGATGCACAATAATTATTATATTTATAAACCAGCTGTGTTAAAATACACGTCCAAGGCTACTCTGTACGACTATGTATGCTGTACATCACAGTTAGCCAGTTAATCATCGTGAGCACTTCACAGAGCATTCAACTGTTGCAAAAGAAAAAGAAGCAAGGGATGAAAGTATAAATAATTATCGGATAAAGCAACTGTAGAGGAAGTTTCATGGGAGAATTCTAGCGACTGCTTTACAGAGATAAAGGGTGCCAGCACTTATGAAAAATGAGGAGTCAACGCACAGAAAATATATCCTGCTTGGGAAACGAATGGGTTGGTAAGAATGAACTACATGGGTTGTACAGAAAACTTGGCAATAAGGTCTCTCACACGTCCCGATGAAACAGGCCCCTTACCCTTGGGATTGATGTACGTGGTGGTTTTGGAACTATACGCAGCGCTCGTGCGCCGGCTATTCACCTTGCGGGAAATGCGCCATCCATCACGACGAAGCTCCGCCGACACTGCGTAGAGCGATGGGTACTGTGCAGTGCATTTCCGGACAGTAGAGTAGCCACGACGCAGCGGCGGCTTGCTCTTGGATTTCTGCAATGCTGGGTTGGTGCTCGCCTTTTTGGGCCTGATTGGAGCGCTGTCTTCAGCGGGCGATGCACCAACAGACGCACTTCGGAAGCGGGGCATGTGCCGGTGCGGAGATAGCGGCTCTGTAACGGTGATGGGATCGTCTAACGCTGTTAGGCTGGCAACGGACCCTCTATGGCTCCTGGTGTCTGGCTTTTCTTCAGTCAACTCTGTGTACTTCTTCACAAGACGGCCCACCAGTCCCTTGGTGAGTGCCATCGATGCTTCCTGCTGCTTCTTATCTTGAACAATGCTAGTCTGACTGGCTGATGCTCGGCCTTCAGCCCGGGTCGTTTTTGCTGTGGCGCGACTTGTATTCGCCACACTTTCCATGCGATTCATTGTGGATGTGTTTGCTTGCGTCACAGCGGAGGTAAGAATACGGGAGATATTGCCGCCGCCACCAAGTCCAAGACTGGAGCTGCTCATGCGTGGCTCACAAGAGCGACGTGGTGCAGCAAAGCGATAGTCAGTCGACATTGGCACAACAACTTCAGGCTTATCGAGCAGATCCTCACCTAGTGGCTCGCACTTCGGGGAGCTGTTAAGCTCCAGAACTGTCTGTCGTTGGACTTCCGGTTCTTCGTCCTCCTCCTGTTTGTCGTCCTGCTGATCATCATCTTTGGCATTCTCGTCGTCGTGCTCATCATCACTTGGACAGAACTGGAGCTGCTCACCCACTGTGCCATAGATGCTACTGTAAATATCCTCACTCATGGCATAGATGGTTGGGTCAGTCGTGGATTCGTCGCCGACGGTTTCGTCAGCTGGGGAGTCACCGATAGCTGTAGAGCTAATGCTATCCATCGAGGTGACACTACCGGCGGGTGTTAAGTCAGCGTGCGGTGCATCACTAGGCTCCAGGTGATTCTCGTTGGCCTGCGAGTCTTTCTTGGTTCGACCACTGCCGCGCTTCGCCTTTGTCACCTTCTGTCTCTGGAATCTATCCTTGTGAACCAACGGTGAGCTGGGTGCATCTCCCTTGGGCACAACAGCTCCGCCAGACTCGATAGAGTCCATCATCTTCTTCCTTGCGTCAGCTGGCAAGTTGGGAAGGTGCTCTAGAATCAACCGGCGGAGTTGAGAAATGACCTTATTCTTCTGTTCAGCATCTTTAGCATACAGGATACAGGCCTGTGTTTTCCCATCCGAAGAGCAGAGCTGGAAGGCAAGCGGATCCCGCACACTAGGAGGAGACTCAACCACCGTGAGCTGCGACAGGAGAATGTGAGCCTTGTGCAGGTAGTTTACGTTATCCTTCGCTCGCTTTGTCAGGACGACCAGCTTCTCAAATATATACACTTTTCGTTTGACTTTGGCGCCCTGAGCACGGAATACACCTTCCATAACAAGCGCACCAGGCTCATCATCGTACGTTAAGCCTTGAATCATCTTGATGAGCTCTTTCGCTTCCTCCTTTCGCATTGATGCATTGATATAATTGGCAACACTCTGCATGGTGATCTGCGCTTTCCGCAGGAGGTTGTACGTCTCATCCTCAGTGCTGACGGCCTTTCCATATTGTTTGAGAAGGTCAGCAAGAAGAAGATGATACTTCAGGATTCGCTGCACAGGCTTGAGCAAGAAAGCACTCAGTGGCAGCATGTGCCCCAGGGCAAGCTGACATCCATAGAAGAACTCTGCTGCAGTAGGCTGCTGTTGAGCTGATGTTAGTGTTTTGATGGAACGTGGGTGATTTGTACAATAGTCAGTATAGATCTTGAAGTCAGATTCCCTTTCCAAGAAAATGGAAGCCAGACCGTTTATATCATTTTGAGAAATTTCAAACAATTTCAGCAGTCTTCTGCTGAACGCATGCAGTCCTGCCGTATTGCCAAAAATCGTGTCAACATCCTCAGTCTTCACTGGCAGATGCTGCTGGACTTTAATAGGCTCCTGATATCCTTGAAGAACATCGCGGAGGGAGGTTACATAAGATGACTCAGTGTCGATCAGCTCCTTTATGACATTACGGCATCGGTCCGGCACCGAAGAAGCAGATCCCAGAGACGCCACATCCTGATACAGGTCGTCACCGTCCATCAGATATCTCTGTCAACTGCTCTGGTGGCAGCGAAATCCACAAAACTGTCACCCACTCCGGGTTACCAATCCCTCGCCGCTGTCAGCCACCACCATGTCCAGGACCAACTTTGCTATTTCGCTCTCCTGATGATGACGAGTACCTAACCTACGCAACCAGAGCTCCACTGCCTGCTTCGAAGTCCTGCACAGACTTCACCAAACACGCATGCGCAAGCCACGAAGTGTTTTTGATTACTGCAACTGCAAGCTCATCCATATCCAAGCTTCCCCTACGCCTTGCACTGGCACTTGTTGCATGCAGTTGGAGTTGCATTCGCACAGCATGCACCTACAGATATGCAGACACTCACCAAGAACGTGTACACAGATTCTGCATACGTAGTACAAGGGCCACACACCATGCACACTGACGTGACACATGCGCACGCACGTAACGTTGGAGCGGCTAGTCTACGAAGCTGTACGACTGCAGCACGAGATCGAGAGGCGAGAGCGATGGTATGATGTACGCAACTCGGATATCGGCGCCGTGTCCTCGCTCTCCATCAAGCTGTTTGATTCCCGAAAGGTTGAAACGAGTGACTCTTCACCGGATCTTGTACGAGTCGTAGTATCCTGCCAGGGGATGTAGATCGACGAGGTGAAGTTCGGGATAGGAGCTGACCAACAGCAAACTGGAAGATCTGCTGTGTTGTGCGAAAGTTACTTGCAGATTTTGTGCAGTTGACAGCAATGCTGCGGTCCAAATATGAGCCACTTCCTGTACGCAAGACAGCAACTTTTTTCATTACACAGACACCCCGCATGCACCGATCAAGAGTTTGTTGCTCCAGGGAGAAGAGTTTTTGTTCAAGACTCGTCCTCTCTCAACAGACAACTGTTACTTGCAGAACGTAACTGTTTGTCCAGTGAAATTTGTTTGTACTGCTTTCCTGCCTTGACTCCCGCTGACAATGTGACATGCACCCACACGGGGCCACAGAAGCGCGGAAGTGAAAACTACGAAGCGTGTCTTCACTGACGTGTGACGAACGCTGGTGAGGTGCTGAGTACGAATCAAAATGACTGTACTGACTGTACATGGACTGTATTTTGCTGGGAATCAAATTCTGCGTTATCAACGAGGCGAAAAGAAGCATTGGTTCCTGACGGGAAAACCACCGTCTAAAGCAGTGAGGCAGGCTCAATGTTGTTACAACTATGACTGAGTGTCTTTCCGTGTGAGCTACATGGAGAGTATGCCGCGCAACTCAATACTAGTATGCGGATACGGTGCAGTGTATCAAGAAGTAATATGGCCACCTGCTCTGGCCTTGAAGTGGAGTGGGATGGTTTCGTTAGCAGCCTAGCTACCTAGCTACATGTTTCTGTTGCCAGTGTTGGGACGTTCAGTGAATGTTCTAGGGTAGGTACATGTACTGGTAGTGTGTTCAGCTTTCCAATCAGACTGCAGATATTTTAGTGTTGACACATACACTCATAGTCATAGAAAAACCTGATGTGAATAGAAGCCTAGCCCTGACATCGGCTTCTACAGGAATACGCCTTTAACTTAATTATTAATACGCGACATTACAGTACGTACTACTGTATTGTAATAGAACGCACGCACATGACTGTACAATGTTCTCGACAGACTCCTTGCAAACACCAACAAGATCAAGCGTACATAAAAAAAACTTACGGGGTGTGCAGTCTTGCATACATGTATTCATGACATTATGTTTTCGCCGATGCAAGTATAAGCTACGTGTATAGCCTACATCAGGGCTTGTCAAGCCTTGAAAGTGGTACATCCAACACCCAAAAGAATAAGCGAAAAAAGAGGTGCAATCCGATCGTCACCAAACAAGACCTTGCTAGAATATGAGGATTCGGGTTAGTTGTTTGAACTTGTTTCCACCAGGGGGGAAGTACAATACTGGGCATCATACAGTAGTCAGTGGTCACGAGCCGAAGAACATGGAGTCCAAGAACATCCGGAACTACTTGCTACAGTTCAGACCTCACTATATTGACCCCACTATAACATAAACCTCACTATAACGTATGAAATGCAAATGTCCCTGCCGGGGCCGCATCACTTCTGTGCAAAGTTTCCTCGCTATAGCATAATCCGCTATAGTGTAATTTTTGCTATAATAACATACTGTTCCTCAGTGTTCACTTGGTCCCGCGCGCACAGAGACCGTAGTATAACACAAGAAGTCGTAAAGTCGAGTGTCTTTCCTGCCTAAATCACTTACTTTTCTTGAAATGTCTGCTCACGGCTGCATACCCTTGCTTGCATTCAACGCACGTGTACTGGCATTCATGCGTTCTTCCAAGACTACAGCCATGTAGACTTGGTACATAATCATGATAACGTGCACTCCACGGTGGTGTTTTCAACACATGCAGTAGACACACTAGAACATACATACGCACTTCCTGAGTTCATCAGAGTGGATCATTAGATTAGCGCTACAGTTGTGATCAGTATTAAAGCAAAGAGCATCATCTTGACACAAAGATCTGCGACAGCAGTCTAGCCAGCATTGCATCAGTGTGAGATGTGATATCAACTCTCACTGTAGATCTATGTTGCACACTCTAATTTATCTGCTAGTAACTGGTGAATTGCAGATGGCCACCTCTTGTCAGACCTGTTGGTGTGTACTTTTTGTTATTGGTTTCACGCTCGTGATAATCTCTCATCGCCCGTTTTCTCTGCAGACATAGAGGAGTGTTTATTCGGCGGTCATACATGCTACGAATACCGTGCATACTGCATCAACACACCCGGCTCATTTCTGTGTGAATGTCATGAGGGATACATCGGTGATGGGCAGCTAGTCTGCAATAATGTTGATGAATGCAGCTTAGGTAAGTGTGACTGTTTGCCTATGCTGCTACATTGCCTTACGTTGCCTGTCGCGGTTGTACATGCGCACGCGCGCGCACGCGCGCGCACACACACACCAGGGGCGTAGCAGCCGATCCGGCTTGGGCCGGACCACTTTTCGCCCAGAAGTGCCCAGAATGCAGGATTTTGCACCCTAATTTCAAAATTTTCCCAGGGGACACTCCCAGACCCCCTCCAACGGCGGTGCTACGCGCCTGCACACACACACACATACCTTTCACATATGCTCCCTCTCTGTCTGTCTGTCTCTCTCTCTCTCTCTCTCTCTCTCTCTCTCCCCACCCCCCCCCCCCTCTCTCTCTCACTCTCTCTCACACTCTCTCACTCACTCAGTCTCTCTCTCTCTCTCTCTCTCTCTCTCTCTCTCTCTCTCTCTCTCTCTCTCTCTCTCTCTCTCTCTCTCTCTCTCTCTCTCTCTCTCTCTCTCTCTCTCTCTCTGCATTCTCAGCCCCCTTATGCTCGTGTAATGAGTGGAAATATTACTACTGTCCGCCCCTCGGCTTGTGCACAACAATCCTGGCTTTTAGAAGATGTTTCTGAAACTCATTATATTCGTGACTAATGTTCACTATATTCGCTAGAAGAGCATAACGTAAAATATTACCCAGCGTAAAGTCAAACCTCGATACGGTGTGTTTGGATGGTGGCAGTGCTAAGCAAACATATACTTTCGTAAACTCCCTGATTCTGAGAAATCATGAAATTCTGTGAGGCAAACATTGGGCAGCTTGCAGTATGTGTCCAAAGCAATGTCTATCTGTCTCGTTCTATTCGTTTTATTTTGTATTCAAGGCGTATTGTGTCGCTGCTGTGCTTTCTGACATAGGTACACATGCATGTCACGAGTCATCGGAATGCGTTGACACGATCGGGTCCTTCGGATGTCCTTGCAGGACAGGCTTTCTGGGCGATGGCCATCTGGAATGTATGGACCTAGATGAGTGTCGATACAACCTGCATAACTGCGGCGACCCGGCACAGGACAACACCACGAATTGCCACAACACGCCGGGCGCCTTCCGCTGCGAGTGTGGACCCGGCTGGGCGGGCAACAGTAGTGGATGCACTGACATTGACGAATGTAGTAGTGCAGCTGCGTTGAGTCCGTGCGGTGCTGCTGAGAACATGCAATGCAGCAACACTGCGGGCAGCTTCACCTGTGCGTGTGCCGACGGCTATCGCCTGCACGAGTCCTTGGTGGATGGTACGATGACTGCCGTCTGTGTGGACGAGGACGAATGTGCAAATCCTCACGCTGCCTGTGATGCCAATGCCCTGTGTGCCAATATACCTGGATCGTATACATGTGAATGCAAGGACGGCTTTTCCGGCAATGGCCATCGATGTCGTTCAGGTACAGTGTCCATATGTTTTATTTTCAATTACAATAGCAGATGCACACAGTTTATCTATAATACTTGTCGTCAGAGAAATGAAGTCGAATCTGGTAGCAATGAGAAATAAACACAGTCGATTATGTACAGTTCACAGTTTGAAGTGCTACAGTCAGACCTCGCTCATCCGGATCCCTCGCCATCCGGAAGAAAATAGCTGGTAACAGATTTACAGCATACGTGACGCATCCAACATAACCGGCGTTTGATTATCCGGTTCCCTCACCTATCCGGATATTTCGAGGTCTGACTGTATTGACAATTATATGCTTTTTATATTTTTTAACCCTTTACCATCCGACCAAATTTCCCCAGCAGTTCCAAATGCAACAATTCTCACCTTATTCTGAGAATATCTGCGGTTCCAATCAACCAATTTTCACAATCTTGGGCATTCTGGAAAGCTCTCCACGAGCTGCGTACATTGAGCTCAAACAGGACACTACCAAGATCACATATCCAGCGCCAGGGAGCTTCAAATACACCCCATCGCTGGATATACGAGGAAATTCTCTCCTCGCCAGCCATTTCTCACTCCTTCATCATAAACATTCCAATTTTTTTGCTGGAGTTTCTTTTCATGCTGCCCACGCGCTCAAAGCATGCCAAAGCGACTCAGCATGTCAGGAGAGTGGAAAATCCCCGCTCAAGGTCAGTCACTCGGAAAGAAATTCGACCTTTGCCGTAGGTGGAATGTCGAGCGTAATATCTTTGGAATGCGACATCGCAGCTCTTTACCGATTGATGCAATGGAAAGCTGAGCTCTTCGGCTTCTTCCTAGATACTTAGTTCTTTAAATTCCGACAAGAATCGATCGAGTTACGAATGTTTTAATGTATGCATGCCCATCGATCTCTAGAGATCGATTCAAGTACGCACGGATGGTAAAGGGTTAAAGAACACTCAGCGACTTTACCCCTGTTTTTATGCATGTACCAGCGTATCATCACATCCATGTATTATAACTTTGTACTATATACAGTCAGACCTCGCTTATTCGGCCCTCTTTTATCCGGATCCCTCGCCATCCGGACGAAAATCGTTGGTTACCGATTTACAGCATATGTCATGCATACATACAGTATGTGTGTTCGATTATCCAGTTCCCTCGCCTATCCGGATACTTTTGTGCGAAACGGATGTGTGCGGTTATGCGAGGTCTGACTGTACCGGTAACTACTAGTGTAGCCAGGTTCATAACCTAGGTTTTTTGCCTGTGCATGTGTCTGCACAGTGAATGTGTTCAGTTTGATGTATTCAGTTTGGGTTTTCGCTTCTTGTCATTCATTTCCAGTCACACAGCGCAAGTGTCAGGTCAGCGGATGGGGACCATGGTCCAACTGTAAATTCGCATGTCACCCCCGCCGACGTCGACGCCATCGCCGGCTGCTTTCTCCGCCCGCTCCTGGGCAGGTTTGTCGGCTGGTCCAGGTAGCAGTGTGCCCCACGCTCAAATGTGACTACCGCTTTGACTACGAGACGCAGGAGTATCCGGGAGTTGTCCGCGACCCGTCGCTTGTGCCGGTCTACGTGTACACAGGTATGCATGCTAAGTGGTGGTGTTCTGCTAACTACGTGCTGGTACCAATAACTGTAATGAAGTCACTTGTTGAAGGGCAGTCTTGTTTCAAAAATAATCAATTCATGGTTAGCGTGAAGAGACTCTGTCAAACCCATCCGTAGGAACGCCACCACCCGCATTTGAATTACAGGGATTTCACTTGTACCGCAATTAACAATGCGGACGCAAGTGAAGTGCTCATTTGACGAGGACAAATGTCCCATCTTGCTTGTGTTCGTTGCAGGATTTCATCCAGGTGACTGTGAAGTGACACGCTGGGGCCCGTGGTCCGAATGTTGTGCACCGATCAGCCGGCACAGCGAAATCACCAACTCTGCAGGCGTGATGGAAGGTGAGGGCGGGGTTATGACCAGCCGCCATCGAAATATTGTGCGGCCAGCGTCGCGGCATGGTAGAATCTGTCCACCCCTTTTCGAGGTGAAGCCGTGTATGAGCCGGAAGCCTTGTAACAATCAGTCTTGAGTCCCACCACCACCAGTCGCTTTGCTCTATCAGTGTTGAGACAAACTTCTGTTCATGCTTGTGAACTAATTCTTCAATTTTCTACATACTGAACTGGACAGAACTCTAGATGTCTATGTGATTCTCAGAATAAGTTTCTGCATTTCTCTCAAGTAGGGAGAATATTTTTACTGCTTGCTTTTCTTTGCCTTTTCCACCCCAAAGTAAATTATCCGCTATTTGATTTCTTTGGTTGTTTTTGTTCCCCGAAATGAGTCTCCGCTGCTGACTGCCCGCGGCTTGTCAGCAAAGCAACTGTGGAAGGTTTTTGTCACGATGTGCATACACGTGTGCCTTGGTGTGCTGAGCTTTGTGTACGCTTCTCTCAGTCATTGCTGTGTGGTGTGTAGTTTACAGCCGCGGGTGAGTCACGTCAGGCGGCGGTAGCGCCAGAGGGTATTGCCTAGTTCGTAATCGTGAAACCTCTGGTACGTTTCCACTTCTCTTGTCGGTGATGTACAGGAAATTTTAACGATTTTATGGATTTTGTCCTCATACCCCTCTACTTGCGAGCACGTGTGTATTCAAACCATTGCATCAATGTTTTCGCAACTCACTTCTGAAAGGAACGGCACTTGAATCTCCACCCCAAGTTTTGAAAATTATCCTTATTTTTATCAAGGGCATCCTTCGTTATCTCTCTACTACAGTACTCTCTTAGGTGTATCCTGTGATACGACCAAGCAGTTGTGCAACGCAGGCACACAGTAGAGCTATAACGTTTTGACCCAAGGCAAAAGTACCTGACAACCAGGAGTGAGCAGGCATCCATATGGATGCCTTTCACTGCAGAATTTCTGGATTTATACGGCATTAATTTTTTAATAAAGCAGATACGCAGCAGCAAGTCTTGTACATGCTACACGTAAAAGAAAAGATGATGCAACCCAGGAGTTTTGCGGTGACAGTAACACCGGTGTTCATCAACTAGCTTGTTGATGCTAAGTGCCGGTCATGCGATACACTACTGAATTATTATTTGCTTCTCTGCACTACACTACCGCATGTCCCCGAATAAAATATGTGCCTTTTACACTGACATTCAAGGGTAAAAAAGGGCTGCGACTTACAATCGAGCATGACCTTCTACTACTGAAGTGAATACATTTATATCAAAACACTATGGCTCAAACCTGAAAATGGGGGTGCGACTTATAATCGGTATGCATTTCGCATGACCGGCAATTTTTTTGTGCTCCCTGCTTTCAACCCCTTTCCAATGTAACTTGTAACTTCACTGCGACTGCAGTTTTTGATGCCCATGGCTTTTATTTTGACCAGATAGATCATGTGCATTCCTGGTATCAAGAGTGCAGAACAGACTCACCACCACAACCCCTGGTCCAGGGCCTGGAATCTGGGGCCCCGGGGATACGAGTACTAATACCAAGAGTACACGAGAGGTTTGTTTCACGTTTTTTTGCCTTTTTTCAAAACGCGGTGCAAATCTCACGTTACGTGTAATTTTTAGAGGTTAAGTAATAGTTACACGTGCGACCAAGAGTGCATACACATGTTTATGGACTCTTGGTGCGACGTGACGTGAATTTTTGCTTGGCAGGATTCGGGTTTAGTTCGCACAAATATCAAATCTTCCAACAAACTCGATAAAACTCCGGAAATTCACACAAATTCGATCGGGATAACCAAGCAAAACTTCCAAAAACCCACGTCATGAACTTACTTACATGTACGTGCGGGACAGGTTTTTTTCACCGTTAGCAAAGCCTCTTGTACGGGCAAAACCAAAAATAGTTATTATGATTATGTAGCTGGCATGCACAGTACTGCGCAGTAACTATAATACACTAATAAAACAAGTGAAATTCAGTCCAAGCAACTTTTAAAATGTGTGTTTTTTGTTTTGTTTTGTTTTTAAAGCTAAAGCTGTAGTCAGAAGCCTCAGGCCGCAGGCATGCCTCTGCAACGACAACCGCAACCGGATCTCGCTGGAGGTAGCGTGACTTGGACGATCTGGCACCACGCAAACACATGATGCTCGACCTCACCAACGCAAAGCACAGCCGAGTGCGAATCCACGCCATGGTGGCAGAATACTGGTCATTTCTCTTTTCAGAGATAAGAGCAGCCAAGCGCTTGTACAAAACTGTGGCGGAAGGAGGCCCTCTCGACTTCCCGAGTCCTCTCCTCATATCTCCTCCTCTTCTCGCGTTCATGGCGGGCATACACAGCGGGGGTTGAGGCAGCACGATTCGAAGCAGCACGATTCGAAGCAGCACGATTCGAAGCAGCATAGGGGTTGAAAACCCGTATATCAAACATTGTGCGTTCGACCCGGCCACCCCATAGCCCGCTGGCAGCGATGTTGAGGCGAGCATTGTCCTCTATGGACGCAGATCGGAGGCTGAACTGCTCACCAGAGAGCGGTTGCAGTGGAGGTTCCACGGATACCGAGTGAGCCACCTGGCGAATGAGGTCGGCGGTGACGTCACGGATTTCATTATGTCTTAAAGGCGGAAATCCACCGGTCGGGCAGGATAACGCGTGGGAGACGTCGAAGCGCGCGTTGCCACAAACGCAGGATGACGGTAAACGCTCCGGCACCCAGCCATGGCAGGATAGAGGACGTGACGTCAGCCAAGCAGAGCTACCACGCTCGGAAGCAAGCTCAAGCTGAGCCGCATGTACAGCACCTTCACCGCTCACAAATCCCTCCTTCAGCTGTTGCTGTGATGCTCGAGCAGCAGTGCGGACTTGCCGTTTTGCGGTCTTGGTAGCGTCTGCCACACCAGCTAGCGAGGGATCTGCCTGAACAATCCTTTCCCTGAGCTCATTAGTAACAGCTCGGGAGTGGGCATAGTGGCACGATTGGGCGGTGGGAATCGAGAGACCCAAACCGCCATCCCGACAAGGGAACGAGAGCATAAACCGCTCCACACTGGACGGAGAGAGGCGACCAGTAAGGGCTGGGATGAGGCGCTCCCTGATGACGGCTTCCAGACCACCAAACTCCTCAGATGATACATATCTCCAAGGTCCGGGACAAGAAAGACCGCTTGCCTTGTAGACCATGGACAAATGCGGAGTAGGCAGCCTGGGGCTGAGTCCGGGCAAAATCGGATAGCCGACACACCTGACGTGTCCACTGGACCAGTCGGTGACCTTTGACTCAACGAAACTGCTGACAAACCGTGGCTCTGGGGTGCCCAAATTGCAAAGCGGCTCCCAAGTGACGACAGCCATCTTTGACGATCTGGACACCCGTCACCAAGGCCGTGCCAGCAAAGAGTGCAACCGCCTCATCATAATGCGCGCTCCTTCACCCGCGCCGCCGCAGCATGGATTTGCTGGCGTTGAGGTGGTAACCATAGCCATAGCCAGGGAGTAGTACAATGTATGTAATCAAGCACGCTCAGGATCTACAAAAGGTAGGAGGTCATGCTGGCTGAATCTTGCCCGAGCCTGCAGCCCAAGGGCCGTAGGCCCGAGGGCTGCAGGCAAGGGCAAGATTCAGCCATCATCATGACAGACAGAGCGTGCTTGATTTGATTTCTTACATCGCGAAGCAACATATTAGGGAAGGTCAAAGGTCGAAAGGTCGAAAGGTCGAAAAATTATTCCCGAAATGACGTCAAACGGTCCGAACATTCCCGAAATGACGTCAAACGGTCCTGAAACTCCCGAAATGACGTCACATTGCGCGAAATCACGCGACACACGTACCTGTACATTTTCGATCTGCGGGATGAAGATGACGACGTCCATGCATCAGGTATCAGGGGGTAGTAAGATACTGATATATTACTACTCCACGCCTCAAATCGTGCTGTCAAGCGTATGCGGGGGAGTGTAGCATGCCATCCCTTGCACTTTCCAGCTCAGGGTTACCCTCGCTACCAATGGACGAAATTTCAGGGTCACAGCTTGCGCAACGGCTTTGGCCTGTTCGAATGGCCACTCGACATACTCAGCACAAATTTTCTATTGCATGCATGCACAAAATGTTCAACTTTCGTATTTTTGGCGACTTTACCACACGGCTGTCAAGAAGCGGCAACTTAGAAAGATGGCGTCGGTTCGAGATGGCATGGTAACCGCGCACGTGCCGTGGCTCGTGACTTGCTCATGTATGCACGCAAATGCAAGTCACAAACTCACAAAGATCGTCTTCGCATTTGGAGAAAATATCTCTCTTTGGAGGTTGGCGAGGTTTGCCTAATCTTTACTTGATTGCGATGCCGGTACGTCCTCTCAATAATTAGAACAAAGAGAGCTGATGATCGCTTCATTGCTGAGCAGAAGTAACAATCAACTCTCCTCATGTCCTCAGTGCCAAAGGCAGACGACTGCAATTCCACAACGCTCATTTCACGATGATGGAAACAATCGTGTACTAGTACACACTTGGACCATTTGGTCATCCCTGTTCTAGCCGCTAGTCCGTCCAGCAAGCAGATATTGACTATTACGATAAGGACACCTGCGTGAACGAGGGCTCGCCCAGCAAATTCAATTCAAGACGTTACTCCAGTCAAGAATTAGGGTCTTTACTCGAGAACTTCACAAATACAGGTCAAGGCACCCCACAAAACTGATAGATGGCACGAACGAAAGACAAATAGGCTAGACAAAGTGTCCCAAGTGATTGAAAACAGCAGATCTACCAAATAAGACAGCTACATGTGCCTAAACAACGATTCCCATACAGTAGAGAGTAGTATCAGGCAGAATGAAAGCCTTGGAAGTGCACAAATACAGCCACGACCGCCACAAAAAATGGACGACCGCCACAAAAAAATTCTCATTGCTCTACCTCCTTGAAGGGTGAAAGTTACCAGTTATCCTATAGCGATGTCAGTTTATGCCTGTTGGAACCCCCCACAGCCCGCACGAAATACCTTTCAAATAATTCCAGGATGCAATTGCAGCTCCAGACAGGAGGAAGAAGAACACCGTGAAAAATAACGGCAACGATGCCCAAACTCTCGGGAAACGGCTGAAGTCTTCCTGAAGATGTTAACATTGAATAGCCATCGATTACCAGCGTGGTTTGGTGACTTTAGAACTGTTTTGAGACTTAGAACGAAGCGATATCTCAAAATTGATGGAATTGTTACCTGTCAAATGCGTGGGCGAGCAGGCCAGCTGACTGGTTATGCATGAACATCAAGAGTAGATAAACAAGAGTGTGCAACTCCGGATCTCTCCTGCACAATCTGCAGATACCCCGCGCCCACGGCGGAATTTTTTGTTTACGTCACCTTTTTTCAGAGAAACGCGGCTTTGCCGCAGAGCAGTGTGAGAGCACGTGCTGGGCACCGACCTTGTAGTGTAAAGCCCAGCCAAGTGCACGAGGGAAAACTCTCCAAAAGGCTCGCAGCGCGTGCGTCGTCGAAAAGATTACGTCAACAAAAAATTCCGCCGTGGGCCAATCCATCCGGAGTTGCACACTCTTGTTTATCTACTCTTGATGAACATGCATGAGCATGCATTGATTTTTCATGGTTCACGTGCAGAAAACTAAGTTGCCGCGATCCAAGTGCAGCTAACAGCCGTGACCACCGTCGTGGAGGCTGGTTGGTGAGGAGCAGGTAGCCATCCCTTGTAGAATCAAACACATGGTTCCACAGTGTGGCTGATTCCGCAAGAGCCAGGTCCATACGAGGAACATTCGCTTTGTCTTTCGCCATCGAAGTAAGTCACTTTCCTTGTTCTCAGTGTTTTTTACGTTCAACGTTTCTGAGATTTTTGAATTATTCACTTTTCATTCTTTCATACTTTATTTCTTCATGTTCACTGCCTCACTTGCCTTCTGATCTGGAGAATGTGATGGAGGTGACTGTTGGTTACTGCCTGGTATAACGGTTGTCGTGCTGTTGCTGTATTTCCGTCCTGCTCGCGACGTTGTAGATCACAAACAATTTGAAATCACATGAATTGTACTTACCGTCGTGCGTGCGGTATTAGGAAACACTGTGCAGATTAGATCGTCGCAATGTATCTATATGTGTGTCTGGTCATCCTGTGCCACGCAAGAACTCCAACCAGACGCATTCGTCCTCGGCCCTGTTGATCGATTGTCCACTTGGACAATCCTTAAATAAAATCAATCAATCAATCAATCACTCGTCTTTCCTTGAAGAACGATCGATCAAAAAAAATCGAGCTCGAGGACTTTTTGCAAAAAAACGGCTGAAAAAAGGAAGAAAAAAGGGTGCTCAGAATGAGATTCGAGTACACAACCATACACAACCATGGTTCCAGCAGTTTATGTGGATGATGTCGCTCATATGAGTCATAGATGCGCGATTTCGCGCAATGAACGGTCCTGATGGCCTGATTATGCCCGCGGCGGGAAGATCGCCTATTGGCCATGGCCCCGGCAACGATCACGTGTCATGTAAGAAACCGGTATAGTACTGGCAAGAGTACATAAACCAGAGTGTGCAACTGTGCATATCAGATCTGAAACAGCGCAGTTCGTGCACTACGTCACCCTGATGAGATCAGCCAAGCCGCGACTTGCGTAGAGCTCAAATTTTCATGTTTCATAGCCCGGAAATCAGCCAAGTTTGCTTGATTTTAGACGTCCTGTTTCAGGATTTCGGTGTTTTGTGTGACTGTGTACCATAGCTATTTATAGGCATCTCCGGACTCCGGAGCTCCGGCTCAGTCAGCCCACGTGCGGGACAGTCAACTCACGTAAAAACACGTCAAATTTTACGTGAGTTTTTTGACTTTTTGACATGGCGCATGGCCGACCGCGCGCGACCGGTCGACCTGGCCCTGCGATGACGCAGCCTTCGTAGCGTGACAGATCACATCATCTACACCGGTTTTTGTACGTGTGGTAGTAGAGCAGCCCGGTTAGCTCAGCTGGTAGAGCATCAGACTTTTAATCTGAGGGTCAAGGGTTCGAGTCCCTTATCGGGCGCTGATACTTTTTTTTCTTTTTCTGTTGCTTGCAAGCTTGCCTGATCTGATGGCGGTATTATTGCGCTGAAGAAGTCAGACATCCTTTGTTGTTTGTGCAGATTTTTGCTCCACTGCTAGGCTCGCGCTCGCGTGTCGCCACTACATGTAACCTCCTCAGGTATTCACTCGATTGACTCTTGATCTCAGGTTGTGTTTACTGACTGTGTTTTCTTGATGTCATCTACTGACACTACTGATCGTTATTGCATATTGTGCAATGCTGAAAAAGCGTGCACGCGGGCATGGGGTATGCACCTCTACTGCTCTAGCTCTCCATGATCCACTGGTTCTGAACTTCTGTATCCCCGGTACACTGTGAGTCGACAAGACCCAAAACCATGTACAAGTCCACCAAGTTCAATACAGTCATGTACACAGTTCATACCAGTCTAGCAGACGCACCATGAAACACACTTGGTGTATGGATCTGGTAACCGCGTACAATTTAGATTCTAGAATACATTGCGCAGGCTCCTGGCTACAGTTACACACAGTAGTTAGCAAACAGTTCTGTTCTGCTGCTCCCTCTGGGGTTGTTGGCTATGCTCACACGTCACATAAACGCTAGCAAGAGGTTTGAAGAGTAAAATGAATCATAAAATTTCACTGCAGCATTCGAGGCAGATCATTGAAACAGTGCGGAGGAATAATATTTGAAAATAAACAAAAAAATGTGCATAACATGCCATTTACCTCAACTGAACTAATGAAATTCATTTAAAAAAACCCAGTTACTACAGGACAAGGTCAGCAATACCAGTAGGAGCCACAAAACAACATCATTACATGTAGACAAACCAAAGAGAAATGATAACCTGTCAGCAGCAGCAACATGCCAGCAGGCAAGAAAGATACCGGGCGGGAAAACACCATATTGTGTGGTGTAGGTAACTCTACCTAGGCAACAACGAATACAAGCAGAATTTAGTAGCTGTGAGTTTCACTCTCTAACTAGACGGGGCCTTGAGCTCAGATGCAGCATCAACACTCGGAACGCTGGGTGCCAATTGAAGGCCAGGAATATCTATTGACGGCATGGGCGGAAGCTCAAAGCTGGGTGCAGTGGAAAACTCCGGCATGCTGATCGGCTGCTGGCTGGGCGGCACAGTTGCGGTCTGAGCCACCGGTGAAGTAGACGGCAGTGGCGAGATTGTAGCCGAGGCTTGTCCACGCACTACTGTCACGTTGGCTGGTGTGGCATAGGATGGAATGGTGGTGCTGCCCGCGCCAGTCAATGGCGACACGGCAGCAAACGGAGCAGCCTGCCTGGAGTCGAACTGCGACGTCGCGCCAGTGCTGACTGGGTTGGACATTGGTGGGACGTTCGATGGCAGCGGTGACATGTTAGACATCTGCGGCGCAGACTCCAATCCGGGCATCAGAGGCGCAGATGTGCTTGGCATCATCTGTGGGACTGTTCCAGGAAGACCTGTGGACGAAACAGCAGGCATAGTAATCGAGGGACCTGCTAGCGAAAGGCCGGCAAGACCGGTGTCGATACTGGCCAGACCAGCAGATGGCATAGACACAGCGGCACTGCTCGTAGGCACTTCCATTGCAGGCAACTGGCCAGCTGCGGTAGTCGTAGCTGGGTACATCGGCTGGGCGACTGGTGGTTGCATTGGAACCGACTGCTGTCCTGGCGGCATGGCATACTGCATAGGTGCTGCATTGCCCAGTGGTACTTCTGAGAAGCCATCGGCACCTGGCGAGGCTGGCTGTCCAGCGACGGGTTGCTGATGGGGTAACGTGCCAGTGGTTACAGTGAACGCCTCACTGGCAGCAGCACTGGCTATGGATGTGGCAGAGCGTGGAATGCGATGCAGATATCCATAGCCTATGTCGCAGCCCAGCATGCCTTCACCGCCCCAGTTTGAATTAGGTGTTACAGTAACCTCCCGGCATGCATCAGTAACTGTACTGTACACGTACAGCTTCAGTGGCTTTCCGTCATGGTTCTCCACCAGCGAACAGATATCATCTCCATCAGTCATGTGCTGATCTGAACCAATTACGTAGTCCACATCACTTTGAAGACCAGCACAGGCAGATGGTGACCCAGGAACAACGTCCAGAATGTGCCATACATTCTCGTTGGCACCCTGAAACGACGTGAATCGAATGTTGATACCCAGCAAGCCTTGGCCTCCCCAAGTCCTCGTTGGAGTGAAGGAAACATCGCGGCAGCTATCCCTCTTACTATTGTACACTGTCAGGTTCACAGCTCTATTTTCATTGCTTTCCAAAACATCTTTCAGTGTTGCGTCCACTTTGTCCAGGCGATGGCCATCAATGGCAACAAGGTAGTCGAAAAAAGGCTCAAGGCCAGCCTTGTGGCCAGGAGATCCCTCTGTTACACTGATGACATGATAGCCATACGAACCACCAGGATAAGATGATGAGCCTGCACCCATAGTTGTCCCCCTAAACAATACGATTCTACAATACTACTAGTACTCAGACTACGAGTTTACAGTATATTCGAAAAAGAGAGAGAAGAAAGGAAGGACAAAAGAGCTGCGAGGACCTAGGAGCTGAATGGTCGAGAGCCCAGTTCCTGTTTAGCAACAGAAATCACGAAAGCGTTTCATAGGATTCTGAAAACAATCGTTGAGAACACATTATTCCGACAGATCACAACAAAAGACAACAATATTTTTTTGGTAAAGAAACGTGTAAAGATCACAAAATGCATGCATGCATGACGTGACCAGACTAGTCGACTACTGTATACATGCAGTCGTCGACTCTCTCCCTGCCCTGTTGTAGCTCTTGACTTGTCACTGCACTGCTCGTACTGCACTTGTGCCAATCTTCTCTTGGCCTAGAAAAGCGATCCTGTCAGCTTTTCTATTATTGTTTGTGTATGTGATCGATATTGAGCTAGCCACTGGCATGGCACTGCATGCGAGAGCAAACTTTTGTCGTTTTGGTTTCTTTTTTGAAAGCCTCAAATGGGAATGTTTCGGCCAGGGAGTCGGGTATTTTACGACTCCCTGGTTTCGGCTAATCAATGTTTCTCACAGGCCAAAAATTGTTGTCCGGTCTATAAAAATGTACAACTCCCTGCTTTGAAGCAATGAAATACGGGCCATATTTATTTTGGGCTCAACTTTCCTAAAATAGGCCCCAACCTCGCCTTTTCGCACAAATGTAGAACACCTCCCCACATATATAAAGTGTAGGGTACTCACAGCTCAGAGTGAGAATAACAAGGATGCAGTTTACAGGGTTATGGGCCGTTACACGCCCGATTGGTTGAGAGACTAACCTCCTCTCCCCTGACTCACTTGTGAGGTCTGCATTCACCACTAAGGTTAACAGGCATAGTGGTGGCCTGCGGATGCGAAGGCTAGTTTGTGTGTTTCTGAACGAACATTCAAGCGATGCCGACGCGAATCCCGCGAATATTATTTTTTTAGTGTAGCGCAAGCATAGGCGTTTAGCAAGAGCACATAAACCTTGTACTCTTGCAGTCTTGGCGGTAGCAACAGAAAATGCACTGGGGACTTGAAACAGAGGTCATGCAGGATCGAATGAGCTCGGTACTGCACACACGGCAACCTTTCATGCTCCACACTCTTCCACTCACACACACACACCATCAACAGATGTGAGTTTGAGGTACTTGCCGGCAGGTACTCAGTCATCAAGAAATTCGACTTGAAAAAAGTGGCTAAAAGTCTCAAAATGCAAGTATGTACATGTATATTGAAAATAAATGTGATATTGGTACATAGCAGTACTTGTATGTACATGTACACTCAATTATTATGTACACAGGCATCAAAACCCTCATGCTTCTTATATACAGGGAAGTTAGTTGTTTGATACAAGCTATAATACAGCAAAACAGTTCATAATTATAAGATAGGTACAGAGGAAAGGAGAAAAAAAATGTTGTACAGAGGGAAGGAGAAAATAATGCTGAACATAGCAGAATGCAAAATAGAGGAGTATATACAAAGAGATTATGGCAGCACAGCCACAGATGCAGTCAGCAGATCAGAAGAGTGGCTGATATTATACACACGACGGGAAGTCGGTCAGTTTACTGAGGTACTCCCTGAACTGCCAACTGATCAGTAATGTGGGTGCGGAGAAAGACGCTGAGAAGGACGGACACATCCTTGCATCCTTTCGTGCCGCTTTCTACCAAGGCAGAAAGTTGGTCCACGTGAAGACGTTTCTCCATCTGCACGAAAGAAAAGTGACGCGTCGTACAGACAATTAACTTTAGGGTCCATCACAAAAAAGTGAGATAAGGCCATGGTAAAAATTATCTTTGATTCTCAAGTACGCGCGCACCGATTTTTGGCGGCGCACCGACGATTTTTTTAATTTCTATGCATGCATATGCGTGCATGAAAACGGTCAATGCGAAAGGCATGAATCCGGGAGTAGTAAAATACCAGTATTTTTCTACTCCCTGGCCTGAATAATAAAATAATTATAAATTAATTATGAACCTGTGACGTACACATGTGTGACCCTATCTTTGGAAATAAAAAAATCGTGGGAATTAAAATAAAAAATCGCTCGCTCGCACCGATTTTCACAGGCTCATGACCTGAGAATCAACTTTATTTTTTACCATGGCCTAAAAGAACTGGTCAGATTTGTTGTGTATAGTGTTTGTCGCCGTATTGTCCCTCTCCGAGCTATAATTATGCATGCTCGTTGTAAATAAATCAGTCTTTGTCTTGTCCCACAATGGACTCCTGCGTGGCATCAGGCTAACCCAACATAGTGGCAGCTGTGGTTTCTACGACTGTAGGAAAGAACCCTTCGCCTCTAGCCCGCAGTCGAGCATCCCCAGCTCCGGGACAGTCTCGTCATCGTCAGTCTGAGAAGTTTAGTTGTTAGTCCGTGTCATGCCCGGCATGCACTACGCTCTACTCGTTTCGTCCTACTCGTGGACTCTACTCTTCAGCAGCAGTCACGCCACTGCTCCTTGTCTCTGCTGACTGTCGTCCCTGTCCAGCCAGTTCGTCGTCCTCGCATGCTCCATCTCTCGGCAGCTCCGATAAGCCTGCTGTTGAGCACTGATCGCCATGTCCCCATGCCGTGCTCAACCCATTCGTCTGGGAGAGATAGAGGTGTCACGGTACGAGCGCTCTGGATCGACCAAGTCTGGCTCGTGACGGAAGGAACTGCCAGGCGTATGCCGGTTAGCTGTAGCTCATTCCCTCTTTGTGTTTCATTTGTTTTCGTTTTGACCTTGTGTGCTTCTTTATTCTTTCTCTTCACTCTCGATCTCCTAATTTTTTTGCCTCGAACTTCTTCAGTTTTCAAAAAAAAAAAATTCTCTTCTGTGCAGATGCTAGGCATGCCCTGCTACTGACAGTACTGTACTGGTGTACGTGTAGGCCCTAGCTCGTCTCTCAATCTTGTTTTTCATGTTTCTCTTTCTTCCCGGAAAAGGGATATATTGTGTAGATACATCTTTTCTCTCTCTTCCCCTCCTTCCCCGGAAAGGGAGATGTTGTGTATAGTGTTTGTCGCCGTATTGTCCCTCTCCGTATTGTCTCTCTCTGAGCTATAATTATGCATGCTCGTTGTAAATAAATCAGTCTTTGTCTTGTCCCACAATGGACTCCTGCGTGGCATCAGGCTAACCCAACAAGATTGACGACCAAAAATTGGAGCAGGACACAACAGGGACACATAAAGCGGTGCTGCATGACTGCTACAGAGAATGTTGCACAGTCCCACATACACGGACACACAAAGAAAAGGTACTTACCTGAGTTAGGATGATACTGCCTGAGCGAGCCAACATTGCCATTGTAACAAGTGGACCAGCAGACTCTTCCAAATAGGTCACATCTAAGAACAGCAATATTTCCACCACATAAACAATTATGTTAAAATAGTACAGGCAATAAACTCCTTTTCTATTCATCTACACAAAGGATAACACAAGGCATACAAGTTTATGCAGACAAGGGGCATGTTGACCAGGAAAATGCCGGCACATGTATTGGTAGTGGTTGCGACCTCGGCGATGATTTGTAAGAAAAGGGTTTGCTCCCCACCCTAGTCAAGTGTCAAGTAAAGTCGGCGGAATAGCGCGAGCTCCGGTGTGGGGAGCAAACCCTTTTCTTACATGTATTGGCATATCAAAAACACGGTGCATGTATACATGTCCTACATGTAGTAGCAAATACAAGTAAAAATCCGCCACCTTCGAAGCTGCTGAAGTGCAGTGCTAATCAACCACAAGTCTCCCTCACCTACGATAGCGGTCTCCTTAACCAGGGTAGTGGTACAGGCGCATACCAGGTCCTTCGTAGGTATACCCGCATCCATCACTGCTAAGCTGGCAGCGTTGATGCACGCAGCTAAATGACCTGGACAAAGAGTAATGGCAAGCAAAGTAAATTGGGACGCCAGTGAGAGACCAAATATTAAAAAAATGAGCGCACGGAATAGGTCTGAATGCAGCTGCCGCAAAGGTACAGCGCTGGCCAGTGGAATTTACACCAAGGAATTCAGTAGCACCATTGCTTGGATGCACTGCACAGTGATTATAGTGCTAGGCCACAGTGCCAGGAGCCATTAGCTGCACTGGGCGCATCTCACTGACCAACACTGTCGGTGCACTTAACGGCCACCAACATACACACAGGTGCTAGCAATTTTGCTCAGTTTAGAGTTCCTCCCCTCAGCTCTCATAATCTGTGGGTCACCGAGTGCCACCCAATGGCTGGTGAGTAGTCCCTGGCTGCAACATTCGCAGCACAACCACGTACGCAACATTCACAGCAGCAGCAACAGCAACGACAACACAAGCAGTCCGAACCAGTCCACCAGCCTGCACTCTCTCTTAGTCAATTTGCATCATAGGGGAGGGTGTAAGGAACAGTAGGATACTACCGATATGCAAACACGAACCACGCATGTCATTCATCCGAAGTGGCACCGTACCACACACGGATCCTTCCTTACCTCCGCCAGCTTGCATGATCTGTACGTAGATGTCAATCTGACACCGGGGGTAGAGGTGCGTGAGGATGGCAGCCTCAAAGGTGTCCTGGATAAACTGCGACATCTCAGTACTCCGCCTGTTAACAGTGGCAACGTCACCGGCACAATCAAAAATTTAGAATATGAACTACTCTTTTAACACAGAGGCATACAAGCACACCAAAAGCAGTCCACCAAGCCCTCAGCTCTCATAATCTGAATGTCACCGAGCACCCCTCGACCAACCAACGTCCACCATACCACCCAGCAGCACAGTCAGGAGAGAAAGAGAGAGCGAGAGCGAGAGAGAGAGAGAGAGAGAGGCACACACACACACAAGCAAACAAAGCATGCTTATTGGTACAGTGGTCGCAAGCCAGCCATACTCTCCCAGAGTCATTTGTTGCATCATGGGGCAAAACCAGGATGCATGCGTAGCAAGGGTTAACCATAACCGACTGCTGAGAACTCACCGGTCACCCTTTGTTCGCCTTCTCCTTTCACTTGTACTGAACGTTGCCATACTGAACTGGCAGTTCACAAACGCTGTATCATTACTTGCACGGCTCCTGTTCATAGACTGGAAACACAGAAAAATGCCCCATGGTGAGAAGTCATACAAGCACACATGCACAGGCATTGATACCAAAATGTCAAGGTATTCAGTGAGTCGTAACAAGAAGGGAATTAATGAACACAGGCCCTCAGCTCTCATAATCTGAAAATCACAGAGCGCCCCAAAACCAGCCATTGGAAGTGTAACCCAGCAAGACAGAGAGACAAATAGAGAGGGCCAGGACAGAGAGGGCAGGGTAGACAGGAGACAACAGAAAGGAGGTGATTAAAAGACATATAGTATGAGCAAGAATGCTGGATCACTCAACCAACAGCCAGCCCCGCTCTCTCTAGGCATGTTCGCATCATCGGGCAGACCAAAAATAGAACCAATCACAAATTATTATGGATTAAAGGAAAAGACAAAATGCTACGAGTTTTGACTAACTGTCCCCTTTAATCCATGAATACTTTGGCTCAACATCAGAGTACAAATCATTACGCAAAATATTTCAATGTTGACAGTCGAGGTCCTTACAAATGAGAGGAAAGGAAACTTAAGCCAGAAGAGGGTGAGGTAATTGTCATAAGGAACACAGTTCATATACTATTCTCAGTAAGGATTATCGTACTGAAGTTTCGCACATCTGCGATGTGGGATTCCGCACGAGAAAGTCCACGTTTGCTTAGGGAATGGAAGGTTCCGTGAACAACAATACATGCACGCACTCAGTACAGGAGATAAGAAGGAAGTGCTGCACAATAGATATGGAATCTACTGTTTGATGCACATGCACCCTACATGCATGCGACGACTGACCTCATGTGGCCCGTTGACAGTTGCCAGCACCATCGTGCTACCCTGTTCCAAGTATGCCGACCCATCGGATTGCTGAAACACACCAAGTCGAGCATTTAGCTTTCGCAGCTCTGGCGCCTTCCGTCCGTCCAGACGTAAATCTGCAATCCAAACATACACCGAAACGATAGACAGGATGAGCATGAATTTTGACAAGTGTTACAAGTAGCCAGGCCCAAGTTGACGACCATGAGCGTCAAAGCATATCATATACTCCTTTACGACGGAAGCTTAAAAAAAGTGGTGTGATGGGGTACACGGAATGCTGTAAGGCCACACGTTTTTATTTCTGTTTCTCGTCACCTGAAAATCTAAAAACGTATGCGAGGTGGAAAAAAATAATAAATGACCGAATAAAAAAAAAAAGTTTATTAGTATTTAGACCTTTGTTCACACTAAAATCCACCAATACACCATGAAAAATAGCATCCATAGTTAGCAACTAGTATGTGGTAGGAGCTTCTGTCACAATCTGTGCATGTGCAGCTAGATTGCTCACAAAAATGCCGTCCTTGCATCATGTGTCGCGCAGGCCAGGCCACATTATGTACATGTGCATGAGTGTGCTGGTCACCACATGCACAGTCAGTGCAGCACAGTTTTTTTCTTCCAGACTCCTGAATCGTATGCGCGCGGGTGACGAGAAACATAGAAATAAAAACGTGTGGCCTAATGTGATAATAAATATGTGTTTTACAGCTCAAACACACACACACACACACACACACACACACACACACACACACACAAGCAAACACACAAGGTGTACTTCTAGGCAAAAGGAAAACGTTTTATAGGTTATGTAACTTATGATACTGGTTATCCAGTCATTAAGATACCAGCTAACCATTAGGTTAAACGCGAGAAAGAGGAGAAAAAGAGAGGCACCAAACTGACATGTTCAAACAAAAACTCAAGTGAGATTACGCGTTATATAGGCATATCGCACTGAAGACGTACCTTCAGGAGACAGATACTCAAGTCCAGCCTATTCGAAAACGACCAAAACAAAAACAATGGTTAGTTGAAATGGAAATGGGATAAACTTCAAGGTAAAGAGTCAGGGGAAGTGAAATGCCAGAAAAGCGAAAAAATGCTAACAATTTTTTTCGCTTTTCTTGCAGTTTACTTCCCATGATTGTTCACGAAAACAATGGATACAATCTACATGCACCCGCCAAGTCTCCACCAGTGCAAGCTTCGAACAGACTTACCATAATCGATTAAGGAGGAAAAGTAGTTCGTCCCGACGCTCACATGCTATGTTACAGGCTACACTCTGGCGACGGAGCAAGAAGAACGGGGACAAAAAAAGTCGCAAGCAATCTTCTAGAAGTAAAAGTAAAACATGCGTTGTTCTGGCTTTTTGATTCTGTTTTTGTACAGTGACAGTCAGTGTACGTAGACCGTCACTACTACTACTAGTACTACAGTACACGTGTATGTAGGCCAAAGCCAGCAAGGCACTTGACTTGCACTCCGCACAGACCTCTCATATCATGCGCAGCTCAGTGATCTGATCTGGGTTTTTTGCTACACATAAGATCATGACGTCAGTCGTTACTTCTACGATCGATAGTAGATCTACGATCGATCAAAAAAACGCCTACATCTGTACAAAATAGTACAACAATTATGTACCATTGTTTTGGAGCCCTTCACTTCAGTGAGGTTTATATTAATTATTTGGATGGAAGATGTGGCTTCGACTACGGAGTAGAACGTTGAATGTCTGAAGTGATTAGTAGCATTCTAGTTCGCCATGGCGAGCCGATGCGGAGTTTTTTAGTCAAGAAAGAAACCGCCGGGTAGCTCGCGCACTTCACTCGTGGTCGCTTGGTAAGAAGTCAATTGTATTTCCATTATTTTCATCGCGTTCCTTGCTCAGCAAATTACATCAATTTACGATTACTCTTGTTGCGTTAAGATTAGAGGATTATTGCATTTGCATCAGGCTGCATGTATACTGGGAACCTCTGGCAACGTTTCTGGAAGCTGTCCAATGGAGCATGGCCAGGATCATTGTGTAACACAGCGTAGAGAAAGAAAAAAGAGCCAGCAGCTCAATGCTACATCACGACGTATTGCATAGTTATGCACTGTGCATCCTCATGTGCAGACTATCCCTGGGAACAGCTGAGTCTATGCATAGGTAGCGTGAAGTCGCTATAAAAGTCGCTTATAAAAATAAAAAAGTAAAGTATCGTGTCCGTTCCCGAAGGGACCTCACAACGGCCGCTATCACCCCGTAAACCCAAGTCGCTTATGCCGCCAGACTTATTCTTGTACATGTACAAGCTAATGTGAGAGTGAGGCATGTAGTCAAACCAGATATTAGGGAGGTTTCGCTCTACGTAATTACGTATGAAAATCCGTACGTTGTACGCGCCAGGGAGCGAGGGCAACTTTCCTACGTAAATCTCCCTACAGATTTCCGTAGGAAAGCTCTTTCCTACGTGGGGTCCTCCGTTGGACTTTTTGAAATATTTTTCGCATTTTCCGGATTTATCCATGGACACTTTCAAGCCGCGCGAAACAAAAGGTACACACCGTACACCACGTCCAAAATAAAATGGAAAACGCGTTTCGGTTCGTGGTGCATGCGGTGGGCGCATGCAGCCAACGCGTCTCCAAAACAACAAGGCATTGATTCTATCAAGAGTACATAAACCAGAGTGTGCAACTCGGGATGGTTCCTGTGGGAGCGTAATTCGTGCAGTACGTCATTTCTGACGGCATGGTAAGCCACAGGTACGGTGAAAAGTTGCGTAACCAGTCACGGTGGTGCAGGTCACTGAGTTTGTCCTGATTTCGGTTTTTTGATACGGACAGCCTGGTGAATTTACTTGTCGGTGGATGTACGCAGCGTACACAGTCACACAAAAACACTGAAATCCTGAAACAGGGCGTCTAAAATCAAGCAAACTTGGCTGATTTCCGGGCTATGGCACGACAATTTGAGCTGTACGCAAGGCGCGGCTTGGCTAACCTCATCAGGGTGACGTAGTGCACGAACTGCGCTGTTTCAGATGTGATATGCACAGTTGCACGCTCTGGTTTATGTACACTTGATTCTATCAAGAGTATAATGACCCCCCCCCCCCCCCCCACAAGAGTGTGCAACTCTGCATATGGGGTCTCCGACGGCGAAAACTCACATCACGTGTCTCAGATACGTTCGTACTGCGTACAAACGAAGCATAGCATGCGCGCAATCCGAGTATCTGCCGCGATCATGCTGGAGATTTGCATACCCGCAGTGAGTTTCTGTCAGAGAGTGCTTTTTTTATTACTCCGCTGCTCGCTAAAAACGGGCTGGAAACGTACAACTGCGACACTGCACCACGTGATGTGAGTTTTCGCCATCGGCGTACCCCATAGAAAGGGTATCAGGAGTTGCACACTCTTGGGGGGGGGGGGGGGGGGGGGTATATACTCTTTATTCTATGTACTGTCGTGGGCATGGAAAGCGCCCTTAGCGCGTACAGAACGTTGCAGACAGTGCACATGTTGATCCGATGCGACCAGCGCACTGCAGAGCGTAAATGAATGTGTGCTCGTACCGCTTACTCACAGCTGCATGGCCAGCGCCCTGGGGCCGCTAGACGTGCGGTCGGATTTCCATTTCCACAACAGTATGTAATTAATAATCATATCCACAATAAAAACCAGGCCCATCTGCAAATGGCACGTCCTGGAAATCAAGATTGTACATGTATTCATTCAAAACAAGCTGCTACCGTATTCCCCGGGGTCAGAGGCGCATCGTGGTAGAAGTAGGGGCGTCGAAACCGGTGCAGCCACAGCCGCACCAATAATTTTATCTTGTGATTTGAAGCAATAAAATTTGGGCTCGATTTCCAAAAGGTTTCCCCGAGGGAGACCCCCCCCCCCCCCCCACACACACACCTTTTCACAGCCGCGGTGAAGGAAGAACTCGCTGACTTCATCAGTGTAGCGCGCGTGCGGCCCAGAACATCTAAGGGCATCACAGACCTGTTATTGCGACAACCATGGCGATATAAGTGTTCGTGGAAACAAGTGCAGGAAATTCAAAATTTTGAACCAGTGATTAGCTTGTCGTTCCGAATGAATACCTTGGCGTGGTCTTTTACTGGGAATGGCAAAGGCATGGTGGAAATGAGTTTTCGCTGTGCGCAGGTTCTTGGAATACCTTTTTCTACACGCAGCAGCCGCGAGTGTAAGGGTTCTCCAGCTCCAGCACGGCTGGGAGAGGCCGATGAATTTCTTCCTCAGGAGTGCCGCGGAACCGGTCCTTTGTTTCCCAGATGGGATAGAGGGTGCAAGGCCCGAAGCAGAGGACGCAGCCATTGTCAACTGAAAGCCAAAACTCATCAAAAAGCTAAAAGTCACAAGAGGGAGCAATCTCGACCCCGGTCTCGATCTACACGCGTGTTTTTTTTTATCTCCCACCAGTTACAAAACAATAAATAAGATAAATTGTGCACTCATAACAACAGCAAAAAATGAAGAAAGTCAAGTTCCATAACGTTTTCTTGTGACTGTCATCAGTGGAACGCCGTCACATAAAAATGTAATAACTAAAACACACACTTATATACATGTAGCTAATATGGTTTCAGGTAGAAATACAGCAGCCAGCAAGTACAAAAAAGCGAAGTTTGCACCTTTGCAATGTGTGAATATAGTGTATGTGAGAAAGGTATTGGCAGATGAATGTGATACTGTGTGAATGAATGTAATGGTGCGTGTGTATTACTTGAAGAGTGTGAGTGATACAACGTTTTCTTTCGTATTCCGTGGAGGCCACGGAAACATCCGCTGCCTATTGCTACACCTAGCACGGCTCACAATTCAGAAACAGAAACATCGACTAATTCTATGGAGAACGAGCAGACTAATCTGGTTCCCCTCTCGGAAACCGGACCACGGCAAGGGAGGCCGCCGGACGGTCACTCCTCGACAAACCATGTTGCTACAACGGTAAGAGCGGAAGGGGAACAACTTGAAAACAGAGCAGAACCGAGGAAAAGCAAGAGACTAGCAGAGGCACGACTGAGACAAGTGGAGAACGCAAGGCAAGGAGACACAGGAGGAAGCACAAGCATGGCACAGGACGAATCAAGGAGAGGGAAGCGGTGTCGCGAGGAGATGGAGACTGATTACGACGAATACGAGGACGATGGAATGGACGGCGGCATTGGAGTGGAGGTGGAGGATGAGAGTAGTGATGAGGAGGAGTTTGATGTTGACAAGGTTTTATATAAGACAACAGAGAGGTTGTGCGTAACGAAAATTCATAACAATCTTACAGAATGTGAGCAGTTCGGACGTTGTGAAAGTTCGTAAAGAAAATCTGTTGTGCGCAGTGAAAACGTAGTGTGTCCATGGTGACCCGTTTGAGTACTTTTCCGCTGTGGATTTCTAACTTCGGTTCTATTTTTTAATTTTGGATCATGTGTGTTCCGGAGAGCAAGCAGTTTTCATTGATTGTACAGTGTGAAACAGAGAGGTTCCAGGCTGTCCACTAGAGTGCTCAGTACCGAAAGTCAGAGCTAGTTCCAACAAGAATAAGAGGATTAAACAAGCGTTTTTACTCCAAGCTTCACGCACTAAGCGATCATCAGATGATCATGAGATGATCGCTTAGGCTGCAACCACACTAGGTACAAAACTGCGTAAACGCAACTTTTCTGCTTGTGTCGTCAAGGAAACGCAAAACGTACTGCGTTTCGTTTCAGCAAACCGGGTACCCCTGTAGAAAGCAACTTTTCGCCTTTTCCTTGCGTTTCGCTCGGTTCTTCATACGGGTAGATGTTTCTTGTTGAGGCTTGCACTGTGTCGGTAGTAGACGGCTTCCTTGTCAGTGCAGTTTGTAGTATTTGAGATTTCATCTGCCAGGGCTTTGCTTTCAGTATAATTTCCGGACAGTCCTGTTGCCTGCTGTTGTTAGTTCGAGATGCCGCGCAACTACATTGTATTTCGCTGATAATCTCGAATTGAGAAGCTCATGCAGCTTGGGGCAGCGTACCATGAAGACGAAGCAGGGCCAGATGACAGCCTGGAGCGGACCATCCGAGAGAAGGAGATGACCGAGGCCTTGAACGTGTATGTCAAGGCGCTCGCGACTCTTTTTCAAACTACTACTACATGTAGTACAATACATTTTCACAGGGCTATTTTTTCTGGGACCCAGAAATGTAGACAAAACGCAAGGATTCCTTGCGCATGAAATGGCAGTGTGGATGCGACTTTGCGTTATCTAAAAGCTGAACGCAAACGCGTACTTGATTTTGTACGTAGTGTGGTTGCAGCCTAAGTGCGTGAAACTCAGCGTAAAAACACTTTTTTCATCCTCTTTAATATTCTTGTCGGATTGTACGGTGTGTGTAGTTTGTACTTGTACAAGTAGTTGTAGTGGTTTGAGCATTTTTCTTGGGTTTGGAAGAGTTAGGGGCCTATTATATGTGCAACTCCAGCCCGGGCTGGAGCGAGCGGGCCAGCCCGCCAAGGGTGTTTACATGTGCAAGGCAGGGCTGGTCACCAGCCCGCTGTGGGTTTATAAGCGCTGAGCACACGCCAGCCTGTTGTGAGTATGCAGCAGACACACTACGACTGTAGTGTGCTGCCCCGGGCTGAAACGCAGGGCTGCAAGCCATACTCAGGACAGTCAGGTTATAAACCTAAACACTTTTTTTTCTCACACAATGTATTCTTCTGCTGATTTCTTTTCCCGCTGTGGCACATGTTTGGTGTGTTGTATCACCTCGTTTCTTTTTCCTGTTTTTCACATTTTTAGCTGTCCATATCAAAGTATTTTGCAAGTAGTTCCCCTTCCATTTTAATGTAAATCATGCTTGTCGACAAATAAACAAACAAGCAGTCACGTGCTCCTGGGTGCCCAAATCACCTGGTCACCACGCCAGTAGGCGACAACTTTCACACCAAGGTTCAACTCGAGTTCAACTCGAGTGACAGGACTGCACCCAAAAAAGGTCAAACAGGCTAGTAAGTTGTACCCTGCAGGCACGGTGACCAGGTGACTGGTGTACGCAGGAGCACGTGACCGCTTGTTCAACCATGTTCGATTGGGAATAAAGGAGGAACGCTGCATCGCAGCCTTTTCGGACCAAAACCAATCGACTCAGCGTCCAAAAGACTACAACATATGGTCCAATCGCGGTCATCCATGCTTTTATAAGAACGAAATGGCGCTTTTAGTGACATTTTGCATACAAATCCCCATCTGGTAGGGCGCAGTCACTCAGTTTCGGTGGAAGTGTGCGAGTTCGATTGGGATTCAAGTAGGAAGGGAGCGTCTCAGCTTTCTCGGACCAAGACCATTCGACTCAGCACCCCGAAGACTGCAACTGGTGAAATTTTGATTTTTGCCTTAACTTCCCCTTTAAAATGTTCTGCATGATGCTGAACGTCGTTTTAGTTATTAAACGTTGAATGGGTTTTTTCATCATATTTTCCATTTCCATTTCACGATAAATTGAAATTCTGAGCTCCAACACTCGAAACAGTGTGCCGAGGTTTATTCTGTGAACTGATCACTCGGTCAAAGAGACAGCTGTGAAATGTCCTTCGGTGTGGAAAGCTCTCTATGAATGGGAGTTCGGTGAAATGTCGTCCTGTGAATCGCCGTTCGAGGTAGAGTCGTTCTGTGAACTGGTTTTCGTCTATCCGTCGTAGACGCCCGGAATCTAAGCCGTGCCCATTTTTTCGGGCCCAAAATTCGTATTTTGTTGACATTCGGTGTATAAGCCGCACGTCAGACTTTTTTAAACTAATTACTTGATGGGTATCGACATGCAAGACGTTCCTAATGGTTAAAAAGTTGAGAAGCACGACTGAAGTTCTTCTACAGTATTTCCCCGTAAGTTAGTTCTCCCCAATGACTTAGTACCCCCCTATAAAAAATACGCTTTCCACTGCCGAGGTTATCACCCCGAAAGACAGTTCCCCCCGAAAGATAGTAAGTTCGTACCCGTCCTACATGTACAGACACCGTACAGTACATACATCATATGCACGGACACTAGAGTTGCGCAGGCTTCCCACTGCGTGACATTTACCCCCGATAAAAATGTACTCCCCGAAAGATAGTACTCATGTGGCTGCTAAGTTCGAAAGTTAGTACGTACTAACTTACGGGGAAATACGGTAATATTTCTAGTGTGTCCTTCACTCGGAACTGACAGCATGTAGAAGCTTCGTGCTATTTAAATACAATGATGCATTGCAGTTCATGAAAAAGAGAGAGAGAGAGAGAGAATAGTGTACATTTATAAAGACAAGTATTTAAAAAGTCTAACAAATGAGAGAGAGAGAAGAGGGAGGGAGAATGTTTTTTTGTTACCAGGATTTGATATCCAGCTTTTGTTTTCTTCTCTGTGTGCCGTTGCTACTGTTGTTGTTCTTTTGTTCAGAGCCGCCGGTTTGTGCGCTATGGCATCTCAAGCCACCAGTCACAGCATGCCACCTGTCGGGTTAGGCTCGTCGCGCCATCCATGCATTGGCACTGTGGAAAGTGATGGCACGCCCAGCAACAGTGGCAATGAGTCTGATGGCCGCCAGCCGCAGGGCAGCAGCGGCAGGTGGCGTGTGCGGGAGGGTGGCGGCCGCCGAACACCGACGCACAGCGGCCTACTGAAGCGTCGTGTACCACAGCACGGTGAGAGGCAGATGCGGAAGAAAAGTGACGTAACCACCATGAAGGAATGCATTAAAAGTATGGAAAAGTTCCTTAAACCAACGGAAGCCAGTAAGCTCCCTGCTGGTCGCTCCTCGTTCTTTCTCATCTGTCTAGTCTTGCTCCTATGTGTGTTAGCTGCCTTGTCACCTCGGATTCTACCCAGAATCATCTCCTTCGTGACGTCGCGCCTTGTGTTTGAGCATGTACCCGGTGCTCACCCGGTGACATAGATCATGTACGGCTGTAACCTTCTACTCTAGTCGTTGCACGAGGTTGGGTGCTGCTGGCGGCGTGCCGTGCCGCTTTGGAACTGTCCCCGCTCACCGCGGACACTGCCTGCGCGCGTCCTGCGATCGACGGGGCGGCGCACGTCGGTTTGGTCCCCGGGGTGTTTTTGCCGCCGGAAGAAAAGTGAGACTTCGGCCCGGACCAGGCAAACGCAGAAGTCTGCCATGTCCAAATGGCGGAGCTCAACTGGCGTCGAACGTTGCTGAGGTATGACGCCACCTTCTGTCGTAGCTCCCAGTATAGCTTGATATGATCATCATAATATCATTATGGTATTTATATTTTATCCAAACGGCATTTCCAATCCCATCAGAGCTGCTGATGCTGCTAGCACCCATCTGTCCCATTGCCAGAGGCCTTGCATGTGCTATCCACGCTGATTTCCAACCACGCTTTCTTGATAATATTTTCATTGAAATGTTGTTTTTTATCTAGTAGAGTTAGGCATCCGAACGCTGCTATTTGCCGACCTATTACCCAGTACACTCCCCTGTCTTGTCATGAGCTTTATATCAAATTTTCTATCATCATCACCTGCTCACCATTGGGCCGGCTTTGCTGGCCATAGCGCTGTTTGCAGAGGTTTTTTTTTAACAGATGTCAGTTCAGCTGCACTTTATGTAGTAAATGTGTTGGAAAGAGTTCAGCTCTTGTGTCCTCTCCGTCTCTGGCCTCCTCCGTGTTTAGTCGTGTACACTATTGAGCTTGTTCTGTGTTTTAAACACGGCACGCCAGCATGCTGGTCTGTACACATTGCATCATGCTTCCTTCGAGGACCTGTCTGTACACATTGCATCATGCTTCCTTCGAGGACCTGTCTGTACACATTGCATCATGCTTCCTTCGAGGACCTGTCTGTACACATTGCATCATGCTTCCTTCGAGGACCTGTCTGTACACATTGCATCATGCTTCCTTCGAGGACCTGTCTGTACACATTGCATCATGCTTCCTTCGAGGACCTGTCTGTACACATTGCATCATGCTTCCTTCGAGGACCTGTCTGTACACATTGCATCATGCTTCCTTCGAGGACCTGTCTGTACACATTGCATCATGCTTCCTTCGAGGACCTGTCTGTACACATTGCATCATGCTTCCTTCGAGGACCTGTCTGTACACATTGCATCATGCTTCCTTCGAGGACCTGTCTGTACACATTGCATCATGCTTCCTTCGAGGACCTGTCTGTACACATTGCATCATGCTTCCTTCGAGGACCTGTCTGTACACATTGCATCATGCTTCCTTCGAGGACCTGTCTGTACACATTGCATCATGCTTCCTTCGAGGACCTGTCTGTACACATTGCATCGCGCATCATGCTTCCTTCGAGGACCTGTCTGTACACATTGCATCATGCTTCCTTCGAGGACCTGTCTGTACACATTGCATCATGCTTCCTTCGAGGACCTGTCTGTACACATTGCATCGCGCATCATGCTTCCTTCGAGGACCTGTCTGTACACATTGCATCATGCTTCCTTCGAGGACCTGTCTGTACACATTGCATCATGCTTCCTTCGAGGACCTGTCTGTACACATTGCATCATGCTTCCTTCGAGGACCTGTCTGTACACATTGCATCATGCTTCCTTCGCGAGGACCTGTCTGTACACATTGCATCATGCTTCCTTCGAGGACCTGTCTGTACACATTGCATCATGCTTCCTTCGAGGACCTGTCTTTTCCTGTTTCCATGCTACTGTAAAAGCCATATATATAATTATAACGAAGTGCTAACTCTAACGAGTTAACGAGGAGAAATCTGTCGTTAAAATAGAAATCGATACATATACTGTCCTATTGAGCGTTGAGAATGAGTGAGAATCGTTACCTTTCGTACACGTTAACTAGTCAATTTTGGGAAATCGTTATATATGCGCCTCGTTAGAATAATGGCTTTTACAGTAATTCCTGCAAACGGTATTTTATTCAAGCTACTCAGGAACAATCTTTTCTAAGACTCGGGAACAACCTTGGCAAATTTGTGTACTAGTCTGTCCCCTTGGAAAAACGCGATTCCGCGGCCGCGGCAAATTTCGCAGAAATTGCCATCATCCGCGGAAATCACGGAATCCACACTATTGCCCGCGGAATTTGAATTTTTTAGGATTAATTAGTTAAATTTCTACTCAGAAAGCAGCAGAAAAACTACTTTGCGATCTGTTTGAGCACATTATGCTCTTGCGAGTGTAGGTGAGTGCAGAATCTCCAAGATTCTTCACTCTCATTCAGTTTGTGACTGCAAACGCTAGTGTGAAAAGTACTCCTTCATGCAAGGAGGGTGAAAAACTTGCAGACAGTGCCGCAGATTTTTGATTTTACTACAGAAAATGCCGCAGAAAACCCCCCTTTTCCCCGCGGAATTTGCCGCGGAATATTGAATTATTGGCCGCGTTTTTCCAAAGGGACAGACTAGTATAAGGGCCCAACCTCGCATAGTAGTAGTAGTAGATAGTAGTAGATTTTATTATTTTACTAGGGGAGTCCCAACAGGCGTTGCCTTTTTACTGGGAACCCTAGGTGAATTTTTACCATGTTTACATACAGAGTAAGAGACGGGGCCTGACGGCAGTCAGTGGGAAGAGCATTCCATCTGTCTGCCGCCAGGAAAGAAATAGAACGCATGCCATATTGCGTAGAAACAGGCGGAAGAACTAATGCGCGCTGTGCCTGGCCGCGCGTGCGAGCCTGGTGTCCAGGCACAGCAGCCCTAAGCTGGAACAAGGATTGGAGAAGGGGACTAGCAAGATGTGGGGTCAAGCAGCGGTACACGAAAACATAGAGTTTAAGATTTGTGCGCTGTTCAAAAGAATAGAGATGATATTTGCGGAGAACAATTTCAGTAGACATCATACGGTCAAACCCAAAAACTTTCTTCATTGCTATGTGACTGACCGTCACGATTTTATTGAACAGGGTGGCGCTGAGACAGTGCAGATAAGCGTTACTGGCATAGTCGAGAGTCGATTGCACAATGGATAAATAGAACGTCCTCTTCGCTTCAGGTGTTAGGTTTTTTCGGCCATGTCTGAAGGCGGCAATCTTGCCGAACACCGCACCGCAGACCTTCTCGACTTGCGGCTGGAAGGTGAGATGCTCGTCGATGAGTAGTCCGAGATACTTCACGGTGGCTGCAGGGGTGAGGGGCTTGCCTTTACAAACTAGGGGGATTGGTAGATGCGGCACAGGTTGGCGTGGGCGCCGAAGGACCAGGAACTGCGTCTTGTCAGGGTTCATGAGAAGTCCTTTGTCATCAAGGTAGAGCTCCAGAGCGCTAAGGTCATCCTGAAGCTTTCGCAGCATGACAGAGAGGTCCGTTCCAATGACGAAAAAGGCGATGTCATCGGCATAGAGCTGAGAAATACTGTTCCGAACAATCTGTGGAACCTTGCGGATGTAGACGCAAAAGAGGAGGGGGCCAAGGACGGACCCTTGCGGAACTCCCCTGGTGCAGGGCACAGTCCCACCACGCTCCCCATTGACCACGACTTGTTGACTTCTGGAGGACAGATAGTCCGCGAACCACTTCAGCACCGAGCCGCCTAGCCCTACGTCAGCCAGCTCGTTGACCAGTTGTTGATGCTGTACACGGTCGAAATGCATGCATTCTCGCCTTTACTGCCCCCACCGTGGGGATTGCTTGCCAAAGAAGTGCTGTCACCATGGTCACCAACATGAACTGCTCCTCGGTCGGTTGGCATAGAGACCACCGTGAAGTAACAGTGTAGTCCTGTAGTCATGAATCAGGCTTATCTGAATAGAATGTAACGGGGGCTATCTGGCATTATCGATAATTTTCACGAAATGAAAAAGCTTAGTTAGGACCCTCCCCCCTGAACAAAAATAGATTGACTTTACAGCAAGAATGCCTTGATGTCTCACATACCTGGATTTTTTCAAAACGAAACTCCCCTTGACCCACCCACCCATATACGAAACTTTTTTCTCTTCATGTAAAAGATCGATAATTATAATAATAATAATTATTATTATTATCTTTATTTGAGGGATGACCCAGATGCAGGTAACCTATCGAGGGGTTATGGACGGCCCCTGAATAAACAGGTGGCTGAGTATGTGGCACTGTGCCGGGAAGAGCATAATCATTGATCATGTGCGTGCTGCATGGTTGAATATGGAAGATTGAAAAGAATTGTAGCTCAGATTGTCAATCTAATTAAATTTTTATCTTTTGCTGTATTTTGCAGAATCCATGTGGGGTCTCCCATAACGTTATTCCGTATTTTCACGGAAACTGTGTAATTCTACCATTGCCCGCACGGTACAAATTATTATTTCATGGCATGGTATCCCGCAGTATGGAAACATACTATCTGTATGCCGCGTGCCATCATCAGGCGGGAGATCTCAGATCTCCTGATTTTGTTGATATTTTTGATACATCCCCCTATGTCCCGACCAGAAGTGAAGCCTCGCGTATACTTGATGCGGATTTTGCGACAAGTACATGTACATTATTACTTCGAAGTACGTATTACATAATTATGCTATAGCCATGCATTGTACAGCGGTGCACTCGAGTTGTAGTTCGGTACTTGTTCCCAATCGAACACGGCTGAGTAAGCGGTCACATGCTCGTGCGTACACCAGTCACCTCGTCACTGTGCGTGCAGGCTACAATTTTCACACCAAGGTTCAACTCGAGTGACAGGAACACGACCAAAATAATAGGCTAGTTGTAGCCTGCGGGCACGGTGACCAGGTGACTGGTGTACCCATGAGCACGTGACCACTTACTCAACCGTGTTCGATTGCGAATCGCGATCATCCGCGCTTTTATAAGAACGAAATGGTGCTTTAGTGACATTTTTGCATACAAATCACCATCTAGCAGGGCACAGTCACCCAGTTTCGGTGGAAGTGGCGAGTTCGATTGGGAAAGGAGGAAGGGAGCGTCTCAGCTTCCTGAGACCAAGACCTATCGACTTAACACCTCGAAGACTACAACTGGTGAAAATTTGATTTTAGGGTATACATGTACTTCCCCTTTATAAACTTCAACATGTAGTCTGCCTGTACAGCACTTGTACACAGTCATACGATTCCATGCCATTTCAGCGCCCTCGATCGAGTTCAGCGCCAACCAGGTGAGCGCGGCCGTTTCAGTGCCGTAAACCTAAGCGCCGAATTTTACAGCGCCATATATTTCAGCGCCGTATACTCCAGCGCCGAATGTCTCAGCGCCACATAAATCAGCACCATATATTTCAGCGCCAAATACGTCAGCATGATCTTTCTCAGCACAACAGATCTCAGCGCCACAGATCTCAGCGCCGTGGTTCTCAGTGCCGTTTTATTATACAATGTATGTATGAACATTGCCTGTATGTAATGACTATGACTGTGCAAATATCGACTCCGCGCTCTACTGTACCGCGCTGTACTTTATCGCGCTGTACTTGATCATGCTGAACTTCTTCGCGCTGTAAATTACCGCGCCTTACTTTTCGCGCTGAGTTGCTGGCGCTGTACTTTACCGCGCCGATAGTCATGGCGCTGAAGCCTGTGAAGGAGCTGGCGCTGTGAAATCATGCGCTGAAGTGCTGGCGCTGAAATGTATCGCGCTGAAACGGTGGTGCTGAAGTGGCAGGTCACCAGCACACTTCTGTTGTCAAACAGTGTACCATAGTGGACA